CAGATGATGATCAATATATATCAGTTATTGATTCTGCACTTACAAGTTATTTTTCCATTTGCCATATGATTTGCTTCGGTTTCTGGGTTGTGTGTTTTGCTAATTTCTTTGTTCATCTGAAATAAATAATTTTGCTATCCAAGAATTGCTTAAGCATTGAAATGATTTATTCGTCATGTTTTGAATTATTCAAGGTTATCCTGAACCGGGTTTATGAAATTTAAGCTGAGTATGGTAGATAAATAAATGCATTTCTATCTGATAGGTAATTTCCAGTACGCGTAAAATAATTTCAATGCATATATGTCAAAATTATTTATAAAGGGGACCTCTGGCTGTTTTTAGACAACTTGAAAATAATTGCTGACGGCGAACATTAAAACTAATTATCGGCTTGTGAACTTCCATCAACATGGACTTCCAAACGTAAAATTTTCAAAATTGCCCATTTTGTTTGTCTAAAACATAGAAATAGAACGGCTAGAATGCGCGCTCTATTGTTCTTCACCTGTCGCGCGTGTTGCCACCGTGGGGAACTAAAATGGTAGCAACAAGTTGGCAAAAAGCAGCAATAACAACAGAGGATTAGTACGTGTCGAGCCGGCCTCTTTTAATTTGGTAGCTTGTATGGCGAATAGAACCGATATTGCAAGTCAATGGATAAAAAGTATGTTCCAGGTAAGATTTGCGTATACTTTTAAGGACCTAGCGGGTACTTCCTTCTTTAAAAGCTGTGGTATCGTCTGGCGCAGGGCTAGGTCATCTCTAAAATTTCGATGTAAAAAATAAGATTTTATTAAAAATATATTGATTTTGTTTGCATGAATTTTAAAGAAATATTTACATTGTCAAATACCTGTCTTTAAGGTTAGGGAACGTTTGGAATCCAAGTGAACGCGAAATTTCGAATGCCCAAACTGAATCGCATCCCAACATTTAGTCTTTGAATTTGAACATTAGTCCATTGCCCCAGTCAAGATGTGTTACCGATCTTTTTGCCAAATCTTTGAGTGTATTTATCGAAAACAGAGAAGTTTTATTTTACATATTATTATAAATGCCGATTTCTCAAGTTGTGCTATTTACAGGTTATGCTATTTACAAAAAAGGGATCATCTTATTAAAATGTTGTTTACATTTGTCAATCGTCAAGAGAGATGGCATTTCCTCCATCTACTTTATAAAAGGACCACCAGGCTACTTAACCGCCGCCCGGCACTCGGCGTTATATAAAGTTTGACGATTTTCAAATGAAACAACATAATCCTAAAGGTTTTATTCAGAACCAAAGTTAGTCGTTATAAAATAAAATCTGTTTTGTTAACTTATGGCGTTTTGATGCTTTGTTTTTCTTTATGATACGCTCTGTATATACTCTTCCAAACTGGAAGCAGAAAATTTTTAGATATTTTTGAGTTATTAATTTGATTAAAATTGTTATGTGATCATCCCTCATGTGCTCATCCAAGATATGTGTTGCCTTTGAATGTTCAGATATAGATGTAAATGTTGACATCTTCGTATCTTGCAGTACTTTTGATTCAATTTGTTTATTCATATCACTTGAAATGCCCTGCCAATTACATAATTCCCTTCTAGCAATTCTATCAACGCTTTGGACAACCTTATAAACAGACCAAGATGGAACTAATAAATTCCCAAACCTTTTGCATGATATGAGTGAAAGATTGCAGCTATAGCCATAGTCATTAGAGCTGTCTGAGCTTTGGTACAGAGCAGTTGCACAATCAGGACAATCAAGGGACTCTAGAATTTTTTTTACAATATAGCCAGAAATGTATTGCAAGACATCATTTCTCCAAATGTTATTTGAAAGGAGCATGTCATTGACAGCTGGGTCACTGCTTTGGATTTCATTGCTTTCTTGGATCCTGCTGATATCAATGCAATTGGCTGTGGATGGAGCTTCAATTTTATTCTTCAATAAAAGGGATCGCAGTGCATATTTAAACTGGAGGGCTGTTGGGTTATTGTTCCAACCAAAACGACTTCTTATTTTTGAAAAGTACATTTCAATTTGGTCCTGAGAAAAGCGATATGTTAGTATGTATTTGAAAGGAGATTCTGATCTTTCAAATAAATGTCTGCTAATATTCAGAATTGATGTTGCAGAGACAGCAAAACCAATTACAAAGGTCTTTCTTGGCCCATTGATTATTGGCAAGCCTGCTGTATCCTTAAGAGACTTAAGATAATCAATCCCATTATTAAGGTAACCTTGAAGCTCAAGGATATTATCAGGTGTGATTGGCTGCTTTGTATGCTTACCAAATTTGCTTTTAGAGTTTAAAATGTCAAAGATGTTGTTCATCAACAAAATAAACTCGCTTGTGGCCTTGCTGTCTCTAAACTCTGCAAGTTTGAGGCTTCTTAAAAAAGTAATGGCAGCTGCAACAGAATGGCTCAGTGTCTGTGCAGCAATACCAACTTTCATTTTGTGGTTCTGCCATTGAATATGCTGGGTCTTAAGTTTGTTGGCTAAATTTAACACATCTTTTTTCTGTGCTCTATATAATGCCAACACATACTCCCATGATATTCTTTCCCCAGTAGGAGTACAAAATATTTTAATGTCTGCAAAAGCATTCCTTGCTAGCTTTATCATATGACAGACATCTAGAATGATAAAAATTTTTTTACCAGGTTTAGCAGGATGCGGAAAAGAACCATCCAGCTTTTTTATGTTAGCCCCTAGTTTTTCTGCCATAGTGATATTTTTAGGGGCCCCATCAAATATCACTGCATGCACTTCAGCACCTTTTTGTGTGACCATTGTTATGGCTTCAGTTATTATTCTAGCCAGGATATCACCATCTAGTGCATTGGTCAAAAAATATGCTATTGGGACATACCATGGTTTTTGGAGCCCAGCTACCATGAAAAGAAGTGCATTTTTAGCAATCGTGTCTGGCTTTTCTCCCTTAAGTGGACCATAGTTCACATTACCAACAAATCTTGAATTTTTCTGGTCCCATTCAAGTTTTGTTTTAATTGCCATTTCATCTAAAATTATGACACAATCATTCTGACCCTCTTTTACTTTATTTTCAATGAAATCAAAGGATTTGTCTAAAAACCCAGGCTCGCAGTCAATGTTAATAGCCCAAGAGCGGATAGTTGCAGGGTGTGGTAAATGAAGATGTTTTCTTATGAACCTGTATGCTCTTGGGCTGTAAAAGTGAAGGGAGATTGCAAACTCTTTAATCTCCTGTGAGTATCTAGAACCAGCCTGTTTTAAAGCATTTTTGGTTTCATTTCTAAATAACTCAGTTGTCAGATGACCAAAATTCTCTGCTAATGTCTCCTCGCTTGTTTGGCTGAGCATTTTTAATTCTTTCAACTGAGAGCAAAGGCCTTTGATAGTTTTTTCCTTTCTCACGTTACTTATTCTCAACTTTTTGATGATCTTATTTTTTTCTTGAAGTTTCCTTTTGTATTTTTCTGCAACTTTTCTAGGGGAAGTCTTTAAAACATAAGTATGGTCATCAGCAAGCTTAGGTTTCTTCTCAGTTGAGGTTGTTGGTCTATTAGGAGAAGCACTAGGTCTTTTCCTTGGCTTTCGCTCTTTTGTTTCCTTTTTTTGGATATGGGCGGGAAAATCAAAAACAGATGGTACTGCATCCTTTTTCAAATATTTTTTTCCTAATGACTGATAGTTTGGTAAACAAGAAGGATAGCTGTAATCACTTGGAAGGAAATGTTTTTCACAAATTCTTTGCGATGGTGTTGGGTGCCAATCTTTTCTTCTCATTGCAACAAGCCATTTACCCATCAATTCTTTATTTGATAATGGAAAGCTGTGGAAAATATACCACAAACAAGATTAAATTTCATTTTTCCTTTTTACTGCAATAGGTAACCCTCAATTTGCTGTCATTTTTATCTACTCTGTGCAAACTTTAAAATATTTGATTATGAAACCTGGGGGTCAACCTTTGAAGTTATGGGTCTCAACACATGCTGACAACTTTCAGCATAAACATATGAGATAGTACCGTAAGAGCACACTCACATTATTTTACAGCCTCAGTTGCAATTTTAATATACCCAAGTCTTTCTTTTTAGTGTGTACGAAGGAAGAAACGCAGGATATATTGTGCGCCGTATTCTGTGAATCTTGCAATGAGTAATATTATGAATTATAGTTAGGAACAACAAAGTAACACTACGATGAAAATCCAATGTTTTGAAATAGAATTTCAAAATACATTATATTTAATAAATACTAATATTTCTCCCCGGCATGAAGGGCTTCATTAGAGGCTTTCTTGATAGAACCACCAAAAAATTAAAAAGCTAAAGAAAAAGTGTACGTCCAACACTTTCACCTCGTATCTCTAACTGAAGGCCCGATAGGTTTGAAACGTTTTATTACAGCGCTCTCGAATAATAAAAAATCATTTATCCGACAAGTAAATTTTTTATTGAATTATCCAGAAATGCCGAAAACTTATCGTAGTATTGAATTGCGATCGTGAATGCCGGGTATGTGAAATGTTTCTTATATGTCAAATAAACCCTTCCGCTTGAATTTAATTCAAAATAAGATTAGAATTAATCTTACATATGTCTCAAAGTTTGTCTTTCAATTCAAAGCGCTAGTGAAAAATAGGCCTAGACTTACTGATGAAACGACACATTCGTTTGTCCTGGACGAAGATCCTTCGTCGGGATCCAGCGATTTTCGCAACCAAACGCAGCACAGGATACAACCATTATACAGATTTTATCAGATCTGAACCAATTCTGAATAGTTTATCGCAAAATAAACGCAAAATTTCGGGTATGTGACGATCGTCATTAAAGTCGGCCTATGTTATCTGAATAGTACTTCCGTGTTTTCTGCCAACTTGTTGCTACCATTTTAGTTCCCCACGATGGCAACACGTCACGTGACCTACCACGCATTCTAGCCCTTCTAGTTCTATGGTCTAAAATATTTCTAAAATACAAAATGGCTCTTTGCTCTAATTGTCTCGTTGCCAAAAAGAGGCTGTTTTCAAAAAGGAAAGTCGCGGGAAGCAAAACGAAGAATTTTGACGCTCGGAGAAATGTTTCGAAAGTTTTTTGGAAGGACAGTGATTTTGCTAGGATCGTCTGCAGCTGCAGTCGGTTATCTTGGGGCATCTGGAAATGAATGGTTTTATAAAAACGTTGCGATGCAATGTGTACGGCAAATGGACGCCGAAAATGCCCATGTTTTTGCAGTCAAGTGCGCCTCCAAAGGTTTTGTACCACGAGGAAAGGACAGGCCAAGTGACATTCCGCTAATGGTAAGAAGAGCATTGCGACATTTAAAAAATGAAGTCATGTAAGCCTTTGGTTCGATTTACAAGAAAATAAGAAGCAGTATCACTTTATGAATGCCGTTCTGTGTTTGATGTTTAATTTATAACACTTTGTGAAAAATATGGGTACCCAGAAACCAGGAGGAGACTAATGGTTCGGCTTGAACTGGGTTCAAATCACTTAGTTTTCAATTTTGTCTCTTTTGTAGAAATGTAGATGACCTCCCAATTTGGCATGTCACCCTGTTAGAATCTTCTCCATAGAAGGCAGACGGTATTCGGCAGATGCCCCTTCTTGTGCCCCCATCAAAGTAAGGGTTAAAGTTTCTTTATGTCATCCAGCCCTGTCTGTTTCAATTCACAGGCGCGCAACTACGGGGGGGGTCCTGGGGGTCCAGACCCCTGCCCTTTTTCTCAAAAGGGGAAAAGTGCCCTTTTTCCTGGAAAATTGCTTGAATATTTTAACTATTACGCTAAAATGGTTGGTCATACAGTAAATGACACACTCCGGAGATGTAATGGACCTCGCAGGAATACAGATAAATGATTTAGTCAAACTTTCACGCACTTGTTGGGTCGAACGTCATCATGTTGCAGTAATAGAGTCTATCTTCAAGCCCCAACTCTATAGCGTGTTTTATGATGCGCTACGCACTGGCTTTGAAAAAGAATGGTTCTGGAACTCAAAAACCAAAATAAAGGCACAAGATTTTGAACGGGATAGAGCCTCTACGACCTCTGGTAAAAAGTTACAAGAATAAAAACCAAGACATTTTTCAAGCCTGTCACATAGTTGACAGGGTCATAGAAGACCTTTGCATGAAACGAGCGAATGCAGAGAAATATTTTCGGACTGGTATTAGCAAGCAGTAAATATGGCACAAAAAGTTGATGTTCAGCTGTTCCGTTCCTTGTCAGTATTACAAATCAGCTGAAGGCAAGACTTGGAGACAGAAACCAGCTGAAGGCAAGGCTCGTGGAACTGTTCAACCTCCTCCAATCTGTAGTGCGAAGCAAAGAATTCAATAATAATATTTTAAAGCGCAAAATGTCTTCGGATATGGAAGATGATGGGTTGCTATTCAAAAGTGAGCTGGCGCTGGGAAAAGGAGATGACAGCAGGGTCGCCGAGAGGGGGACAAAGGGGCAAATTGCCCTAGGGCCTCGAGGTCTAGGGAGCCTCACAAAGCAATGAATTCCATTTTTAAATGGAATTTATTAGAAGTAACAAAATTACAATTAAAAAGTAAAACATCTTAAACGAATTAGTGAATTTAAGCTATTTGCAAGGTTGTGGTGGCAAAATTTTTGCTCGCTTCGCTCGCAAGAGGCATTGTTTATTCCATTTCCCCCCTCCTTCGGGCCTCCTAAACTTCATCACACCTCACCACAAAATAAACCGTACACCACAACTTTTCTCTATTGATCAGTTTCCCTTGTCTGGCGTACAATATTTACAGATTTACTAACTGCTCATATTTTCGGTGTACCTAAACAAATGCCCCGGTGGACCTTGAATGAAGTTTAATTAGTGCCCTTTTTGTGTCTTGGACCCCTGCCCTCTGAAATTTCTGGTTGCGCGCCTGATTCACCAGATTTAGAGAGACAGTACTAACGCACCACAGCACCACCAGCCATTATAGAAAATTGAAACACCTTGTTTTGTCAAATATTTCAATCGTAATCACTGGGTATTTGCCTAATTCAAATAAAATAATGTTTTGATCTAGTGCAGCTGAGATCTTGTCCTAATCAGTGGCAGACACTTGGGGGTGAGGGGGGACTTTAGAGGACAATAGTCTTTTGTTATAAAACAATGGGAAATGTGACATCATCTTATTAAAACAATAGGCTTGCCCCCCAATATTTGTCCAAGTGTCTGCCTCTGCTCCAAATCTACCCAGTTTGTTATGACTGTTTCCAGTCCGTGCATATGCTCAAATTTTGCAAATACATTATGTAAATTTGTGTTGTATGTTTTTAGTTTTTGAGAGATATATATTTATTTATTTCAGAAAACTGATGTATTTGGAATTGAGTTTGCAAATCCAATTGGGCTAGCTGCAGGATTTGATAAAAACGCAGAGTGTTATAATGGAATGTTAAAATTGGGTTTTGGATTTGTGGAGGTTGGCTCTGTCACCCCAAAACCTCAAGAAGGTAACCCGAAACCAAGAGTTTTCAGGCTATTGGAGGATAAAGCTGTTATAAACAGGTGAATGCTTCACAACATATTTTATCAATTTCTGCATAACATCTATATGGGTTTAAAGTTGTAAGGATTTTTTAATTTTAAATAAAAAGCAAAAATAATCAGGCCATACTCAAAATTGATTGGAAGGCTCGTCCAACATTAGCCCAGCTATATGGAAATATTCCTATTTAAGTGTCTCATGTGCTACAAGAAAAAAGACTCTGTTCAGCTGGACATGCTTGGTTAAGTAAGGAAGAGTTGGTCAGTGATGTCTTGCTGTGGAGACCATCTCAAGGTAGGCCACAAAGAGGCCGTGCAAAAAGAATACTTTGAACAACATTGACATTGCCCAAGGCCTGGAGGAATATTTACCAACTCTGATGGGAGATAGAGTCAAATTGAGAGCCCAAGTCAGAAGAATTTGAGACATCAACTGCACCTGATGATGATTATGATGATGTTGTTGTAATGTTAATCAAGTTATTAAATATAAATATGTCACTTTGGGTTGAATCATGCTTATAGATGAATCAAAAGGTTATTTTTTTCAAATATTATTTACATGGACCAGGCAACTTTTTCTCAGTAGCAATAAAGGTTTATTACTAGAAATTTGATTTTTTTAAATTGTTACATATAAACAAAGATTGTGTTGGTTCTGTTCTCTGTATGTCTTGTTAATATTTGTCCCATTTTATTGTTTGATTCCAATAAGTTCTGTTTTTCTATTGATAAAATAAAACTTTAATCTGATGCTATTTAATAAGCTGATATATGAGTTGACTGTCATTTATTTGTTGAAAGGTATGGGTTTAACAGTCATGGCATTGAAGCATGCAAGGAAAGATTGAATGCCAGAGGGAACTTGAAGGAAACAGGAATTGTTGGGGTGAATTTAGGGAAGAACAAAAATACTGAAGATGCAATTGATGATTATGTGAAAGGAATAAAGGAGCTTGGACATTTTGCAGATTACATTGTGATTAATGTCTCCTCACCAAATACTCCTGGCCTGAGGAAAATGCAAGGAAAGGAGCAATTAGAGAGCCTTATATTAAAGGTAATTTCTAAGCACTATAAAAAGGTTTTTGTTAATGTCGATAAACATATTGCATATGTTAAGTATGGATCATGATAGCACATGTTAATTTAATCTAGAGAGTTTATTAGCACAGGCCAATTCAGTTTCATTCAAACAAAATATAACAATTTAATATTATATGTATATGGGATGACTATAGTATCAGTTATAGATTTCCAATTTTTTTTTCTTTGAATGTAACAGTATATAAAGAAAAAGGTTTAATTTAATTATTAATTTCACAATTGAATACAGGTACTACAAGCTTGGGACTTTAAGTATAAACTGAAGAGCAGTTAAGCTAAATAATTGTATTGTGTTTGTTATGTTGTCGGTTACATCCATTTCATATTCCTGCCTCGTGTTCTTTATTGATAGCAATCCACAATATTTGTTCAGAAATTTTACAGTTATATGTATAGTAATGCTGTTGAATTGATAAAAATTTTCATTACAAAGATGCTTATCATTGACAAAAAGAAATGTTATTTGAAAATAATCCCAAAACAGTTTATAGTCCTAACACTGTTTCATTTGATTCAGTTTAAATGAAGTAGCAGGTACGAATGATTTTATAGGCCCTGGATGCCAGAAACCAATTAAAGCATAAACCACCATTGTTGGTAAAGATAGCACCAGACCTGACAGATGATGATAAAGTTGACATATCAGATGTCATTACAAGTGAGAAAGTAGGTTTTCTTCTGTTTTTTATATGCCAAACCTTTCCTGCCAAATTCTAGTAAATATTTTTTTCGCATATCAAAGGAACAACATGGCCAATTATACCGTCTTGTTTTATCACACTAAAAGATGCTCAAATTTTCCGTTTGAAATGTTGTAGTTCACATTTTCAACAGGATATACAGATCTTTATATTCTGTACATCTGTGCAGCTTTACAGGACTGATAAGCGTTTGCAATATATGCTGGTATCCATTGCTTGGGTTGGTCTTTAAGTCTTATGGAAATTCCACATGTCTCTGTGAATAATAGTTTCATAGATTTATTTTAGGAAATTATGAAGGTCAGCAAGAACTTTTAATTTATAATGGTCTCAAAACAAATTAATCTATTTAGAGCTAACGTAAAGCTCTATCAAGTCCTCCTCTCTATTAAACCCCCTCTTTAGCATTTGATGTCAAACATGGAAAACATGCACATTTAGTGGGTCCTTGATGGATGTCATGAGAATAAGATCAATTGCATCAAAAAGGCCCAAGTAAAGACATACTTGTGTGACTTAGAAGTCGGTGGAAATTTGTTTTGAAGATGTCCAAAAATTATAAATTGATCCTGGTGATGCTGATACAGATGAGGACCTTATAGTTGATTAATTAACCTTTAGAAGCTGCTAGCAAAGTTTATGAGAACATTTGTATGACATTTTTATAACAAAGAATGGACAAGGGTATTTTTAAAAACATTTTTGCTTCAAATTTTTAATAAGTCCCCTCTCTAATAAGCCCCCTCTCTTTTAAGCCCACCCCCTCTAGGACTGAAAAATAAATAAGCTCCCTGGAGCTTAATAGAGCTTTTACGGAAAGTATCTTTAGATGAGATATTTGTTTTTTATTTCTGCCATTATTATATGTCAACAGTTTATTTGTGCAAGGGTACTCTACTTTTTGTAGTTTAGACAATAATCTAATTCTTAGTGGATTCCTTGTCACAGCTCAAACGTTTCATCTTTTCTCCAAGATGCACATTTGAAAGGGCATGTGTTGTTAACATGATTGGCTAATGCAATACAAAATTTTTTTGTTTAGTACAAAGCATGGAATCGTGGGTGAATTTAGAAATGAAAAGTCACGGAACAATGGAATGCCACTCTAAACGCTTTTGTTTTATTAGTTAACTGCTAATGTGACATATGCCCTTTAAGGGACAAGGGGGTATCATATCATCTTACATCAGGCCTGGCCGTTTGAGGCGAGCGATAGCTCGCGCTCGCCTCCACGCTCCCCTCGCAACCTGAGGCGAGCTATGAATTGCTCTTCTAAACAGAACATGAAGGAAGAATCGCTCCCCTAAAATTTCCTATTCAGAGAATTATGAAAACGCACAAGGGTTAATTGGTTTATTTTTGTAACAGCGATTTCTTCCGTCATTGCATTTTTTGCAATTAACTTTTTGCTTGTTGGGCGGTTTTTGTTATGATAGGCATAAACTTCGATCTATTTGGAAAACGATAGTTAACCGAAAGGTACATTTGTAGCAATAAAAACAAAACTATGCCTCAAAGAGAACAAGGTACTCTGTCTTGCAGATCAAAAACGACAACCAACGCATGGAATTCCACTATCCAGCGGCATTTACTGAAAAACCCAGATTGGGTGAAAACTATAACGGCAACATGTTTGGCATTATTGGCAAAGCCTGATCATCGTTCCATCTAGCAGTTTGTGAATCTATCTACTATATAAACATGACCAACCGCTTTTGTGTAGACATAAGTGAGTTCGTTTTCACCTTAGGACTCCGTTGGTAACATTTTCAATAAGAAAGCGGCACTGATTGGACAACCTCAACAGTCATGTGCTCGCGCTTTCTGATTGGCCTATTTCGATCCAAAACTGGGTATTTTAGCGTAAAGTTTTCCATCTTTGTTCTGACGTTTTATTCTCTGAAGAGTGCTAGACGTATAACTTCAGCTTGTTTTAAAAATTGTTTTCAAATTCTGTATAACAAAAAGATTGTTTTGCAGGAGAATGGTTGTTTTTGTGTTGTGCCAGCTTTACATGAAACTGAAAAAGTCTGTTCTTTTAAATACTTAAAGTAAAGGGGGTGCCTAAGTCACGGTTAAAGCAAATACAAATTGTAAGAAGTAAAACAGCACACTCCTGACTGAGGCAATTACATTAAGGCAACCGACAGATACTAAAGGGGCTTATTAAGTCATCTGTCGATTGTCTTTAAAGTACATTCCATGTGTTACTGATTTAGCTCGCCTCAGCAAATGAGGGGAGCGATTCACAGCTCGCCTATAAAAATACAAACGGCCAGGCCTGCTTACATCAGATCATCTAATTAGGCATCATGGCCACATAATATTGAGAAAAGTTTAAAGTCCCAAACAGTATCATGGATTACTTTTCTATCATTGAGCACAGAAAGTGATCCCAGTAGGAGAAATTTGGTTATCTTTAGCTTGTTATTGCCAGCATTTCCCTTATTAGATGATATACAATGAACTTGTATAAATCGTGTGTTAATCAGCCCTTTTCTCTCTTTATTTAGACTAAAGTTGATGGATTAATTGTAACAAATACAACTATAGCTCGTCCTTTGTCACTAAAAAGTGCATCCAGGGACCAAGTTGGTGGTCTAAGTGGTGAACCATTGAAGGAAATGTCCACAAAGGTAGTTGGTGACATGTATAAGTTAACTGAAGGTAACAATTTGATACTGTATTTATTATTTCGATTGCTTTTTCTAAGATAATGTTCTGGTAGAGGTAAACAATTAAAACTATGACATTTCTTATTTAAATGTAACCTTAACATTATTTTTTTCATGGATGGTGATTTCATCAAGAAGAAATAATTTCATATAGATATAAACCATTTAGAAATAGATGCAACATGTAAGAGTAGATGCAACATGTAAGATTGTTTATTTCAAGGTGAAAGTGATATTTTTAAAAAAGCGAGATAATTGAAGATTTTAATAATTTGCTAAAAATGTGAGATCCACTTAGGTTTAAGTTATGCATGTTTGTGTGTGTAGGTCTTAAAGTCTTGTAGCAGTTGGCAACCTAAAAATTGTGTCTGATCCCTATTCCATATATTCATTCTTCTCAATGTCAAGAGAAAAAAGGAAAACATTTTAACTACAATCATGAAACCTGATAACTAAGGCAGATGATTGAGAAAATTCCATAGGAAGAGAAGGATTGCTGAAAACGGAAAGAGAAAGATATTTTTGCTGGTTGATGTACCTTTAAAATCATTTATAAATTATCCAAAATTTAAGATTATTAAAATTTACCCCTATCTTAAATAGACATTCAATGAAAACATCTCAGAACTCTCACTTAGATGGCTACTTAGCGATCCTTTTGCGATTTAGGACGTCTTCCAATTATTGGTGTTGGAGGAATTTCATCCGGACGAGATGCATATGACAAAATTCGTGCTGGAGCGTCACTGGTACAATTATATACGGTGTTAACCTACGAAGGTCCTACCGTTATTTCAAAAATCAAGAGGGACCTGGCTGATTTGCTCAGGTATTCATATATATATATATAACTTTCATATGGGTAATTGTTATCAATAACGCATGAATTCTGCCTTCCATTCTCTCAGGTGCTTAATACAAAGGGGGGGGGGGGCTTTAAAAAAAAATTCCCAGCCCAGGCCAATTATCATAAAAACCCGTTTTTACGAATTTCAACCCCCTCCCCTTTTAGTGAGACCCCCGCGTATATGTTTTTAAAAATCCCCCCCTCTGTATTAAAGCTAAGCTAAGATGGTTGTTCCAATCAAATTATGGATTCAAATCGTAGTCACTAGCATAAGAAAATAAATGTTGCATCATGCTTTTATAATTCCCAAACTTAAATTTCCCCGGCTATATGTGTTCTTTGCTTAGCAATATCTTGTCATTTTGCTTCTGATTTCATCACTCTTGCCAGTGGATATTGGTGGCCAGTTTTATTCATTGTACCTCTAAGAAAGTAGTTAGGATTGTTCAACATAAGCTGATTCTTTATGGTTGTCAGCAATCTATCTACTGTCACCAACACCTTATTGTCCTGTTAATTGATATTCATTATAATTTCATTTACGACAAGCGTTATCTGATAATAATGATAATCATCAAACTCCAAACAATATTACACTGATGAGTTCTCCATCACACATGTGACAAAGCTCTACAATGAGATTTTTAAAGACGAAATACAGACCTCCATTGATTTTCTTTTATTTTCTCTTCATAGAGATGATGGTTTCAAATCAGTTGCTGAGGCTGTCGGAGCTTCGCACAGATAATGGAAAATGTAAGGAAAATATGAAGAACTTTGTCTGGCAGAACCTTTATAATTTTGTAAGTGCTTGGGCGGGTTTTTCTTATTCTGAATGATGGGATGTTTTTTGGTACAAAATGCAATGGTGGATAGCGCCAGATTTGTTTCCGTCAAAGTCAAACGATTGGCCGTTTATGCATTTACCTGTCAAAACAATAATTGAACAGAATTGCAGTGCATCGACCCGTTACGGGGTTTCAAACAGTTTTTATTGACATTGGATGACAAAATTATCTATCAAAACATTATAAATTTTGTAATTAGAGAACGCGATATTTCCTTATATGTATTTATTGCTTGCTTTAATTTTTCGCTTTTTCACTGAGAAAACAGAAAATTATGCATATACATTATTGCATGTAACAGAAAAATAATTTTTTGCAATTTAAATTGTTGATTTTGGTGTGCCATTGTCAGTTTTGCACATAACACTACGAAAATCTTAACTTTGAGGATTTTTTTTCTAATTTCTTTTGACTGTGTTGTTTTGTAAAGTCGATTCTTAAAGGTAAATTAAAAATAGTGCTACATTGAATTGGTACATTGTATCTGCTTTAAAGGAGGAAAATCTATATGGGGTGAATTGTGGATTCTATCTGCTTACGTAGGGAAATTTTTAGTAATCTTATTTCTTTTGACTAAAAAAGAGTGATTAAGTTTGTGTAAGAATTAACAACGGAAATTGAAATTGAAGGAATTCTTTTACTCTATTTTAACTTTGCAACCGAACCAGAATATTCACCTAAGTAGATATTTTAGACTGATGTATGCCATAAAATTTTCGTGTTTGTATCGTATCGTATTTTTTCTGTTCTTGTTTCTTTCCGTTCTTTCCATAGTGCTTCTAGCTTCTAACTTTGTATTGTACGTTTTAGAAAGCATGTTGTTATCAAACAATTTTATTTGATTTGACCATTTTAAAAAACTTAAAGGAAAGGGATACTATACCAACATTTTGGCTGGAATGTTCATTTAAAGTCAATGCAATGACCTGATAAACCCTTGATAAAATTGTATTAATCAAATTAACCACGCTGTTTTATTCTCAGATAATGAAGCAGGTTTGTTATCATAAAACAGTTGAAACTTGCCACATAAAATTCGACTACTTTTACTAAAATATTTAACAATCTAATACATAAATAGAAACAATAACTCTTAGTTTTAATACCATTTTCGCAATCTTAAACATAATATTTCCTGATAATAAAATAAAATTTGATTATGATTAAGAATAATAAGAAGAGATGATTAAAATGACTAAAAATGCGACAAATTTTGTTTTTTCTTCAAGTTCCTGCCCCTTTGGCTACTGTTTTTTAAATATTCATCGAGAGTATGCTGCTTTGATGTCAGTTTTATCTGTTTGCAAGTCAGATAAGAATGATGACAGTATCTGCTGTTTGCAAGGGTTTTTGTGCTTCGACCATAGACATAAGATTGGTGGCAAGATAAAGGGGTGAAGTTTGAAGATAAGAAATAAGAAATATTTCGGTAAGTGTATCGTATTGTTTAATTTTCTAACATTGGCCGGTCTGGGGATATTTGTGGGACAATTTCAAAAATAGTTCGATTCCCCTTCGTGTAAGTGACATGTCTTGTTAACATGCCCTGTTAGTGACATGTCCTCTGTAAGCGACATGGGCTGAAGAACCGACAGTCAAAAGTTTGTTTCTACCCGAAATGATGAGCTGCTCTACCTTAGAAAGTTTATCCGTGGGCGAAGTATCAGTTTGTGTCATTGGTATATTTTGCACAGTAACGAAATCAGCTACCTTAGTGTTGTTAGTTCAGGATAAGTAGATATTATTGTGTTAAACATTGCTGAAAAGTTAACTTAAAGATTTCTAAAAAATCTGTAGTTGGTAAAAACCTGAAATGATTGTAACGCTAATTACCGAGGCCCATTGTTTATCAGAATAATGTAGTTAGATTTAAACAAGAAAACGTCATTTATAGCTTATAGGGAGAGCTTCAGTCGATGTGGGTGTAATGGCCTGATCAATCTTCGCGATTCACTTTTCCTTGGTAGAAAGACAAACTAGTGGAATGTTTTTGCTTTTTCTAATGAAATGAGGCATCTCTCACCCTAGCAGTGAAAATGCTGGCTCATTCATTAGAAGATTTTTGCCTTCTTCTCGCCCATACAAACATGGTTTCTGCGATATCTATTGACCAATGCCAGCAGCCTTTATAACTATGCCGACGATGAGAATAGCGCAAAAGAAGAAGCTAGCCAAAGCTGTTAGTGCGATTCTGACTGTTGAAGGCCTGTCTTCTTTCCCGTCCTCCTCGTCAATTACCGTCATGGGGTTAAACTTGTGGTTGATCCTCGGTTCTCCCAAAAGCAGTGATGTCGTATAAAAAGATCCGTCTCCATCCGTTTCTAGTAAAGAAAGATAAAGCTGTCTGAAGAAGCTGGAGAAATAGTTCTCTTTTTCTTTTGAGCTGGGTGCCTTAATTGATGAATAAAAGTATTTTTGGCTAAATTGTGAATTATAAACGTTTAATGTTTTGGGACAAGATATAAGAGGGGGAGCAAAGCTATCTCTTGTTTTATGTAAATGGAGCATTTCCGTTACCATTCATTGCAAGTATAAACTAATAAAGACTATACAACCAATCTTATATGCTTAACTATACAAAAACAGTAATTTTTTTCCTTCTGAAACGCTTATAAATTATCAGTTAGGGGAAACCTCGAAAATCATTTTTGTAAGTATCTGCCTTGCCAAAACATGGACTTTTAAACAGCAATGGCTTTTTGCAAAGTTTTGTACAAATCAAGAGTCCTGAATTACAGTATGAGTAAATAACTGAGTATTAGTCATTCCTTCTTCTTTGCCAAGTTGGCAACCAATTTAGAAACATTTTCCAATAGCAGGTAGTGTTACACTCCAAACATCCCAGGTTTTTGTCATTCTATAGTGAGGCACTTACCATCAGAGCCATTTGAAAGGATTCCACTTGGTGTTGGCGGTCCTTTTGGCTTCCTTTCCTGTTGAGTAGAAAATTTACACGGACTTGATGGCTTATGAAGACTCTTCCATCAATAAAAGATTGCTTGCATTAGGTAACAGGGAGCCTTACGGTAATTTCTATTGCAAATTATAAATTCTAGAAAATTAACTTCGGATTTTAAAGTAGTAGCCTGTCTCTAAAACCCATTTGTATCTTGTAACATTAACTATCACACCAGATATACGTTTGAAACACAAAAAAGGTTTCATATGTTTCATAGTCAAGGTGGCGTTTCTTCTTAGGTTTAAGAGATTGGCAGAAAGGTTGTCAAATCTGTTGAAGTATCTTGACGAGAAAAGTAAAAAATGTCATTTTTAGTATTAACTACTATCAACCCTATTAACAAAAGATATTTGTTCACAAAGTTTACAAGCTTTTGAATACTTATCGTGTTCTTGGCTCAAAAATAGCAATGCTAAAACCCGGGTAGGCATTTTTCTGATTGAATAATGCATAAACCACACTTCATTTCTCTAGCAGAATTGCATACAAAACATCATGTATATATTCTACCAGGCAGGGTTTGAACATTGGAAAACTTTCTAATAGAAAAACCATATCCCATTGGGTAAAGAACAATGATATCTAAAGATAAATCCGGTATACATACAGCTGCCAGTGTCCATTCTTGCATGAAGTCTTTGAGTATTACCAAGAACAACATTGCCTAGTGATTAGGTATACATGGTTAATTTATACAAAATAGGGTAGACGTGTCTTCTTTAAAGATCTGTCCCAAAGGTCAGTAGCAAGAGACATGACATATATAAGTTAGGAATATCTACATTATGTGTAGGTATCTACTTTTACCTAAAACTGCGTGTGTACCATGTGCATAGAGGAGTAAGGTCAGGATAAGTACTAAGATTTTAATTTTGTTGTTGATCTTAGAACTCGAAGTATTTAAAGGTTTCCAGAATACCAAGTGCCGATTAGCTTATTTCTAGAGACACGAACACGTAGCATACGATAACTCGAAACAGTACACCGAATCTGTGGCAGAGAGTTCTTCTTTTTGCTTTCTTGAATGATTTCCATCCCAATCTTGAAAGATACATTGTCGAGCAGCTTCTTAGGTTTAAGGGTGATTTTCTCTGGCTTTTCAATTTTTTGGTCATCTTACGGCCCGGTTTCTTATAGATGGTTTTTTATAAAAATGCGAGCTTATCATCTTCCTTTGATTTAGTTGATACCTGAACAGCCTGCTGTTTGCTTACCTGATACTCTGAACCCTGATACCTGACCAAGTTTTTGATCACGTTCTAACCCGTTCTAATGGGCCTCAATTTCTTGAAACGAAATATAACTGGTAAATTGCGGATGCAGTTCAAATTCGAATGCTGGCTTAACTGTGGCCAAAAGCCCAGCTGCAAAAGCCGGCATTTTTATTATCTTCTACACCATTAGGACTACTGATAATACAGTTAGCAAATAAATTTAGTACCAGAATGAAAATATAATAGTTTGATTGTTAAAAACGTTTCGAGCATGTACTCGTTATGAGTTGATAACGAGTACATGCTCGAAACGTCGTGTTTTCAACAATCAAACTATTATATTTTCATTCTGGTACTAAATTTATTTGCCAACTATATTATCGTTATTCTGGATGAAGTACCTCACGCAACAAACATATTTAGGACTAATTTGTTTCAACAACTGCCTTTCCTATAATATCTCTTTTCGCAGTTTACAACGTTGAAATTTAGTGGAAAAATACGGTATCTAAAGATCATTAAGTGCTTGATATTTCAAGCGCAATTAAAAATGTAAAACTTTAGATGTGTGGACGTAAAATGTATTGATTTAGTTTACCTGAATTAAGATTCCTATTGAGTATCCGGCCCAAAAACCTAAAAAAACGTAAATTTTATCGTCAGAAAACTTTAAAGCTCATTAAAGAATTAATTGTAACAGACTTCAACAGTATCTTTTACTTCTGATCTGGTTGTTAAGAGAACCAGGCATCGGGAAAGGGATCGAGGTCAACTACACGAAGAACCCACAGAAAGGTGTCTGCAATGTTCGGTAACGTACTGAGGGTGCTTCATTGGCGATCTTAAACGATCTTAAACGATCTTAATACACGATCTTAAAGGCAGTATGTCCCGTCAGTCCTCCGTTCAGCGTTAACAATAGGCTTTGCAGCTTGTTTCTGATCGAGAAAACGTTGAGAATTAGCCGATTGGATGTGTAACAATAGGTCTATTATGTAGTCCAACCAATGGGAAATTTGAATGGTCAACGAAATGTGTCGGGACATTGTGCTTTTAAGCTGCAGTTTCTTTTATGCGGGTTTTTACTGTATCTTGCCTAAAACACTACCGTCGGACAATGAACAACTCATGTAAGTCATTGAGACGTTTACTAAAGATGTCATGGTGGAAATTACTCAGTAAACAGAAAATCACCATTTTTGAAGTTATAAGTATTCTAGTGTTTAAATTTCACGCACCTCTCATTCCCCAACTGCGCAGGTATACGAGGCACAAGCCGATCGGAAGTCCAAACACCCAGTTACCAATCAAAACGATTATGACATTCAAGTATCTTGATTTTAACTTTCGTACGACGTGAAAACCCAGGGCCTGTACGCAGAAAAGAATTTCCAAGAAGGTTAAGTAACTGATTAGAATGGAAAAGATAAATCATCTATCTTTATTCATAATAGTTTCAGTTGACAGTAGTTTTGCATCCTCTTTTGCAAGAGAAGAATGTAACGAAAAATTTCAGTTTTTTACTTTGGTTCTCAAGGTCTCTCCCAATATAGTAATATACGATATAGAAATGTATTGAAATAGCCAAAATCACCAACACACCTTTAAAAATTTTAGGAATTTTAACCATTTTTTTGAAAACTTTTTTCTCAATTCTTCTCCTTCGTTGAGCTCATTTGAGTCATTTTGGTCAACTTCATTTATGTCAGCTTTATAATGCAAACTTTGGTTTAAGATATAGAAACTTTCCATAACAATAGATATTTATATCATTTACAAAATTGTTTATCTCTTTTTGATCAATCTAACTACCTCGAAACCCTGTCAACTGTTGCACTTTTTAGGTCAACTTCTTTCAGGAAATATGGGTGTCAATTTTAGATGCTTCTTCTTATTATCTCCAAGGTTTAAATTTTCGGCAGAAAATATCTTAAAATAACTGTGGCGATTCTTCTTACCTGTGTTCCTTTCAAAAATGGAATTGCCGAAACAACAATTATCATTTCTGTAACAGAAAGTCCAAATGGCCTACAAAAAACAAAGATATTGAGAAATACCCTTTGAAGTTACAAGACGGCAATCGTGATTCGGAAGTTCTATCATTAGTCAAATTATGAGAATTTTTTTAAAAGCCTAGTTCTATAGCCAAAAAGTTCTTTGGTTTTAGTTTAAACGTTGAAACAATAATGCTGTTGGATGAATTATATATACACAATTGTATACAATTGTATAGTTTGCAATACAAATACCTAAGCTGACCAAACCCTTTAATCAATATTATCATTTGGGCTTTTTCTATCATACCACTGCGATCTTTTTCATCAACAAATATTTTTATACAATTATCTAACTTAGTTTAATGCTGTATTCGCAATCAGATATAATTAAACGATACTTACCGATCATTGGTGAAAGAACTTGGAATTATTTTCGGTAAGGAAATGAGCAAAAAGCCACAGAAGAAGGAACTGACCCCTGTTTACAATTAAGCAAAAATAGAGATTAGCATTTGATGAGAAGAACGTAATTTTGTATCAAGCACTTTTCCTGTTGTTTATCACGAGTTTCAAGCCATAAGCTTCAGTATGTCTAAAAATATTTGATTTTTTCAAAGCAATTTTCAAATCGTATTATTTTATATGAGCTATCATTAGAGTGATTTTCTTATAACTACTTCGTATCAAAAGTATTTTTAAAGGACCATAATTTGCTCTAATAAGATATCAGGCGTTGCAATATGAGATCTTTTAGATTCGTATTAGGAGGAGATGGAGCCGTAGAGCTGCCACCAAGAATTTTGAACACAAAATTTATTCGAATATAAAATTAAACACAAAGTTGATATGCACTCTGCATCTAATACTTACATATAATCAAAACGGAGCATTTTACGAGGAAAACTGCTCGGCGATTATATTTCGCATCCACGGCTTCTTTTATCTGATCTGACGCCTCGGCAGCAAATCTATCCGCTATCTACAAAAGTATTATCAGCTGCTTAGACTTGCACGCTTTGCGAAAAACTATTCTGCGAGAAATGAGTACAGAGAGTAAGAAAAACTTCACTCTTCAAAAAGTATGTTGATGAGTAAAACAGGTTGGGCTTTCTTCCTAGCCATGAATCCGACATCTTTGTTTTGTATATAAGCTTCCCTTTAAAAGAGTCTAACATGTATTGATCTAAAAGAAACTGCATATAGGCAGAAAACTCTGCAGATTTAGATACCCAACATGACAATTGCAAAGATAGTGCGAGGAAATGAAAAATTGATTGACAGGTTGTCACTCACGATTGACAGAAAGCGAATAACCAATGATATTGTGATCTGCGAACCAAGTCTGCGATTGAAAGCATCTAATGTGCCTGTTGTCAAATGTGAAGAGAGTTTAAAATTAGATACAAAACTACGAAGTGTGAGTGTGGCAAAGAGATTCATACATCCTTAAAGCCATAAATAGTCTCTTATAAGAGAAAAGGCCATATTTATCAGTATTTCTGTTACTTTATCTGCGTATTGCTAGAAGGATTGCCGATGAACACATTTGTGTTTTGTGGTGTAATAATTTGTAAGGCAGAACAAAAAAGGAGTCAATCTTTCGATAGGCCATTACCAGTAGTCTTTATTTTCGTATTATAAAGTGATCAATTAACGTTTTATCATAAGTTGTCGATGCACAGTGTTAAATAATCGACAAATTCGTAATATTCTCGATCATGAATTGAGAAGGAGTAACATCATACCAATAAAGATTTATTGATCGCTGTTCTATCTAATTGCATTATACAGTGAAATAAAAAGGAACATCTTATTATAATAGATTATTTATGGTTTGAATAGAAATACGAAATACGAAAAACTTATTCTTAAATCAATATCTAACGAGTGCCCATGTTATTCATCAGACGAATGACTTTTATCTGCTAACTTTACGAAAAAACTTACCAACAACATAAATTCCAACGTCCAACGTCCACCATTCTGCAATTACCCACAACATGTAAGGCAGCAACTTAAGGCCAAATCTTTCCCATGCAAGAAAACAACCCCAGCTCCATCCTGTTGTTAAAGCACACATATTATAATTATCCAAAGAGTTATAATTGTAAAGGATGAATATTGTTAGAAAATACATTTGCTTTAATCGACATTGGAGTGAAATTACCTCACAATGCTCAAAGTGTATTTTAATATCAACGATATAACGAGAATCATTTACGCGATTATCTGTTTAAAAACGTGTGGTTACCTGGCCATGCTTCTTTGTACTTTTTGTTCCAGATTATGACAATAACCAGAACTAATGCAATGCAGAAATACGCCAAAATTGTTGCTATTGCTCCACCCCTATAAAAATATTAGTACAGCTAACAACCTATAAGAAACGCATAGTTTTGAGAATAAAGATAGCTCTTAGTCTTAGTGAATTACCCTTAGTTCCCAAATCTCTGAAATATCATTAATTCCCAGATCTTAGTTCCCAGTTTTTTTTAGAAATACCCAGATCTCTGAATTACCCTTAGTTTCCAGATCTTTGAAATACCCTCAGTTCCCAAATCTTAGTTCCCAGTTCCTAGAATTTCCCAAATCTCTGAAATTCCCTGTAACGATAAAAACATTCGATACTATTTTGCATGAAACAGTTACAAGTGGAATTTAAAAAGATTATTCGAAGGTAAACATTCTTCATTTTGACGATGCAGATTCTCTTTGAGTTATAATAAGATAGGCCTTAATATAAAGTTTCTTTTTGCAGTGTAAATGATATGAGGTATTCTTAACCCAATGGTGATGTTACCTGACTCCCAGCTTCAAAACTTTCACGAATATTGCGTTGAGGCCAATGCTGAGAATGGCTCCTGCAAAGTTGCAGCATAAGAATAATCTTTCTGAATTCTATAAAGTAATTAAAGAGAAAAACAAACAATTATTTAGTGTCTGGTTTAATGGATATTTTATTTCATAGCAGTAAAATGATCTAAAGAGATGTTGATCTCCGATATACAGTTTTTTTGCCGAAATATTTGCATCTTCAAAGAATTAACAAAAAGAACACGGAGAAATAAAATTGTCTCTAAGTGTAAAATTCAAAGAATTCTTTTTACTTGCCTCGTCTTCTTTTCATTGATCTAGCACTGAGTTTGTAATAATAACGTAAAGATATACTGAAATTCCAACTTTGATCAAATACAGTTCTATTTCCAAGTAATTACTTCTCCAAGGAGCAACCAAGACCAATTTAAGAAGAAACCAATTAATTCAGTTTAGCATTGATAAATTTATGCGAACCTTCTTGAAGGCGACGATCAAATTACTTATTTAAAACTGTATGAATGAAAAGCGATTGGTTTTTCATTAAGGAAAAATAATCATGCCAAACAACTAACAATTACCCGCTTTGTCAGAGAAATAAACCTTTGAAGGTACAGCAGACTGCAAAATAACTGAAATGAAAAAAGTTTAGATTATTAAATAATATATATTTTTAGTGAACCCTATCTTACATGCTTAAAGGCAATCTGTCACGACGTTGATTGATTATAAGAACAAAGGGATTTTTTATTGTTTCCAGTCCCCCTTTAATTTATCGCATTGTAAAAAAATATGGCGGAGCGCTGGAATCGTGTTTAGGCTATTGTTCCAGCTACTGTTCTCGTTAACCAATCCACAATGAGACAGATCGCCTTTAAGTTTAACATATAATCAAATGTGTTTTATTCAACGAATAACAGGAATTCAAAAAAAAACCTGAGGATTATTTTCGAATGATGGAAAGAAGGCTTTAAATCTATAGAACAATTTGGCCCATTAGGTGAAAGGAGATTGCTGAAATTTTATCTTCTATAAAATGCAACTCATATTCGCAAGTCAGCGTATTACCTAATGTGTAGCGTTTTGTTTTGGCCAGAGAATCTAAAGAGTATTACTGAAAATACGAAGGGGCTGTTTTGGCAACAAGCCTTTAGATGGATTACAGATGGAGTGGATCACTTCAATGACAAGAAACCATTTAAACAAAAGTTTAAAATGTAATGGCATATTATTGAATCAACCAGCAAATTTAGCTATGTAAAGCATTTGTTCTTTAAGAAAGAATGTCAATCTAAGAGGCTGGGGAACCCAGAGATCTAGCTGAGCTGGCTTAGCGATTTGACCCTCCTTAACCCTACTGCCATGTTTCTGTTTAGATAATTAAATTTTGTCAAAAGACCATTGCTAGACAGGGGAACCTTTTCTCCTTTACAGATAATTTAATGTGTATAAATCCTATACTACAGTTTAAAAAGTTTCTAATCAAACAAAGTCTAAACTTACTGGGAGTGCTGGTATGAATGTGAGACAGTATTCTTCTACTCGCCTTTAAAAAAATAAATTGGTTTACTTAAAAATATATAAGAATCTCTGCAGAAATAACAAAGATCATTTCACTTTTAACTTTACCAAGCAGCTTCAATAAAGCCACTGTGCTAAAGCGGGCACCATCACAATTTCAAGTACTGGTAGCCGCCAGGAGATGTCTTTAATTTAATGATACAGCTTGCTTGCGTGACGTGGCTTCCTGGTTCAATAAAGTGAAACTCCCATTAAACGCAAAGGAATGATTTAATAACACTGCGCTTTAAACGCGATGAAGTCAAAGTAGGAAGTCTAAATCAAACACACATTGCTCTATGGGAGATAGTGGAACGGTAACTTTGGAGTAGTTGAAAGAGAATGTATGCTTTTCGTCTGACACACTTCAGAAAATAAAACGTCAGAAATTCAGAGCATAGGTCGAAAACTCTACGCTCAACAGTCATGTGCTCACGTTTCTGTTTGGCCTATTTCGATCCACAACTGGATATAAAAATTTCCTAGCGTAGAGAATGTATGCAGGACTTGCCTGATGTGGCTTCCTGCCATTGTTCTGTGATACGCTGGGTACCAGAGCCACATAAATTCGAGCGCGGAAATAAGGAGATGTGTGTGGGGAAGCGGAGGAGTGTCTGTCATAGTACTTCTTCTTAACTAGACGCTCCTCCGCTTCTCTGCTTGGTTTTCTATTCACACGCTCGAAATTTTGTAGCTCTCATATCTAGGGTGGTTCTGTGGACACAACGTTTTTGGGATACAAAACCGCCTGTTTGTTAAAGGGGACAACAGTATTGTGCCATAAATGCAGAAAAAGAAGAAATTGTAAAAGATATGGTTAAGGCCATTGCTAAATATCAAATGAGCCTGTTTCAAGAGAAACGTACCTTGACAAGTCTGGCTCTTGTTTAAGTCCCTTGATAAGCGAGTCCGCGTTCAACCACACTGCCCAAACTGGCAAACACACGGTACATAAGGTGCAAAGGAAGCCTCTTTGAGTCGCAGTAACTGCCTTCTTGAGATCATCCTCCTTTTCGACCTCGTCTTCGCAGGTGAGAGAAGAAGCATAACTGAAACCAACTCCAACCATATTGCAAATTGACATGCCATATCCGATTACTATCAGGTCATTATAACTGAGATTTGAGACGAAGAAGAAAGCAATCAGAGGTATAGCAGATAGAAATACCTCAGCAATAGCCAACTGCCATGATGGTTTGATGAGGTACTGGAATGCTTTGTATACCAGGCGTGACTGGTATTGAATCTGACTGCATGTGATTGCTGTAAAAAAAATTTGTCTGCTTTCTTTACCTCAATTTTTGTCAAGACAAAAGTGCAAAATAATTATCATAGGTAAACCGAGGCATCTATAAAATGGCTTAGGCAAACTGGCAGTTTCTCTCAAAATTATTCCAGGAAGAAACGCCTTTTGCATACTCTGTTGTCTACTTAATTATCTACCGTACGGACCAAGTCCCATATGATATATTAGCTCATAGTTAATAGATGTAGAAATATGATCGAGACATAAAACTCCAGTTGCTATCGAAGTTTACACGAGAGAAACTAGATCCATTTGGTTCCAATTTTGGTACCCCGATCGGCAAACGGTGCCAGGTTTGGTCCGAATGAGGGCAATACTAGCGCTAGAGGTCCTTCTCTGTTTGCGACTAATTGTTCCCTCAAATTAACCTTTTCGGTCCCGAAAGGAGCCAATTCTCTCTTGATACAGCGGGGTACATGTATCCCTGCTTGAAGCTGGCAGCACGGAGCCTAAGGGGGGTGTGTGCTAAAACCGAATAAAAAGTTACTTTTCTGGTGGTTCATTTCTTAGTACTTTGCATTTTTGTGGTTTGGCTAAAATTCCTCCAGCTCCCCTGTTCCGCGGTGCCTGTGAAGGAGGTTTGGAATAGAGTATTACGAGTCTGGTCTATCATTTCTTGTTTTGATTTATGAGTATACGATAAGTATACTTCTTTTCTTGGCTTTACCTGTCTACTCGCGATCTTTAACGAACGATTTCCGTGTGTACATTTTGCAGGTCAAGCATTGTTTCTAGTCCAACCAATGTGTTTGAACTTGCAAAAAACCCTGCAAACGTCCTAAATGCTAACTGTGTGAACAGTTGAGCTGTAGCGTGTTTGCTGGATTCTAATATTAATGACTTAGCCAGTTTTGCAACCATTGTTGAATTTGAGCTCAAATTCTTAGGGCCCAGTGTTTCGGAGCCAACGTTAGAGCCGTGAGGTACCAGAAAAAGTAACCTTATTTAATGGGATGAAACAGGATGAGGGACTTTTGTTACAAATCGTGTTTTCTTCTTATTTGGTCTTTAGAATTGGTGGCTCGGTGGATGAAGCCACTGTCAAAAAAGTTCATGACTAGGCCCTTCGCACTGTAGGTACATGATAACTGTGGATTACATATTGCTATCGCTATCCAATGTTAGGGGTCAGTGAATAAAAAGAAATTGCAGAAAAACTACCGGGTTACTTCGTCATCAGGCAACCATCATTGCCGGGGCCTCCAAATTGTGAAACTGATATTGGGAAGTACTCCCGAGCTGTATATACCGAAGCAAATCAGTTTTTGTTAGTAGTTTGGCTTAACTGTACAAGAATTACCTTCATTGCCGCAGGAAAAAATTCAGTGACAAGATCTGCTTTCGTGAGGAATATCATATTCCAATACCATCACTGACCAAAGACATCGTGTTAAACCTTTGTGTTTTGCGTCAAACCAATGAGAGAATCTCGGCTTTTTAAGGCATTAAATTTTCTTTCCTTATATTTAGCGCTCTTTTCGCTTTTCTCTGTACAAATTTAGAAGTTCAGCAGCAAATTGAAGGTCAGCGTTACATTTATGCACAAATTTTTAATTTCGTAAAAAGAAATTCTAAAAATTAAACAGGTTTCTCCGAAGTTCCTGAAAAACTTCGTTAAAAATTACTCTAAGTCGGCTGCTACCCGATGCATTTGTGTTTCGAGTATAAGGAGAGATTCAACAGTTCCTACCCAAATGTGAGCTTCAGTTCTCTTTTATATAAAATTTATCAATTTTCCTGCATCTTTGTTAAAGATAATAAAAAATTTTTCCAGTTGTTTAGAAATGGTTGTATGCTGTTACTGTTTCTTATCAACACGAATTTTTAAACTAAAATTACTGATAAAGTGAAAAAACAGAAATGCATAGCTTAAGCATGGGTGGCGGATTGTCAACTTTAATTGGAAGGAAATTACATTCAGTGTCGTCGGAACGAAGCTCATATTGAGGGGGCTGCCCCTTTGTTTTCCTTCTCATTCAGTGCACTGTTACAAAGGAAACATACTACAGTTTGACAATTATTAGGGGGCTGGAGCCCCCCAGCCCCCCGGTTCCGTCGGGTCTGACAATTAATCAGAGTTACACTCTTTTATTTAAGCAATGTCTGCCCTTTTTGTGATCACCAACACACTGCAGCTTGGGCCAATACTGAGAAATAACACAAAATAAGACCTGCTCTCATTTTCAGTACTGTTACTTTGCTTCTCAAATTACCCTTGGCGAATCCCGCAGTGTGTTCCCAGTGTTTCTGCTAGAATTGTTTACAGATCTAAGAAATCAGTAGAGTTATCTGTTAAAGTAGACTTAAAAGTTGAATGCTTTCAAAAATACTAAATTTACATATAGAAGGGATCCTACTGTCAAATAAAAGGAAGGGTTTTTATGATCTTCGTTCAATACACATTCTTCGTGCTGCGTCGCATCGAAAAGTTATGCTCGAACGGTAATTTTTTGTCTATTTTATCAATCTTTGCCAATTGAAACAAAAAATTAATGCCTGCATTATGATTTTTAGTTTACTCACGTTGGAAATTGAAAGGATCCTCAGATTTTGTTACGATGCTCTCCGCCATCCCTGCACTTCATTGAACTGGCAAAAGCAGTATTAAATTACGTGTGTTTCCGCAACTAAACTTGATAGCAACAACGAGTCATGCGCTTTTACTGTCGGTCCCAGAACGATTTCTACTAAGTAAGCTCTGACAGTCAACAATATTTTTCATAAAAGTTTTGTTTGAGTTGACTTCGGCACGATTGTAAAGCACGCAATATTGCTACCTGGAAATTTAAATAAAGCGTGCGTAATCACGTTGGGTTTTACAATAGCTGGCCAGGTCACGTGTGGTCCCTATTCGATTCGAATAATAAAATATTGATGAATAAGCACAACACATTAGGTTTCTCAGTGGAGAGATCGAGGTGACGTTCGAAATATACTTTCCTGTTATGAGATATTCAATAGCGCTCACTCACATACATGGATAAAAAATGGAATTTCGGCTTTACCCTAGAGATAGAAAAAAAAGAACAAGGTTCCTAACTCTTTGCGTTTTGCAAAGTTTCATAATACCTGGAAAAAGAGGTTATTATGATTTGCTGTATTTTGAAACACGGATCTTGTATCGGTCTGGCATTTCAATTTCTTTCATTTAAATCTGTTTTTATTTTGAAGTCGGTTATTGACAGCCGTCCCGAGACTTTTTGCCAAGTATTCAAATTACTCTCCAGTCAGGAATAAACGTCTAATACGAAATAAGCGGGAAACGAGATTTTGTTTTCTTCACGTCACTTGATGTCTTGTAAAATTCAATCTGATCTGATCAAATGTTGGTTTTTGTGGTCAACAGCACCTACGATAAATTTGGGTCCCAGAATTTGTTCTATAGTGACCGGAAAGGCAAATTTCCAGCGATCATTCTTCTTCCCAATTCCTTTTCTCCTTTGACTCTCCAAGGACCTGCTACCCTGGGTAATTTCAACTAGAAACTGCGCGAAATGGCGGATTTCTATCCTCCTCCCTGATGGGAGAAACTAAGAACAAAAGCCTCACTTCAAAGATATTATGTGGCAAAGCGAATGAACCTAGCATTTGACAAGTTTCAACAATTTTAAACTCATCTGGCGCACTTGGTCATGTCAAACGTGGCTAGGGAAATAAAAAGCTGTCAAAAATGACAACAATCTTATTTGCAGTTGTTCAGAGCATGAGTTATACGTTTGCAAGAAATTTAGATGGAGGTACGGTAGGAAAAGTTTCTTAAATTTGACCCTATTTTAGTACCTAAAATTTATTAACAATTTTTAGTTTTATGAAGTTAAATCACACTTACAACTGTAGCAGTAACACCATTTTCTAAGCAAGCAAATCCAGTCTAAATAAAAAACAAAAAGGGAAAAGGAGAAAAGGATAAACGGGCAAAGAGGATGAATAGAACATGGGAAAGGTTATTTCACCGGGAAAAATGGGAGATAAATTGCATATCTATCTCTGCTTTCAAGGGAACGATTTTGTAGGGTTCGGATTTTTTCGATTGTAGTGAAGAAATGTGCACTTCAAATGTAATCAGATGTTGCTATAATTTAATTTCGTACTTCGCCTTTAAGCATGATTGGCTGCCATTAAACAGCTCAGTAGTGTTAAAAATACAAATTTAACTCAACTTAGCTGCCATGACGCTTATTCTTCAGGAACGGTTGCCGATCAAATTACCCTATACGATCTCCCGAATTACGGGTTTATTACGAAGTTCTTTCTTTGATTGACGTTAAATCACAGAAGACAGAAATTAAACAACGAAGAGAAAAAAAGTTGTCAAATTACAAACATATTATCGTTCATATGAAATTACTTATAAATACAGTTATACAAAAACTCTTGCAATTTTTGTTTAAAAGAAGTTCTTCGGATCTAAAATCATATTAACCAAGTCGATATTTTGTTGGACAAGTCGACACATAAAAATTATCAAAGGTTACATCTCGTGCAAAATTAAGCTATACAAGCACAGGAAGGGTATGCTTGGGTGCAAATTGGCTGGGATGTTCCATTATGAGAAAATATAGAGGTCACAATTCTCTGTTTTTGTGACATACGAGACCGAAAATTCCATGCCATGCTAAATGCATAAATATGTAATGGGCTCTTCATTTTACAGGGCTTATCTGCACATAATATATTGATTCACTGGACTGGGTTAAGCCTATTGTCTCCTGGAGAAGGCTCTTGGAACTCCATGGCAAACCCTATTTTCCTCGCAAAAAAGACCAAATCCAGACATATATCCCCAATGTTTGAGCAAAGTCAATAGATGTTGGTAGAAAATACAATAGAGGAGAATGTACGACCAGGCAGAAATTAAGTTGGCTCAGTTTAAATTTTTGCGCTATAGACAAGAAGCACAGAGAATATAAAACTGGGTGCACAGCATGCAAGATCCCATCTTCAAAAATTTCTTAGTTCCAGGGCAAAAGATACAGAAATTGGTTTGGGCAGCTTTATGCAAAAATAATATAAACCAGCACCAAAAAAAGTACTGATAAAGTCATGCATCTGGAGAGGTAGACCTTGTGCCATTTTCTAGAATTAAATTATCTCCATTCTTTTTTCTATCAAGCTTGAATAGCTGGTTGACGGTTTCCAATGTCTCGCGACCCTTGGTTTCGGACAGAATAAGAAGCAGAACGGAGCTTAAAAGAGAGAGTGCACCCATCAGGGAAAACGGTATCGTGACGTGGAAGACTCTCAACCATTTTGCGATCCAGGGAGCAAGTGCCGAACCAACACGACTTGTAATCTGTAGAAAGCCCATGCCTTCACCCCTAAAACAAAACATAACTTTGATATGTCGATGACACACTTAGCGTGTTGTAATATCAATATAACACATTTAAGTTAGAAACTTGCATACATTGAAATTATTGCTTGTCTCTGATGAATTTGATCAAATTTCGGCAGAGTAGCTACCAAAAAATAAGATCAATATTTTTTTCGGATGGAGCTGACAACGGAGTCCCATGATTCCAATTAACGTGTCAAAATTATAGTGCCCCGTATTTTTGGGAGAAAACCGGCAGTTTTTTTTATTTATTCAAAACGGATAATCAGTGGTTTACAAAAATTGAGCATTCAGTTTTGGGTTTGAACTATAATTAGGTCCGTATATCTACTTCAGTCCTTGCAATCGAATAAAAGTACAGTCATCGTTACAACTAGACAGGACTGATGGCTGAAATAGAAAAGCTTACGAGAAATCTGTCTTTGTAAGAACTTCTGATGATCTGAAATATCGTAAGGCTGCTTTTGGTATTGAAACAAGAAGAGAAAAGTTTAAGAAGTTAAGAAGAGAAGAAGTTACATGCCAAGACAGGGTATCAGAAGGTTCGAAAAACACACTTACCGGATGCACGTGGGATACAATTCCAGAGACCACATATAAAGAGAATTGAAGGAGCAAGTAATGCAAAACTTGCCAGACAAACCCGCGATTATTGTTAAGGCCTTCCATTCTAGAAGAAGAGGCAAAACCCGGAATATAAAAGAGTGTTTGCATTATAAAAAGTAATAAACTGGACCCAAAAGCCACTAGAAAACGCTATATTGCTAAATCTGGATAAACCTAAGTTTTCCCCCTAATTAATGGGGTTAAATGTAACTCTTTCCCAGAATGCTATCAATATTCTTAAAGGAAATATCGTCATCAGCAGAGTCAAGAAATGTTTTCATTCTTCTCCTCCAGTTAATGCTGTCACACAATGTTTTGAAGCAGCTGTTAGTTTAAGCCGGTATTGTAAGCAAGACGTGGACAAGTGATAAGCAAGAATAAGAGTAGAATAAGAGCAACAACAATCAAATAAACCCCAAAGCATCTCACTTGTTTGTTTGTTATCCGTACTCAGCATTCCTCCAACAATGCAACAGAATACACCCGCCAGTGCCAACGTAACGATCACCGATTTCTTTCTTCCCGCTCTAAAAAAAATCACGATTTCTGTTTGAACAAAAAAAAGGGCTTCAATGTTATAGATGTTTTAATCAAACTCGTTATAAATTTTAGTTTATCGCTGCCAGTCGATAAAAGGCATATGTATACAAACATTGAAGTGGTACTACTCATAGTGCCTGGTGATTTGTTTATTTTCATCTCTCTAGAACCTGAAGAATTTGCGACAGTGAGAAGCAATGTTTATCCACTCGTGTCCCGGTTCAGTGGCGGTTACTGACAACTGGTGACTCCTCTCACGGTGTGCGAAAAGGTAAGCCAAAAATCTGCAACAAACTATTGTGAGACCTGTAAGCTGTGTTCATGCAAAATTCGTGTTGTATGACCCATTATTTTTGCACAGTAATTGTCTTCCTCCCCTACCCAAAACAAAAGCATCTAAGGAAAAAAAGAGACACGATGGCAACATGTAAGCTAGGCCATGTGCAGTTTTATTGAGGCAGAAAAAAAATCGAGGAAGCAGCTGGAGCAAATAAAGACAGGATAAATAATTACAATCATTACATATAAGTTTCTACCAAGTTCCAATTCTGCAGAAGGACATTTTGCAATGGTCAGGAATCATAAACTCACTTAAAGATACCGCAATTCGTGTTTTGAATACCCTGCAAACTTGACAAAGTTTCATATCTATAACATATGGAGTCAGATAATGACAATTCAAATGTTTTTCGCGTAAACCATGATTTCTTCAAACTGATATTATTTTCTTAATTTCTTTTACACAAAATACCTTCTAAAAAACACCCATTTTGCACTAAACTTATACGTAAAATAAAAATTACGGATTAGTTAGAAAAATCAAAGTACAATGACCTCCAAAAGTAGTTGGAGCACCGAGATTGCAATTGTAAATAATTTATATTTTTCCCCTTCATTTTCCTATTTCATATTCAAAGTGGATCGATCCCCTTCCCTAAAAAATCTTGAAAAGAAGATGAACATTTTATTAAACATCTGATACACGTTCTAAGTACCCACCCTCATTTTTCGTCACTTTCTAGTTGGAATCCAACATTGTATAGGAGGAGGGGAAAATTTGAGTAGGAAAGCTGATAAGAATGTTCCAAGACTTTAGGCTGGGAATGTAGATGCATAATACAGAGGAATTTATAACCTGTTCATAAGAAAAATTGATAATACGAGAGCAGGGATCTCAATCAACATCGCCAAGATAAAGTCACGATACATTTCGCCACTAAGGTCACTAACTCCCAATGAAACACCATAGTAAACTGCAGCACTGGAAAACCTAACGAAAGAAAGATTCAAATTAATAATTGAACTGAATATGATGTAAAATGTGAATACATTAAACAGTATATTCGCAGTTTGGCAGGAACTTGAAGCACATGGCCGACGTGCAACGAGGTAACTTTTGAGGTGGTATTTTTGAAGTGTTTCCTTGCTGTTTCCTAGAACAGTCAAACCACATTCTATTTGAACGGTACACTTTTATATTTTCAAGGTACATTTTTACATTTTTACGACAGCACACTTACATTGAATAAAACAGAGAATAGGGAAACTCTAGAGGGAGACCAATATGAAACATTTAATAAACAGGTGTAGAATTGGGTTGATGTTATTCCAAAACACCAACAAATCTTAAATCGCTATTTAGAAAGTCATAAAAGAGGTCATTGCCTCCACTTGGAAGCTCCTGTTTTGCAGTAGCTTTTTTCGGGCGAACTCTGCACTGGTGATTTTAAGCGCAGCGAGAATGGAAACTTTTAGTGGGAGTTCTAGTTTTGACTACATAGAAAGTCGAATGGAAATAATAACACTACGAAGACTACCTACCATGCAAAGCCTTGAACAGCAGAAAATTGAAACATCTTCAAGGGCCTAAATAAATCAAGAATTCCAAGCTTTTTCTGGGCAAGATCGGCTTTCGGCACCGCTTCAAGCTCCAGCTTGGCCGGCAGCGTTTTTCCGTTTACCCTTGCCGCTTTCTTGAGAATTTCAATGACTTCTGCATGCCGTCCCTGGCAACGAAGCCAGCGCATCGATTCTGGGATATAGCTGCAAAATCCAACAAATTTCCTTGTGACAAATGCAATGAAAACAGGAACATATAAAGTAGCCAACATTATCTGTATTTACTCTACTTTGTAAAATCAATTAAATTTACCATAATTTTGAAGATTTTAGTTTGAAAGCATTATAAGTTAAGTCTTAAAACTTACAAGTAAAACAGGCAGACGAAGATGTACGGAGCGGAGCAGGCAATGATCAAAGTTTTCCATTTACGTATGAAATATGCCTTTACGCCAGTTAAGACCAGTGATACAGCAAAAAGCATCCACATCGTAGTACCAGCTAATGGCCGATACTTTGGACCAACAAGCTCACCAGCAACAACATATGCTCCAATAACTGTGCCAGGTTTGAATATCCCTATAGCCAAACGACAGACAGCAAACACGGGGTAATTTGGTGCAAAGGCACTTAAAAAGCTGACCAGTATGATTCCAAATACAGAGACTCTTAAGACTTTGGAACGACCATACCTAAAAATGGGAGATATGTTAACAAAATGTGTTACAAAAAACAGGAACAGAGGGACATATGAAAGGAAGATGGCTGTGGACAGAAAGAAGCGGAAAGAAGTGACAAAAATCATAAGTTTTAAGGCAAAATGCAAAGAATGACTTATGGATGATAAAAGAAAGGCAAAAAGAATCAGAAGAGGAAATAAAACAGAAGGGCTGACAAGGCCCGGGGGTGGTTAATATTTTAATACAGATTCTACTCTAAATAAAACAGATTCTACTAGGAGCAAACTAAAACTAAAACAAGCTGGAAACTATTTTGCAAAAAAGTTTTTTAGTTTCAAAGTTTAGTCAACCAAAGTAACTAAAATAATATAAAACTACTGTCAGATTAATAAGTCAACTAAAATTTTTTTGTTTGCTATCAATCTGTGTATTGTTTAGAATAAAAGCCAGGCCTTCCTGGGAAAGGCGTGCGGTGGCACTTGCACGCGTTGGTACACACTGGGAAGTGCTTTTTACCGCACGCCTATTTTATAATCATTCGTTTGTGTTTTACCAAAGCGCAGGAAACTAATAAGATGGCAGAATGGCTTTTACTTATTTTCTTTTGTCTAGTTTCAAACTTTTCCTTGTTTAGTTTCATACTTTTCCTTGTTTAGTTTCGAAACTTTACCTTGTTGAGTTTCGAAACTTTTCGCAACTTCTGATGAGTTTAGAATTGGCGAGTAGTGACAATAGAGTTATTAAGTGTGACGCCATAAAAATATATTTTTAGAACTTTTAATTTTGTACCACATTACTGAATAGAACACCATGAATGATCTCTAAATTAAAGTATCAGATAGAAATGTTACAAAAATTGGGCGAGAAATGGCCAATAAATGTTTTTAGGATTACTACATACTTCTGCTGTTATGGCATGGTTCATCAAATTTAGAACAGAGACAAAAATAGTGTGATTCTACGGGGACAGAGCCTGTGCTCAAATTGCCATATTTTAGCCAGTTTTCAACACATAATCACATTATGCAATTCAAATTAGAAGTGGTGAAAACAGCTTTGTGTACTGTTATAACATTGAATCTGCCAAGTCAGTTTACTAGCCACAGTTTGCATAAACCTTGAAGCACATCCAACGTGATTGGCCTGCTTGTTAACTGACAACACCATTTTCTAATGTATTTCTTAAAGAATCTTTCTTTATTCCTTCCAATTTGTAATTCCTTCCCTTTTCCTTCCAATCGGCCAAAACTCCCAAAGAAAAGGACAACTCCTTTCAAGAGGAAGCACTGTTAAATTGAGGGCTGTAAACTACTTTATCATCTCCTCTCTGCGTCGAGGCTCGCTAGGCAGAGCCCTTCTTTTTACTTTCTGATTAGAGATTAGAGAATTTATTCTGTATGGCTATTTCACTATCGAAGACAAAAGATTGGAAAAGCTTTTTCAACACTCTTATAACTGCCCAGCGGGAAGTGTGCCCACCACAAACTCCAATTTTGCTGCCAGCTACCAGGGGTTATCGCGGTCAAAGAGACCCAACTTCAACTTAAAACACACCTCGATAAGTTTCCAATTTTTTCAATTAAAACACTTTTAAAGACATTATTAATACCATAACATCATGAACTACAGGACACATCGTTCGGGTAAAAATAAATGAAAGTTAAAAACCTGACACACACTACTTTCAATATTTCTTCCGGCTCACCTCGCTTTAGTTAAAACCACTTATATATTTTTTTTGTTAAAGTTGTGGGGGAACTGATGAAATGAATTGAGAGAGGAGGTTTTATGGCTCCATACACAATGCAACTAAACTTTTGTAGAAATCAGGCAAAACATCAAAAGCACTCCATTACACTCCTACCACATTCTAGGAGTGCAAAATGCCACTTTTGTGCTAATTTATTCCCAGGAAGGCCTCAGCCTTTTTTTGTCCAACCAAAAAGTAGGCGTTCCTATCTCCCTCCCAAAACAGAAGGAAAAATCAAATTGAAAACAGCCATCTTGCTCTTCCAGATCTTAAACAACAACACATGAATCTGTCCATTGGGCAGCAATTACTAGGAAACTCAAGATTGTAAAATTATATATTGACAAACATGTTTCAGATGATTGTTGGATCTTGACCTTAACTCAACCTAGCAGTTTAAAATTCCATTTATATGTCAAAATGTAAAACAGCTGTTGTGTAAAAAGAAGGCGTTCAGTTTAGACGGACTCTACATATTGAAAACAATCTGCGAGGGATTTTATCATGCAAAAGATAAGAAGTCAGAAGCATAAAGTCTGATTGACACAGCTCAGATTGGGGCTTTAGCACAAATTTGTAACCCGTCATCTTTTTAGTCTATCTAGGTAGTCATACAGAATTGTTCACAGAATTGCATACCAAAACGTAAACAGAAATTCCACATGGTTAAATTAAATTGTTAAAAATTAAAGAAAAAACAGAAGGGCTACAACACCAAGAAGAGATATTATATCAGTTTTCAATTGCACAAAGAGAAGCTATTTTTTGGTTGTCCTTTCCATTATATCTGTGCAAGATTCATGAAATGTTATGCTATGTATGTTGTATACTTACTTGTCTGCAAGCCAGCCAAAGATAAATGACCCAATTCCCCATCCAACAAACAGAAGTGAGGTGCTTAGATAAATAAGATGCTCAGTATCACAATAAATATCGAACTGAAACAAAGAAGAGTGATTCAAATTAATGAAACAACATATCTTTTTTATATGCTCAAAATCTGAAAGCTATAAAAAAACGACAATGATAGAGCCATTCAAACTGACTTGAATTTAAGACTTCTACAAAAAAAATTTCCTTCATTTTCATTTATGCTTCATTCAGTATAGCAAGAATTTAAAGAATTTTAGATTAAGACTAGAAGTCAACACAAAGAATTTAAAACTTGTACACAAAGCAGGATACAACATAAAATTACATTACAGTACATAACATTAAATCACATAAGATCAGAGCAGATTACAGTAGACAAAAGCATAGCAGATATGAGCAGAGCAGGACAGGGCAGATCAGAGCAAAGCAAATCAAAGCAGAGCATAGTTTAACTGGCTAGAAATTTTTTGTGCTGAAGAAATACTTTGTTGTACAGGGTACACATTTTGATTTCAATGTTTATAATTGTAGGCATGATTAATAATTAAGAAGTGAAATGAATAAAATGACACGGAGCACAGTCAAAGTAGAGTAACTGTTTTTTTTATTTATCTATAAAATAATCCACATTAGGACTTTAGTAAAGTCCTAGTACCTGTGTTACAATTGAGTAGTCCTTTGGTTTTGTAAATTGCCATTCTGCTCTGGGAATTGAACATCTATGATTATAATTTTTATCTCCGCTTTTGAATGTACCATTCAAGTTGCAAACTGTACTGTTATAGACACATTGCCAAGGGGGATTCTGTCCAGCAAAATACATAATAAGAACTGGAAAGCCAGCAGTGAGGATCATCAAAGCAAGCATGAAAATCAATGTGATTTGGTATTTGCCAAATTCCCCCACATATGGCAGAACTTCGTCAATAGCATTAATTTTGATTATCTCTTCTTCATCTGCAGACCTCATCTCTATCGCATTTTCTTGAACACTTGCTTCATCCTCCATGACTGTCAAAGAATTAAAAAAACCTCTTGATAAGAGCATAGTTATTTTCAAAGTGCTAATATGTTACAAGCCAGTCTGCAGATTATGGCAGATCTCGGTGAAATTTCACAGGTGCACTGTCATTTCAGTCACGTGCACTGAATGCAGATTGAGTTTACAGAGTTATAAGGCATATATAATCAAAGTTTTTCCAGGTAAACTATCAGCCCTAATGAATTGCCTGGGATGATATCATAGGTTTTTGTACCCTGATATTGATGACCAAGAAACTGAAAATTTGGCTGTGTCATGTAATAAATCCAAAATTTGCATTGCTTTCATAGGCTATTCGTAGGGCCACCATTACACTTAGTATTTTTGAAGAAAACTATGAATTTTGTCAAGCCTCAATATTTTTGAAAAATTTTCATTGTGAGTTTGAATGCATTCTTTAGAATTTCTTTTTTAAATATAAAACGGCCAAAACAACATGAAATTTTCGGCACAGACTAATTTGAACATGAAGATTCAGATTCTGTGATCCATTTTTGGCAAATACGAAAATAAAAATTGCCCTGAACAGAGAATTGTGCATTTACCCGGTTACTCCAACCCTGGGTCTCCAAAAACATTTCAAATACCACTCAATTTTGCAAAACAGGACTTGAGCTTCAGACAAGGAAATGATTGGACTGGATGTCTTAACAATGAGGAAATTAAATTTTATGATCGCCACTTAACCAAAGTTACAGATCCAAACGTTTATATTGTTAAAAGGGTAAAAGTTTACAGGTAAAGAGGGCTGTCCAGCCACCTCCTTGACATCTGCCCACATAACTTACAGCTATCGTGACATTAATCAGAAAGACAAACATCAGGCTGGAATCAATGCGAAACTTGCGTAAGCTACATGGATTCCACACTGGCAAACATCTGAAAAGCGTAAACAATTTCTACCATCGACACTTTCATCAGAAGTACGCTACTACAAGTCATTGCGCAAACGAATTAAAAGGATGAAAGATTTCTTGATCTTACCTGAAAGTAAAAGAATACTCGAATACTCCTCAAAATCAGAATAGTGTTAGTGAGAGGACTTTGTTTCCTAGTTACAACTACAATATTTACAACAGAATACAGTTCATTTCAAATATCTTTTTGTTTCCTACAGCACGTGTGACAATTTAAAAATTTGAAATGAATTGAATTGAATCGGACTCGAGGCTCCACAAAAAGGCCAATAGGGCGACGATGGAAACAAATTAAATTAGATTGTTTGCAGTGTTAAAAATGTTAGTGTGATGGGTTTGTGTTAAGATCTGACATGTGATCCGTCAAAGGATTCTTTGTTCAACACCGACGACATATAATAAGTGATGAAACAAGTCCAAAGGCCTTGTCACTCTTGATGCGAGAAAGGATCCGGTAGTGGCGCACAGAAGGACCATTTTACATCGAAAAGCTCGCGCCGTGCACAGCATTAGTTTCTGTCATTTGATTTGGTAAGATAAATTATTTCCTTTGATAAAAGTAATATTTCAAAATATTGATTAAAGTGAAAATTTCTGAGCTGGAACCTCAAAATCCTTATGTCTGTCAACAACCAACCGAGGGAAATTTACGAGGAAATCTATGTCAACGTTTTGTTAGAATTTTCGATTTTTACATATCTAGGTAAACTTGGTTTGTTATGTAGCTAGTCATCAAGCAAAATGCAGATATGAAATTTTATGAAAAGGGGACTCTTCTTATCAAATCTTCCTTTTCCCGTTGGAAGGTCTTTAGGTGTCCAAAGGCTTTCAGGCAGGTGTAAAGGGATGTGACAAGTAATGCTCCCCCCAGTTAACGGAATTGGGCCGTTAAGGGTCAATATTCAGCTAGAATCTATTGAAATTGCGCATTTGGGGACAAAGATTAAGATAAAACTTTTTCTATTTTATCAAATATTTATTTGTAGCACCCAAAATTTGTAATCTATGAAATCCCAAACACACATTATTTTCAACAAGTCCTCTTTAAACCTTAACATGGAGGTTTACTTATTAATTTATTTTACCAAATAACCGTTATGAAAGTTCAAAAGGTAAGTGCTCTACCGCTGAGCTATTGGGTCGTGCTTTCAAGCCAACACCCAAGGCCAAGTCATTCACCCACACTGCCCCTCTCTTTTACCAGTTACACAGTCGCAGCTCCATCACAAAGTGCAGAGGACCTGAAGAGTTAAAGAAGAAAGGATCTCTACTAATTATCATTCAAAATCCTGTTGCCTTTAAACTTTCTCGTCTACCCTATCCAGTGGTGGGGCTGCGATGGCCCTCCTGGTGTGGGCAGTTCTCTCTCACTCTTCAGGTCCTCTGCACTTTGTGATGGAACTGCGATGGCTCCCATGTGTAACTGGTAAAAGAGAGGGGCAGTGCGGGTGAATGACTTGGCCTTGGGTGTTTAATTGAAAGCACAACCTGATAGCTCAGTGGTAGAGCACTTAACGTACAAAGTCAAGGGTTGTGAGTTCGAGACTCGCTCGGGTCAGTTATTTTCCCACCCTCTCTACTAATTACATTTGATATTGGAAACCACAATGAAAGGAAAATATTCCCCATGCTAAAATATTTGACCGTTGGCACCATTCCTTTCAACTCATTGTGTTGTAATTTTATCAAGAGTTCAGAAGCCAGAGGGTCCATGCAGACCAGTGAATCAAGCAGGATTGGAAAATTAAGGAATACAACCCGTATTCAAAGATTTATGACAATAGAGTCATAGAAGGCTGGAGGTGTATTGTTACTACTTGATGATCATGTCCAGTATTGGGTGTTTGCACTCTTTTTAAGATGACTTCACCCTAAATCTGTTTATTTTGAGCTATTTTTGTAAGACTAATTAATGATCCGAAATGGCTTTTACAATGCACTCATCACTTATGTCATTGATATTTTTAAAGCCGATTCTTAATCATATGTCACTGAAAAGGGACTTTGACAAGAGCATCGCTTTAAAGAATCCATGCGATTACTCCCTAGATTATAGATTCCATGCTTAAAAGATTTTTGTCTGATAGTTCCCAAAATTTTGGAGGAAAACCTTAGGCATCCATCCCAAGCAAAAAAGGTAGTTACTCCCTTGATGCCAACCTGTGAATTGAAGCAAAGTTGAGACAGTTCTTGATGGATTTCAAAGGGTATATTGCATATCTTGCCAAGACTGATTTTTCTTTCTTTTTATATTTACTAAGAAATATGGCATAGAAAATTGTAAAACATGTTTCTTTCCAAAACGGGCACGGTGTTTTTTATGTTTGTGGTGACAACCATAAGAAGCTAACCTTTAGAACTAAAAATAATTTTAGAGCTGAGAGCAACACAAACCCAGAGACAATGCATTAGCTTGTACAAAGGTCATCTGTGGAGGATTTAGGTTTTCTGCAGAGCTTAAAGGTTTTTTATGTCAGTCATAAGGTTGCAGAGAAATCAGATTTCAATAGTTCTAAGTAGATTTGATTCCCAGTTTCAGGATGATCCAGTAAAACCAAAAGCCATATAAAGTGTCAATTTTCCACCTTTTTAGCATGTAAAAATACACAGAAAAGTAGCTGACAATTAAAAACAAACTCTTTTACAATCCTTTATTATGTTGAAAAAGCAATCAATCTGGTCCTTTGGAAAATGTTTGATTGTTTAAGCAAACTCAGGCACAATGCTTATGTGCTTGAAAGCTGTATGATTTGTGGAATACTATTCCCTGAAAAGCGCATTATATTCAATCAAGTTATAGAGTATGGCATAGCATTTATTGGACTGATTAAGCCATCGACACTGCGTTACATTAATCTGGTCAATTAAGAACTTTCAATAAAATATGCTAGTATGGATAAACAATGTTTTTTTTGTTTTCTTGATTTATTCAGGTTAGCAGCTGTGGTATCAGAAAAATGTCTATAGGATTGTTTTTCATGTTAATCTCTTTCTTGTGACAGACAATTCCTTGGTGAACACACAGGCTCACACAATGTCCAAACGACTGCAAGGACTATGGCTATTACTTGTCGCTTTCACAGTATTCCAAACGACTCTTTCGTTAGATTTCAAATATTACAGCTATAACGAGATGTATGCAACTGTTAGGAACATCACTTCTGGCTGCAAAGAGATTTCCCGTGTTTACACAATAGGAAAGACAGTGCAAGGTAGAGATTTGGTTGTCGTAGAATTCAGCGACAATCCTGGCAAACATGAGATTTTGGAACCAGAATTTAAGTATGTTGGCAATATGCACGGAAATGAAGTAATTGGGAAAGAACTACTGCTTCATTTGGTTAATGAAATCTGCACAACTTACAAAAGAAATAGTACTATCATGAACTTGGTTAGAAACACTCGCATACACATTTTGATAACAATGAATCCAGATGGCTTCATGGCTGCAAAAGAAGGCATGTGTGTCGGTGTTACTGGGCGCCCAAACGCAAACGGATTTGACCTTAACAGGAATTTCCCGGATCCGTTTTACAGTCGAACGTACCCGATACAGCCCGAAACAGAAGCAATTATGAAATGGCTCAAGGCATACCCATTCGTCTTGTCTGCAAACCTTCATGGTGGCGCCATAGTTGCCAACTACCCTTACGATAACTATCGAAATGGCAAAGGTACCTCCGGTTTTTATGCGAAGAGTCCGGACGATACATTTTATAGGTAAGTGTAATTAAAACTTATAATAACTTATAATGTCTTTTAATTAATTTCTAAAACGATTTTGAGGAATAAGAATCCGTAATAAGCGGCCCAACAACTCTGGGCTTGAAGATGGATACTGATTTTAGATATAAACCTCCAAAAAACGCCAGCTTATGTTATGGAAAATTTTTTTATGGTATCCTGTGAGAAAGGTTGGCTACCTCTTATAACCTTTTAGTGCTAGATGGACTGGCAATTATGTGTAACTTTGTGGTTGTAAAAACTCTCATAAATCAAGAAATCTATCGCACATCTTAATAGAAATTATTTGGAACTGCCGCGCATGTCTTAAATCTTTGTAACTGCGATTCATATGATACTGGGCTAGTATTTTTAGTTGCCAGAATAGGTTGGACCAGGCAAGATATTTCGTTTGTCAACACTGACAACAATGTTATAGGTTTAATACGTTTCGCTTCGCTTAAAAGAGACTTAATTCCCGTCGCTCCCTTTGAAACTAGATCCTGATACTTTGTCATTGCCCATTTTCTTGAATAAACGTCCGTGGGGTATTCATTGATCAAATGCTTGGCGCAATCTCGATCAACAAGTTAAAGGGACATTTTAAACTTCACTGTATATCGCCAATGGTTGACATTGATGCAGAGTCGCTAGTTGCAATGACAATCTAAATGATAACTGCGTTGTCTAGCTGCATAATACGTCAAAATTAGAATATTTGTGTGTAGTGTCTTACCGACGTCAGAAAAGCTGCTTGCATGCCCTAATGCCAGTTGAAGACTGCAGTTGATGTTCAGATTGGTACTCTTTTTCTTTGCTGTTTTCTGCCTACTTAAAAGGCGGGGATTTCTTATGCTTGAAGGCTGTAATAATGCCAAGAAACTTTTGTTTACGTTTGACACTTGGTGAAGCGAGCAAAGGTTAACAGTTTGAATTGAAATTCTCGTCCTCCGGTTATGGTCGAATTTCAGAATGAACACAGGTGTGTTTGGTTCAATTTGGAAATCTTGGCGTTGTAGCAGCAGTGACATAAATTTTGTAATGCTATTCTCACACTGCTTTGTATTCGTTTCGCTCCGTCTACATTTTGACCGATTTCCGCCCCCCGTATTTCCGCCCCCTATTTTCACCCCCCCTGTTCCAATAAGTCTTATTGTAATGACATTACCATTTTTCTGCTTGAACGATTCAAAACGGCTTTTCTGAAAACGAAGCTTCTATTTGTGTTTTCTTCCAATGAATTAAGATTGCAACTGTAACTGTAAAAGCCATTTAACATATTTTCCAGAGCAGAAAATGACGTCGAGAAGATTGATGTCGTTTAAGTTTAAGTTTTCAAAACTTTTTTTCTGGATTTTGGTTTTCTTTTTATGGATCTCAAATCAATTCGAACGCAACGGATGACATTAAAATCTATTTTGTGTGAAGACTGTTTAGTGTGAAGAGGAAGTAAGAAGCGCGTTTTCGTCATTTTCTTGCTTGTGAACCCGTTCTGATCTTTAGCTCCATATCTTGAAAGGAAAACTGGCTTACTCAAAAAAAACTTCAACGGCGACTTGATAATTGAGCAAGATTTATTAGATACCCATAATTTTTAGAATACGCGTAGCACGTTTCAAACTATTGGTTAGAAAACGTCGTCATTGCGTCCAGGTTTATTTGGATCTGGTTCTTCAAGGACAGCATAAACGATCGTGATTCTTCAACACGTCACTTGCTTGACAATGATGATTGGCCAAAGCAAAACCCACCAGTCGGAATTTTCTTTCCAATTGGATGATAGTTCGATCTGCATTGTGTGTAAACTTAGGCACATTTGTGCTTGCATCCAGTGCTATGCTAGCATCCATTTTTACTAACATCATGGCATGTCTAAAGATATATCAAGACACAATGGCAATGCTTTTTCATGCCATCTTGAATTTTAGGGGTACCTCTTCTTTGAACTTCCATCGACGGTCTAGGGTTTGTAGAACTAACTATAACCAATTTCCTACAAACCTAACTATCACTGTTTCTACCTTTTCAGTTGCCAGGTAGAAGATTCGAACTGTAGTGTTTTCAGTAAAATAAATTTTTATCAGTAAATTAATATCTTGAATTTAATGAGAATTTGTACTTTTCCCGAATCAAGTTAACTACATGTATTTTAGACATATTTCAACTGTCTACGCCGAACACAATGCCAGAATGCGCAGTGGAACTGCATGCTCTGGCGACAATTTCCCAGGAGGCATAACAAATGGCGCTCATTGGTACTCACTTGCCGGTGGAATGCAAGATTACAACTACCGCTATACCAATTGTTTTGAAATCACACTGGAGCTGAGCTGCTGCAAATACCCGTCTAACACAACGCTCAAAACGTTCTGGGACGAAAATAAGGAATCACTCATTGCCTACATGCAGCAGGTTCACTCTGGAGTTAAAGGATTGGTTACTAAAAATAACGTTACATTGGAAAACGCTGTAGTCAGAGTTACGAAAATTGATAAAACAGTGAACACAACCAAAGATGGCGAGTATTGGAGGCTATTACCTCCAGGCAGATATGAAATGTCTGTTGAAAACTGTGTTAAAATGGTAACAGTTCGAAAGGGGCAGGTAGCAAGGCTTGATTTTGAGTTGGCCCAGTGTTCCACTAACGGAGTTGTCACGCTTGCCAAAGGTAGTGCCCCATTTTCGCTTGGTACAATTTTGGTCACGGTATACCGGCTGCTTCTCTGATAGATTTACAGAAAGAATGAGCAGCTCATGATGTCTAGCTTCTTACTTGTTCTGCAGACGATCTTTTGGAATTCGTATCACTTATTGTTAATAAAAACTATGTACATGATTAGAATTGTAAAGATTATCGTTGAACGATATTTTATGATTTATTCACAATGAATAGAATGAGGTTTCCATTAAACGGTTTACACAACCTTATTCTATGATTTTTCCACTGAAACCTCAAAATAACCTTAATTTGATTACTGTTGACATTGATTTGAAAATTCCAGTAGGAGAGCTAAATCCCTACACGGGTTTTTTAATTTTACAAGAGAGACTTTTAATATATTTCAAAACAAAGACATTTTGGTTGAATTAGTTTATTATCAGTTCAAGTTATAAATCGTGTCACATTCTTCATTTGCTTATCTCCTGTGGTAAGTGATGTTCGGCTCCTTTTTTATTTGTTCTTGACTTGGTCGCATATATTTTTCTCATGTCCTTAATATTGTTGTATCTAGTTGGAAAATCATTGGAAGTAGATCAGATGTATCTATATCGAAATTGCACTATAATATGAGCTGAACATTGCTTTCAACAAAATTGATTTTAGGAAATGTATATCAAAATATTTGTCGATTAATTTTTAGTAGTTTGTCTTTTTTTAATTTTTTTATTATACATGATAAAAGTGAGATGATTTTTTATGCCTTCAAAAAAAGGTTTAACTTACTTTGTAGAAGCATTTTTTTAGTTTTTTAAACAAAATTTTGAGAAATTTGATGGATTTGATTGGAATGCCTTTATAATGTTATTTTTTTCATTATAGTTTTCTTCCCTATATCAGAAGACTTCAGTTATCAAATAAACATCAAATTAAAATCAAATGTGAAATAATTTAACAAATTCTGTCAAAAGATTAATCCTCAAGCACAGCATAGCGCAGTACAGAGCAAACTCGTACACCACAATACATTACAGCACACTAAAGTGCCGTACCGCATCATAAGACAAAGAACGTTAGAGAACCTTGCAGAACGATAACACACAGTATGGTACAGAAAAAAAAACGTTCATTAGAGTAAAGTACGATAAAGTACAGTATCATAAGATACCGTACGGTAATGTGGATACAGTACCATAAGTACAGTACAATAAGGTACAGTATGTTACAGCACCAAACAGGAAGATAACGTACAGTAAATTCAAAACGAGAAATTTACACTACAGTACAGTACGATAACGTGAATTACGATACCGTACAACATCATGTAGTTTGGTACAGCACGACAAAGTATAGGACAGTGCAGAACAGTAAGGTACAATGCAGTGTAGTATGACGACTTATAGTGCGGTACAGTAGGATGATGTGAAGTTCATGCAGAATGATAACGCACAGAACGAAAACAGGACCATAAGCGAAGATAACGTACAGTAACAGTATGGTACAAAACGAAAAACGTTCACTACAGTAGAGTACGATAAAGTATAGTGCGATACCGAACAATATCATGTAGTTTGGTACAGTACGACAAAGTTTAGGACAGTACAGAACAGTAAGGTACAATACGATGCAATATGATGATGTATAATGTGGTGCAGTAGGATGACGTGCAGTCCACTCAGAGCAGTCACACAGAACTGTACAAAACGAGATAGATTCATTACGGAATTACAGTTCCATAAGGTGCAGCACCGTACAAGACAATAATATTTAGTACAGTATGGTAGGATAATGTGCAGTGCGGTACAGAGCAATAACATGCAGTACCATAAGGTACGTAATAGTTACAGTTCGATACAATATGATAACGTATAATATGATACAGTAGGATGAGTTGCAGTACGCTACAAAAAACGATAACACACATTACGGTTAGAACGAAAAACTTTTAGTATGGTAAGTGCTATACCACAAAGAAGAGTATGATCGGCATAGCATCACTGTCGATCAACGTTGGTCGAATTTTGATGCACAAATTGTAACCGAATTGTCGATCAAGCTAACCGCTAGATATCTACTATTTATTCAGTAGAATCTGGGTTTCACATGAAACGCCATCGGTGTTGTTCCTGAAAGTAATGGATATATTTTATCAACTCCGTTATTTTGAAAGTTAGCAATTTGGATAAGTAAGACACCCTCTTTTTGCTCATTGTCTTTCGGAATGTTTACTGAGATTATCAAGAAGCAACTGCTCTCCAGTCTCAGATTTTCCAAAAACAAAAGATTGCTTATCTTTATGCTTTTCAACAATCGAGCGTGCTACTTTGAATGTTACACTACCCTGTCCCAAATCAAAGGACTGGTTATCACTTTAACTTTGTAACCTGCAGTATCCACTCTCTTCCTCTCATACACACATAAATTAGAAATGGAGGCCAGTCATCACCTGCGCTCGCTAAAGCCCTGGCAAAACGACTAAACATTTCATTAAACATTTCAATAAACTTTTGTTTAGCCAAAAGTTTAGTGAAAGGTTTAGACGTTTTGCCACCCTGTTTAGTGTTGCTTAGTCGTGTTGAGTGTTGTTGAGCAAAGTTCGATACTGGTCAAGAATGTTTAGCGTTGTTTAGTGCTGTTTAGCAAATGTTTAGTCGTTTTGCCACCAATTAAACATTTGTTATGACCGCGCAGGCGCTCTAGCTGTGGAAATCCAAAGGTTTTCGTCGGTTTTCGTTGGTTTTCCTGTCTCTACGTGACCCAAAAAGCCTTTATGAGACATCTGCATATCTCGTTGTACGCAACTGTGTCATCTTCAACAGTCAACTTTGTTGTCAATGTGCTAAAAAGTCTTTTCTCTTCCCGTCGCTTCATCCAATTCTTATTTTTATCCACTGCTTGTGCATGCAAAAAATAAACCAAAAGCAAATTCCTATGCAAGATCCCCTACAACCACCCAACAGCGTCATAGACAGCTCGCAGTTCAAGAAGGTTGAGTGAAGTTTAGTGGAAAATTTAGTCACGTTTTGCCACCCTCGCTAAACTTCGCTCAACTTCACTAAACAAAAGTTGAGTGAAATGTTTAGTGAGAGGTTTAGTCGTTTTGTCAGGGCTTAACACGCAGCCAAAGTGATATCATGTGACACATATGAGTCATTGCCAAGACTACTTGTAGCGCATGTGCAAGTGGTTTATGATGAAACTGCTGTACCGCAGCGTAGTTGTGCTTAAGATGATAAGGTGATGAACGTTGACACAGTAACTTTCCTCGAGTTGATTCGTTTTGCAAAAGGACCCTTGCATAAAACCAGGGTACTTGTAAGTCAAAATGAGCAAATAAAATAGACTGAGTTCTATCAGAACCTTTCTTCGATCCAAGATTAAAACAATATCAAGGTAAAATACAGCAAAATGTTAGCATTAGTAAAATTTCAAAATCATAAAATCCCAAGCATTACGATAACTTGCACTAACAGTTTGATAATGTAATTGCATTTAGAATAGTCTATAAACATGAAAATTACATTATTTAAAAACTCATGCTGCAAAAGTTTAAACAAGAATGGCGCATCTAGAAAGCAAAGTTTCTTGTTTTTTTATCCACCAAACAGCTGAATAAGAATTACTGGAACTTGCCATTTGCAGTTGCTAGGAAATTTAGGATAACTACTAGGAACTAGAGAATAGAAACTTTTACAACAAAGATTGTTAATATCTCTCAACAGCAACCTCTGCATAAGAACACAACAAGATTAGTAACTACAAAAGAAGTCGTACACTAATTTTTTTATAAGAAACAGTTATGATGTCATGAATAATGTTATGAGATGTTAGTGACCTTTTTTATCACGTCGAAATTCGCTTCCGTTCTGATGTTGTATTTAGATATGGGAAGTGTATTTTTATCCCCTGTGTCCTAAGTTCTACGCCAACAGGAAAATCATGTTCTTGGATTTTTCAAAATTTTCTCAGTTTTATCACGATTTAATAGTTTCTTATTTTTTTGCTTCGAGTACTGAAGTTTCTTAATTTTTTCTGACTGTTCGGTACTTGTTTCTCAAAACTATTTTCTTATAAAAAATGAGTGTATTAGAAAGATAAATAAGATATTTATCTGCCAACTGCATTTGCTTCAATACTTCAGTAATACTTGCTTTACTAGCTGAAATAGATGAGTGAAGTGGTGTTTTCGTGTGTGAGTGTACGCTTGATCCTTCGCTATTCTATTTGGTGACAGTTCTAGAATCTTTTTGAACGAAACTTTTGCTGACTGACCAGTACTCATTTCTTATAGCCAGTTTCTTATAAAATAAATGAGTGTAACAAGCAACTTTTCAAACTTTATTTTGAACACCGTAAACGTTGGCAAATACAAAAGGAAATGTTGAGTCGTCCTCATGTATCCGTGGTAGCAGATTCCTTCAAGACCAAGATATCTTTGTTATTTTCTGAATCCAACTTAAATAGCTGGTTGACGGTTTCCAATGTCTCGCGATCCTTGGTTTCGGCCAAAACAAGAAGCAGAACGGAGCTTAAAAGAGACAGTGCACCCATCAGGGAAAACGGTAACATGACGTGGAAGACTCTCAACCATTTTGCAATCCAGGGAGCCAGTGCCGAACCAACACGAGCTGTTATTTGTAAGAAGCCCATTCCTTCACCCCTGAAATAGAAGGCAATATCTTTTAGAGAAACCAGTGATAGAGGTATGAGTACTGGTTGTTTTGGAGTTGCCGTTGAATGTATTTTTCGGTGTAAGATGCTAGAGTGGAAAGTAGGGCATTCACTGCATTCGTTTCTGTCTGGGCAGGGAGGGTGAAGATCGAAGATTCAAGACTTGGTTTCATGTAGAAATGACAAATTAAACCCCAGAATTCTTTACAAATAGGCAGCTGTACCCCCAACATACTTTGGCGTCCAAAGAAACAAAAAGAATTTTATAAGTGGGGGGGGGGGAGAGAAAATGCAGGCAAATAAAGGGTACCTCTTTTATGAAAGGTAACAGGCGAAGGGCCTTCACAGTGGCGGATTTAAGGGGGCAACTAGGGGCAGTTGCCCCTTCCTTGACGAGTTGCAGCAAATCTGGCTCTCCTTTTTTGGAAATTGTGGGCCCCTTTTGAAGAATGCGAATCAGGTGAAAAGGGTTCTGAGATCGCTGGGTTAATTTGTTTCAAGGATTACCTTAAAGTTATGTTGTTTATTCCAAAATGGACCTGAAATTGTTGTATACAGCGTACTCTTGTCACTAATTCTTGAAAATTTGTCAGCGCCCCCACTACCAACTGCCCCTCCTTCAAGTTTGCTCTGGATCCGCCCCTGGGCCTTCAGGTCCCTATTTCTCAGTTTACAACATGTTTGTTAAAATCTTGGCAAAGTGGGGTTGCTTTGCCTTTTCACCCGTATAGTTGCAAAGATACCTGGGGTGTCTATAAATTTATTTTTTTAAAAACGTACGCCTAACTAGGCAAAATTTCTTAATTTACAAGATCGTCTGCTATCAAACTCTATCTCTGCTTGAAAGTGCTTTCTATTTCCATTTTTGCCACATGGCCTAAAAGTCAATCTAGCGATATTGATACCAAATGCTAGTTCCTATCATGCAGTAGGCAGCAACGTTGTTTTTCCTTCATTACTAACGACCCATTTAAGAAACTGTGAAGGAATAAACATATTTTACGCACCTGATGGACGTTGGGTACAATTCCAAAGACCAGACGTATATGGAGTTAAAGGACCACGTGATCCAGAACTTCCCTAGCAAGCCTGCTGTTACTGTAAGAGCTTTCCACTCTTAAATGAAGAATCAAAATGTATATTATTAAAGACCTTTGAATTATTTTAGACAAATCGTTTTTGCTGAGCGTCAAGAGAAGCTCAAGTTTCGAGTAAAATTTTAAATTTGTTTCAAGGCAGAAATTTCTGCGTTATTCAACTATCGTTTGCAATGCAGCCAAAAGTTTAATGTTGCATTTTATTTTTTTCAAGTAGTGTAGAAAAATAGATAGGAAAACAAAATCCAAAGGTACCAACTTTTTTGTTTGTTATCTGCACTCATCATTCCTCCAACAATACAACAGAATATTCCTGCAAGTGTTAAAGAAACGACCACAGATTTCTTCCTTCCAATTCTAGAAAAAAATTGCTATCAGTTCAAATTTGAGGTTCCATTGGTATCTAAAAATGATTATAGCATTTTCCAGTAAGTGTGTTGTAATTATACACCTAACCGTTTTTGCAAACAAGGGGCTATGAATGAACACTCTCTATATCCTTTCCCCCTCCAATACTTTAGAACCGACATATAATAAAGTGATCCCCTCGAAACACAAAGACTAGCATATCCCCGTGAGTCCCAGAAAATCAAGTCTACCCGTTGATAGAAGCTCTCTAGAATATTAAAGGTGAACTGACACGCAAAATTAACTTGACCTCAAATGAAAGCATATCGAGCATAAATGCCTGATACATTATTATTTTTTTAATATTCAACACAGTTTTCGAGTTATTGAGCGTCAAAGTTAGCCACCGAACATTTTCCGAGCACGGACGAGTTTGCCCGAGCCTTCCGCATAGTCGTGATGTCACAAACACCATGTTCACATCACTTGAACAACACGGCAGTCTGGAAGGCGGTACTTTCATGACTTTGCAGATGAGCATCGATACATTAATTGAGTAGGTTTTGGCTCCATTTCGACAACCTAATTGGAAAACAGATTATGACTCCTTTACGAACCTTTCATAATAAGGTTTGCAAGAATATCGTATTATTCAACGCGTTTGAGGCCCTTCCTCCGTCTTGCAGGACCCAGTGTGTGGCGGGCCAACATATCGTATAATGGTAGCGATAAATATATTGACAGGATTTTTATTTTCTGGAAACCTAAGTAAAATACTTTTATTTTGTTTAATACGGCTGCTGTTAGACTAATTTATCAGCAGCACCCCCCCCCCCCCAAGTTAATTTCGGTCTTTGATCCTGGTTATCTTCAAATACGCAGTAAAGATTTAGTAAAGATTTTGAATTTAAGTCACTCATTTTCGTTTTTTTTATTCAATCACATGAAGAATTTTCAGGGGTTAAGAACCTGGTACGATCGAGTCGCTATTTGCAGGAAAACAACTTAGTAAAATTTTCAACTCCCAGGCCGCTGCACTCCTATAACTCGGGTGAACCGATGAGTTTGCAAACCCAAAATAAAATGACGTTCATGATTTATATGGATGTAGAAATAATCTATCGAAGTAATAATATATTGAATTTATTCGAAAAAGAAGCTAGATTCATGACAAAATGATAAGATTCTTACATTCGTCCGCATGATTGACTTCAGAATTGAGAATTTCTTCGAGCAGCTAAAAATGCCTATTCCTTCCAAACTTCAATTCCATCCTAACATAACGCAGTACCAGCCAGCACATATCCTTCATATATTTCATTAGCATCGAATTTTCATTATCTTGGATCAAAGGCTACGTAGATCTCCTCGAATAGTAACTGAACAAGATGAACTGAACTGTCCAGTCCGTGCGTGATTTCCATTCAAGGGATAAAAACATGGTGTTTGTGACGTCACACGCACTGGGAAACATGAAATGCCGACAATGGTCGAACACTCGACGATAATTTCATGACATTTAGAGCGGAATTGCGTCAAAACGGACAATAATAATTAACCGAAAACTTGAAATTAAGATTCCATGCATCGTTTTCTACATTATATCAAAAAGTAGTTTTGCCTGTCAGTTCACCTTTAAGGCACACATGTTTATGAACCCCTCCAAAACACCAGTCAACAGGACCAACATATTCACAGAGACCCTCCAAGACATTGGAGACTGCATGCGCACAAAAGCCCTTCAAAACCAGTACCTGCATTGCATTTTGACTGGGGTTCTCAAAACACTGGGATCTACAATACCTTTTCCAGAGGAAGAAATGTTGTTTTACTGGACCTTGAGAACTGACATAGATGTTTGAAGACTTTTGACAGGGATTTTAGATACTCAAGGATACACAGAAGTCCTCCAAGACAAAAGTTCACTTCCTCTAGACCACAACAAGTGTGAACAGTAAATTATAGCTAAAAAATTGATGATCAGATGGCAAAGATTTTTTCGATTCATTTTTGAAGAGAATGAGGTGTTACCTGTTCATGCATAAAACTGATAGTAGCAAAGCAGGAATTTCAATCAACATTGCCAAGATAAAATCCCGGTACATTTCACCACTAAGATCACTAACTCCCAATGAGACACCGTAGTAAACGGCTGCATTGGCACACCTATTAATATAAAACAGAAATGTGTTATTTTTCAGTCATATAGCAAAGTTAGAATTGATATAGAATCAAAATTTGTCACACTGGGGTTTGCTGGCGTACTGTGGTATAATATTCAGACTGGGGCATACTACCCATTTTAGGGCATACTAGCCACAATGGAGTTACTAGGCACACTGGATAAGCGCAAAATAGATTTTTACTGGAAAGACATACCATGCGACACCTTGAACAGCAGAAAAATGAAACATCTTCAGGGGCCTAAATAAATCAAGGATTCCGTGCTTTTTCTCATCAACATCTGCCTTTGGTAGTGGCTCAAGCTCTAGTTCGGCTGGGAGAGTCTTTTTGTTTATTTTTGCTGCCTTCTTTAGAATATCAATCACTTCTTTGTGGCGTCCCTGGAAGCGAAGCCAACGCATCGATTCTGGTATGAAACTAAAATAACAACACAACAAACGATGATTTCGATACTAATTGAAATACACAACCTTTTATACATAAACGAAAACATGGTGACAAAAGTTATTTTTATAAAAACTGATTTATCGGTTATAAATGAAGAAAAAAGAAACAAACTCAAACTGTTTTCTGTGTAATTATGCATATAGCTAACGTAAAAATGAAACTTCAATTCTCGTTTAAAACCTTTAAGGTGTTTATTTCTAACTCTCAAAAGTCTGAGCATATACAAGCAAATAAAGTGGCCGTAAGCTTTGAAACCTTAAAGTTTTAGGAATTCTACAAACCAAGTCTTGGAGCCTACATTTATCAAACGTTTAAAGAGTTCAATTAATCTGCTTACAAGAAAAACACGAATACAAGCATGTATGGAGCTGAGCAGGCAATTATCAGTATTTTCCATTTCCTTATGAAATACGCCTTGATGCCAGTTAAAATGAGTGAACCGGAAAATAGCAACCATAATAAAGTGCCAATCAACGGTCGATAACGTGGGCCAACAAGCTCGAGAGAGACAATGTATGCTGCAATAATTGTTCCAGGCTTAAAAACCCCTATAACAAAGCGACAGACTGCAAACACTGCATAGTTTGGTGCAAAAGCACTTAAAAAGCCAACCAGCAGGATGCCAGTTACAGAGACCTTCAGCGACTTTGAGCGACCATACCTGAAAGTAAAAAGAAATTTTAAACACACGATATCGAGTTCATCTTGTTAGCATGAAAGAGACCGTTTGAATGTAATCTGTTAAAAATTTGACTGATATAATGCGATTCTGGGGAAAATTTCATTGACATGGTGTTAAAATCAAACTCAAATAGGCGAGCTTTAATCTTGATCTTTAGATGTTTCAGGATTGGCGCACATTTTCTTGAATTCTCTTGAGCAAGTATACAAATGAACGAATGAGCGCTTTGGCAAATGCCGCAAAAGACGCTCTTCAAGCATGCGTAATTCTGTTAAGTTCTATTCGTCGTAAAAATATGCAGTAAACAAAGTTTTGAATTTCGTTCTGTGTCCACAATTATTCCACGAATGACCCAAGAATCGCTGCACTTGGTGGAATTTTATTTAGACAAGCTGTCTTTCTTTGGTGTACTGACCAGTGAATCGATGAGGACACCCATTGGGAGACTGGCTATTTTGGATAAAAGAAGAAAGGTCACAGGAAAGAACTTCAAAGACATGATATCTCTCAAGAAATATAAAGGAGTCAAACGTAAGCACTTTCACTTACTTGTCTGCGAACCAACCAAAGATAAAAGACCCGATCCCCCAGCCAATAAACAAGAGCGACGTGCTTAGATAAATCATGTATTCTGTATCGCAGTAGATGTCAAACTGGAAAAACAAGCGAGGTTGTATATTTACATGTAAGTAAACTATACATCAAACGTACTGTGTATTTAAGAAACTCTAATCGAGCCATGTATTGAGCTATTTTACTTTTTCGTTGATTTTGCGGCAAAAAAACAATACGTTTTGCAAGAATCTGTTATTCAAGGCAAAAATCAAGAAGCTTGATAGGCACTTGAACATTACCAGCTAAAAAAGGCGTGGGGTTATCTTGATAGCGGAGTGAAGATTATCCATTATTACCTCTTTTCGTCTCTTCGGCACTCTGCAAATATAAAGTTAGGCTGGTCTTGATATGAACCATCATCTAAGTGGATTTGTGTGCCCTATGTGACCGCGAAAAGCAATTCAAAGTAAACCAACATTTTCTGCTAAATATTTTTGGATCAAGTAAACATTAGATCAATACCCGGCTTTTTATACTAACAAATGGATGCAAAGTAAAAAGCGATGTTATTGAAAGTCGTATTCTAAATAAAGATAGTTAAAAAATAAGCGGGACTTTCTTTGCTCACAGGCCATGGAGGCAGTTGCTTACGGTGTGCTGGAGACAAGCTCGCACGTTTTGGGGGGAATTAATGACGTAATTAGTGTGTAGAAATTTAGTTATTCACGTTTGAAGCAGCGAGTGTAGATACTTTAAGGAAAAAATAAACAAACGAGTCTTGAGGAAAGAACCAATTAGAAACAATCAGGATATGCAGTATCCTGTACGATTCACAGACACATGTTTAAATCATAGTTTAAATCCTTAAGTGAGGAGAATGGCTCTGTCAAACCATTATTATTAGAGATATTATTAGAGAAACGGAAAAATAAAAAATAAAAGATTTAAATTTAGGAGTAATAATAATAATAATAACATTAATAATATAGACATATATCCCCAGGGCTCATAGGCGTTTAACAACATCGCTACTGGCATAAAATCGGCTAGGCGTAGTTGGGTTACTTTACGTAGAGTTACTGAGGAGTAAAGTAGAATCGCGTAACAAGTTTAAGTGAAGCTTAGAGGACATTAAAAGATGTACATAAACGATATGGTCTTTCACTTCTGAAACGTTAGAGTGGGACAATCGATGCAACAGTAGATAAGTGTCAAGGATTGAGAATCTAATTTTATCCAAAGCAATGTAGAAATGCCGTCTTAAAAATGAAGGCAAAGTTGAAGATGGTGCTCGAGAAGGCTTTTAGGTTTTTAATACTGTACATAGAGTCGAAACGTTGTATTGAAACCTCCAGTCTTTGACGCTTAAGCTTTTATTTTGATCATTTGAAAGTGGGAAGTGTTGGGTCTATAGTAAAAGGTTATCAAGTATTACGCAAGATCACTGCGAATAATTTTAGAACAGCATGGTATACCTGTGTAACAATTGAGTAGTCCTTTGGCTGGGTGAATTGCCAGTCTTTTCTTGGAATTGAACATCTGAATTCATAGTTATCATCTCCACTTGCAAATGTACCGTTCAGGTTACAAACTGTACTGTTATAGACACACTTCCATGCAGGATTCTGCCCAGCAAAGTACATTATAAGGATTGGAAAGCCACAACAGAGAATTATTATGGAAAGCATTGAAACCAACATAATTTGATATCTGCCAAATTCTCCTACGTATGGTAGGATCTCATCAATTGAATTGACTTTCATCGCATCTTGCACCGAATCAATCTCCATCGTGTTCTCTTTAAACTTCTCTTTATCAGCCATTGTTATAATTCTCACAAAATCAAATTTCCCTGCAAAGAAGAAAATTTCATTTTACCTTTTGATTTAGTTACAGTAAGTCTCTGCATATAAGAAACGTACATATAAGAAACCAGCCAGCCTGATTTGAAAATATTTTCTTACGTATAAGAAACTCAACAGCCTGATTTGAAAATGTGAGTTTCTTATATGCGGGGACTTACTGTACTGCACTTTGTAGTATGATATCTTGTACCAAACTATCCCCTTTTGTACTTTGGTACAAAACTATCCCCTTTATTTCTTTTCAGTGTTATGGAATCTGGCTTCATCATTGACATCTCAGAAAAAATGCTTTTTCACACGTTGGGCGCCAAATGCGTTGTAAAGTAGGCAGAGAAGCAAAAAGGCATTTGTCTGCATTTTGGAATTATTTATAAAAACATAACAAAACGAACAGTAATTCATTTAGCCATAAAAAACATATATCATGTGTTCCTGAAAGTAGACACTTGACTCTAATCTCTAATTGTTGGTTGCGTAAAATGCACCCTTTTCTCTGATTTCTACAAAGACAACTGTAAAACTATGAATGCAACAAATTGCTTACTTCACAACATTGTGCTCGATGTTTGTAATGTAGAAATGGAAGAGTTGTGTCAAATTTCAAATGATATCCTGCAATGAGTACAACAAACTAGCAAAGATTTAAATTTCTTATCTAGATTTAGAACAATAGACAAGATTAGTTGCTATTGCAAAATGTGGTACACTCATTTTTTTTAAAAAAAAGGTCGAGTACTCCAGTTTCTTAATGTTCTGAAAATTTCAATACTCATTGTTTCTTAAGAGTTTCTTAATTATGATATCATGAATGATTTTATGAAATGTTCGTGACCTTTTTTATCACGTCAAGAGATTCGCTTCCGTTCTGATGCTGTATTTAGATGTGGGGAGTATACTTTTATCCCTCTTGTTTTTAGTTCAAGGCCAGCAGGGCAATAATGTTCTTGGATTTTACGAAATTTCGTTGGTCTCAATTTTATCACGATTTAATAGTTTCTTATTTTTTTGCTTCGAGTACTGAAGTTTCTTAGTTTTTTTCTGACTGTCCAGTACTCGTTTCTGATAGCCAGTTTCTTATAAAAAAAATGAGTGTACTTCAATAACCAAAAAATTTGTCAAGAAATTGCTTATTTAACAACTTTTTGCTCGATGTTTTTAATGAAGAAATGGAAAAGTTGTGTCAAATTTCAAATGATATCCTGCAATGAGTACAACAAACTAGCAAAGATTTAAATTTCTTATCTAGGATTAGAACAATAGACAAGATTAGTTGCTACTGCAAAATGTGGTACTTCAATTACCAAAAAATTTATCATCATATCAGTAGATTCCTTCCCTTTTTGTGGTTTCTCTGACGGAGTAAAAAAGCAAACTCTATTTTCAAGATTCTATGTCCCACATGGCCCGCGCCACCTTTTCTCGGAGTTTTACGGAGCACACATGATATCGTTTGACCAACTGACTACCGTAAATCCTCAAATAAGCCCCACACTCGAATAAGCCTCCTCCTCGAATAAGCACCCACCTAATATATAATTTTTTCAAATAAGCCCCCCTCGAATAAGCCCCCCTCGAATAAGCCCCCTTGGGCGCTTATTCGAGGTAAGCATAATTGCAGAATAATATCTTATTTCAAGAAAGCCCCCATAGGACAATAGCTATACAGTATTACTCAGTAGCGGCGCCACGGAGGGGAATTTGGGTCGGCAGGATTGATTTTTCATTTTGTCTAAATCCGATGTAAAAATGTTGGAGGAGATGTAATATTTTGGCAACGTACTTTTTGTTATGTAATCCTATGATTTTCAAACTGCCTTTACATAGCCGAAAGTGAGTAATGGGCGTTCCCTTCAGGTAAAAATTGCGTTCCTTGTTAGTAAAAGGACGTTTTCTGGTGCTAAAAGGGGCTTGGTCTCTAATCTTTTGTTTTGTCTCCCCCCCCCCCCAGAGCGTAGTGTCTGGCGCCGCCATTGGTATTACTTCCTTTGACAGGAGACCATAAAGCAAAAAAGTGACTTTTGTGATGATAAAAAATTATAATATTTGTTAGTTCTTTGTTAGATTTGTTAGAAAAGTAATTTCGTTTTATGTCGAAAAATAAGCCCCCCCCCTCTCGAATAAGCCCCACCCAAAAACTCATTTTTGCAAATAAGCCCCCGGGGGCTTATTCGAGGATTTACGGAAAGCCCGCCGCCATTGTGTTGAATCCGATGTAGCGACGACAAGTTATCAAGGTCTTCGGAAGCGGTAGGTCTGGAGGATGGAGCCCCCCAATAATTGTCAAACTGTACAGCGTACTAAATGGCCAGCAAAACAATTGGCAGCGTACTAAATGGCCTCCAAAATATGAATTTCGTTCCGACGACCCGGATTGTTATTTTTATACCATTTGCATCTAGCTAAAATGTTTGCTTTTAAAAACTCGAGCTTTCTAGCCAGGCATCCATGATCAAGACATATTTGTCGATATGTGAGTTGTTTGAAATATTTGACTTACCTTCGTTTACTCTACGGCGCCCTTCAAGTTTTCAACTCACGCTTCAAGTGTAGCCCCTCCTAACTGCACTGCTCACTGCATACCGATTGCACTAAAGTGGATTATGTGTCGCTAACTGACCATGGCGGCTTCCTAAAAAAACCCAGAACGTATGGCCCGAGGACCCCTATTACCCAATGACTCTTAAGTAATGAATATCAAGATGATCCCCAATAAAAGATATTTACTGCCAAAAATGATAATTATCAAAGAACAAATAACAAGATCATAGAATTTTGACATACATCGCTCCAACAATTGAACTAGGCTGTCGGCTGTGAAAGAGTAATGGCTTTCCTCTAGTCTGAGGGTTTGATTTTTCCAGCCAGGTTCCTCACTTGGCATCGGCATGCCGAGAAATCCCTTTGTTGTGGCATACCGTAAATACCGGACCTTAAGACCAAGGACCCCTAAGTACTTACAGCGAAAAGGATCCTTGTACAAGCGTGTTTTCACAGTCAGCTTCGCACCCGCCTTCTCCTGCATTTGTCCGCTTTGCTTTTTGGCGGGTTCTATTGCAAAAGAAAACCCATAACTCAGGCTCCTTTTTGAAAATGACACGTTCCCGATAAGATGTAGCGAAAGCGTAAGAGACATCGGTGCTTAGGAGGCCCCCTCTCCAATAAGCCCCCATTCTAGAACTTAAAAAATAAATAAGCCCTCCGGGGCTTAGTAGAGCTTTACGGTGAGTCTTTTCGTAGAACATCATAAATAAATGCATTATTCAAGAACTTCTCCAAACTTCTTAAAAAAGGCTATAGTCTCACCTGTCTATAAGAAAAAAGATTTTTTCACTAAGAAAAATTATACTAACGACACTCGCAAAGCAATAGAACTTCAACTTTCTCCATTTCTCGAAGAAAAATTTTCGAAATTCCTATGCGCATATAGAAAACAGTTTTCTTCCCAGCACGCTTTTTTTAGACTTATTGAAAACTGGAAAACAGAACTGGAAAGGAACAAACATATTGGCGCTGTCCTTATGGATTTGTCAAAAGCCTTTTACTGTCTACCAAAAAACCTACTTTTAGCAATGGTATAGATAACCTACATGGCAATGGTATAGATAGAGATTCTCTTTTACTTATACAAAACTACCTGTCTAATAGAAAGCAAAGAGTCAAAGTGAAAGGTCATTACAGCTCCTGGGGTGAACTTGGACAAGGAGCGCCACAGGGATCAATACTTGGACCTCCACTTTTCAATATTTTCCTAAATGATACTTTTTACGGCCTTACTGCAGGGTCTTTATGTAATTTTGCTGATGACAACACGATATCTGTCACTGCAACAAATACTAATGAACTATTGCAACTTGCAAAAATTAACACCAAAAATGCCTTGATTGGTTTAAATCTAATGTAATGATTGCAAATCCCTCTAAATTTCAAGTTATCACAATCGGCAGCAAAGATGAATGCATAAATGAGTTTAAAATTGACCAAAAATTTGCAATTAAAATAGAGAAAAACGTTACTTTGCTTGGTGTTCAATCGATGAAAATTTAAAGTTTAATGCTCATATCGATAAGATCTGTAAAAAAGCAGCTAAACAGTTAAATTCTTTGAAAAGATTGACAAGATTTATGGGTGATAGAGAAACAAAGATGATTATGAATTCATTTATACTATGTCACTTCAATTATTGTCCATTAATATGGATACTATGTGGTAAAGGAAGTCAGGATAAGCTAGAGAAAATTTACGAGAGGGCTTTAAGACTAGCCTATTCGGACTATTCATCTTCGTACAAAGATTTACTTGCTAACTCAAAAGAAACTACCATACATGTCCAATCAGTTAGAAATTTAGCGCTCGAAGTTTATAAAACACTTAACAACCTTAATTCTGTTTTCACGAAAGACAATTTTGTACCCAAAACATCAGGTCATAACCTTCGACTTAAAAACCCCCTTGACATTTCAAAAGCCAGAACTACCAATAATGGTATCAGATCATTAAGTTTTCAAGGGCCTAAAATCTTGAATTCACTCCCGGAATCAATTAAGACAGCACAAAATACTAGACAATTTAAGAATTTGATCAAAACTTGGTTCCTTGAAAACAAGTGCTCGTGCACGTTTTGCAGTAAATGAACTGTCTTATACAATTCTTGAAATTGCTTCATGTTAGTCTTAATTAGTGCATATTCACTATTGTAAAAACTAACGTTAAATAATCTACAATACAATACAATCCACGGGCTTTTACTGCTGGGATTATAACAGTCAACCGCCGTAAAGCCCCGGCGGAACCATATCAGTGAAGTATTTCGTCCAACGAGTCCCTACATTGCTGGACGACTTCTTGGGGAGCGTTGGAGTTGGACGTTGTTGGAGTGACCAAACCAGAGCAACTTTTATCCAAGATTTGTCGATTTATCAATAACATGAAAACAGGGTGCTTGGATTTGATTATAAACAAAACGATAAGGAGCAGCAGTGTTTTTGGTATATTTAAAATTTGGATCATAGAGATTTCCCCTTTTAGAGATTCCACGCTTCCCAAATTCCCGATTTCCTGTTCCCCAGTTCCTTGTTTAGTACTTACGGATGACTGTTACAGGCACCGCGGAGCGTTAAGAAAAGTGGGGGTCTAAAAAAGTAGGGGGGGGCTAAAACCGTATAAAAAGAGGCTTTTCTGGTAGTTTAGATGGGTCTGCAGATCTTATTTTGCTCAGTAAACAGGTTCACAGTAGGTTCTAAGCCGCAGCCCCCTTTGGTTATTTTTTTACGGCTGGGGGTCACGGCCCACGAATGCCCCTTGTCCAAAGTTGATGCCACCATCCAATCACAGTTTTTCGCCTATAGAGTTCTAAAGTTCGACGTCACAAAAAGATTATTTCTAGATTTGTTATATTTTGACCACATAAAATAAAAGAACATAATGGAAAACTTCTAAATATGCAAAATCAGCTTAATATGTCAAAATCAGTTGCGGTATGGCAATTGTAAGATTTGAAGTCTGCTAAGAGATTGCTGCTGTTATTTTGGCTCTTTTTACAGACCAGAAGTTATGAATCAACATATACCAAATTACAAAGGTTATTAAGAACAACTAAAACTACTGAACTACACTCTCTCTACTAAACTCTCTCAATTAATTTTTTCATAAATTCAGCAAAAAGCACATTTTAAACTGATGTCTATCTCTTGAAAAACAAATCCATACCTAAGGCGTGCTTTAGGGCGCTTACTTTTCAAACAAATCTATGCTAAATTGTAGTAAGCCTCTACAGCTGAAACAAAAGTTCAAATTGGTGATAACTAAATTTGGCAATAAAGGGGGTCAGGGGTGTAGTGCTATCAAAAAAACAAGGGGGCGCTTGCGCAAAACACTGCGAAAAACAATAACAAAAGTAGAAATTTGCATTTTTCGGCATTAACAAGGGGGGGCTCAGCCCCCCCTGAGCCCTCCTAGTACTACACCTCCTAGCACTACACCTCTGAAGTTGCATATCATATAATTGTGGTAGTTGAAATAGTGTTATAAGTTTATTCAAGATTTCGGTCTTATAAACCTGACAAATCTAGATACTTTATCCAAATATATTTAATAAACAACAGAGTTCAGGTCTATACTGGCAAGTCTATACATTGAGCAAAACAATTATTCTGCAGCTGATAAAGAGAGTTTCATTCGCGTTATCAATGAAAACAACTTCATTAGCCAAACCATTAGACGAGTAAACAGTTCAGGTAGAAAAATACACTTTCATACAAGCCGTTCAGCGTTCAACTCATTGGTATTCAACATAGCAATCATTCACACAACACCAGTCGCTCGTTAATCTCTTACAAATAGAAATTCCGCTAAAAATGGTTAATTCTCCCACTCCAAAATTTCAATCACACAATAGTTAATTCAATTATGCTTACATCATTCTTGTCTAGGTCTAAGAAAATCTTACTTATCTAGGCTACCATGATACACCGTGCCTCATACGTAGGCTGAAATCAGATTGCCTTAGAAAGCTAGTCCTTGTTGTTTATCATGTAGTTTAATGGTTTAATTGAGGCAAGTTTTGCTGTCAAACAGGGCCGCGGAGAGGATTGATGGGCCCCGGGTCAAGACGAAAGACAATGCATGTAAAGCATGCCTTAGGCAGATGTTTCTAGGGGGTATGGGAATGCTCCCCAGGAATTTTTAAAATGATGGTTGCTGAATTGCCCTGGTGGCTATTTTGTTTGCTAAAATTGCTATGGTGGCTAAACTGTTCTGGTGGCAGTGGCGTAGATAGAGGGGGGCCAGAGGCGGCAAACCCTTCCCCTCTGTAGAGCTAAACTGCTATATTGTCGGAAAACTTCTGGTCTTGTTGGAAATTTAACACGGTTGTCTATCTTTACCTAATTGTTTTGTTTTTATATGAAATAATTTAAAGTTAAATAAGCATAAGAATATATTAATATATCAACGGCTAACGGCGACAATGTAACGGCAAACACAATTCTGCAAGCTAGCGACAAGACACACTGAGTTCGCAGCGCAATGATGCAATTGTCATGTGATGTCCTGCAATGAATGGGAACCCTGTGTTCTAACATAGCCCCCTCCTTCCAAAAGAAGCCTCTTGGCTTGGTCTTCTTGTAGCGTCTCTTTTTCGAATTTATACAAGATGCCTTGAAACTCTTTTGCTTTTGGTGATAAGGATGATGATTATGATCTGCACAGATGTGATGGGGCCAACAGTAGATCGGTGATTGACGTCATTTCTTTGAATATCGTTGTTAGGGGCGTTGTGAAAATGTCTGCCTCGTCCAGCTTTGTTGTTCGGCCCTTTCGCTCTTTCATCAAGTCAGCAAGCTCCTTTGTTAGGTCTTCTAACTAGCGGAACAACTTGCACAGAGCAACGAAGGGTTCAGAGGTGGTTTGTGTTGTCGTTCTCGTCTGAATTTCGGCTTCAAAAACTGGGCTCATTGCGTCCACGGCCACAGGAGGTTTTTCTTGCAATGGTTGCTTCAACGGGCGTCTTCTGCAATATTTTACCACGTGTCCCACTTTTTTACAAAATTTACAAATCGGCTGGTCGTCTGTGGTTAGCAGGTATCGTCAAGTGCTCATCTTCTTTTGCTTCGGTACGGCTGTCCTCACACGGGGCACCAAACCTCTTGAAAGGGGGCTTTACCTACGTGAGTTCGTTGTAGGCAGAAATGCTCAAAAGTACGGCAACGGCGGATAAAATCAAAATTCTTCCTTTTATGGCAATGATACGACCAACGGCTAACAACAAGTTCGACAAATAACGACACGGCTAACAACAGGCACGACAAAACTAGCGACAGAGCTCCAAGCAGTACGGCAAGACTTTCGACAAGACTACTCCTAACTTATGAGACAACCCTTTATATAACCTAAGCAAACCTTAAATTAATAATTACATAATGCAAAAAACATATTTACAGACGCTGATGCAATCACAGCGCAACGATGCAATTGGCACGTGGTACTGTCCGTAAGGGAACCCTGTGTCGTTACACAAAGTTCTTCATCACTTTCACGGTCAGAGTCGATCAAATTTTGTGGATCATTGTCATCTTCCACGTCAGAATCCGTGATGTTCGCAAATTGACGCCCTTTGGTGCGTACAAAGGCGTTAAATAGAAAGGGGGTGCTACAAAGGAAGTGGGCGTTAAATAGATCAAATACGGTAACTGAATTTCCACACAGTACCTTAAAGGCAGTCTGTCCCCTATTGTGCTCAACTTTATTTTCAAGGCAGTGAAATTCACGCACCGTTGAGCTTGATCGAGAATTAAACGATTTAAACCAATCAGAGACAACTTTGATTCCAGAGCTTTGGAATCAAATGGCCGTTGTAGTGAAGCTGTGGCTAGAAAAAATTTGTTTCCTGTTTGGTTTGTGCGACAGATATGGTAACAGCAAAAAGGAAATGCTTCCATCATCATCATTCATCTCCACTAATTAAATCTTCTTGCCATTCCCGATAGCTTTTTGCTCGCAGTTTCAAATGTCGTCCACTACCGCAGCTAGGCCAGCCAAAGCAAGCATCGTAACCCGTTATCCGTTAAGGCGGGAGGACCTATTGTTCATATTAGCCAATCATTGAGGGGACAGACTGCCTTTAAGTACCTTAAGATTAGTGTTGAATGCCAATGATATGATTGAGACTTCTGCAAACCAATCACATAGCAAACTTGAAGTTGCAGGCCAATAAGATATAGCCAGCCATTATTTTCATTCTTTAGGGAATGCAGGCCGAGATGGCCCCTAGCCACTTTACACGAAGGGCATTTCACTACCTGAAATAGCGTACGAGATTTTTGGCATTTCTAGAATCCTCATCGGGAGTTTGTTAAGCCAAGCGAAGACCTTTTTTAGGTCTTTTTGTTGTTCATGGTAAAAAACCTTCGGTAGGCTTGTATAGGCTTCCGTTCTCCAACTTCTGTTCACATTTAACTTCGAAAAACCAAGCTAAATTCAAATAATACTAATGGTTGGTCATTGAAAATGAAAAACTCAATGCTCCTCTTATCACTTGGGACCAAGAGATTGGCAAAGCCGTTATCGCTTCACTTTTGATTCAAATTTTTATTTGTTTTCTTCTGCTTCTCCATCAGGGTCTCTCAATAAAATTTTGCTGTCAATCTTTGCCAATGTCTCATATGTTATATGTAAGCAGGTATTCGTTAGTGTCAATGTAATCTCTCGCAGTAATTTCTGACGCAATCAAACTTTCATCTGGTGCTTTGAGTCTACAAGCCAGTGCTAGAAATGTATCATCAGCATGTTTTGCCGATTGCAAAAATGGTTTTCCCCAAGAAAAAGTGGTAAATGAACACGGGAAATAAATAAATAAAAATAACAGATAAAAAAATTAGGAAAAGTTTGTTAAATTGAGGGTAATTATGATAGCAGGACCTATAATTTGGTTCGTAATAACGAGAGCTCGTTAAATCCGGGGTTCATTATACCGAGATAATTTGTAAGGAGTTTGTTAGGCAGAATCCAAGGGACCAGAAATTTAGTTCGTTATACCGGGAAGTTCGTTATATCCGGGGTTCGTTTTATCGGGATTCCACTGTACTTCAAAAAAGTAAAGTCGATTAAGTTTATAGGAAATTGGTTATGTATAACAAATAAAATATTTGAATTTTTCTAACGGATTGCAATGCTTTGAAAAGAGACGAAATTACAAATGAAGGATTGGCCTAATCCCAGACAGATTGTAGAGACAAAATGCAATTTTTGCAGTTTTCTACTTTACGTTGCCACTCTAAGTTCGAATATTGGGCTATCAATTTTGCTTCAAAATCATGCAATCAACAATGAATCGGGGAGGGGAAAAGCTATTTTTCTAAGGTGACGAAAACATCAATTTAATTGTAGCCTCTACTCATGGCCATCTCCCAACCAATTTGTAACACCTTTACCTGATTTTGCATGTTCAGAGAGAGGTATTTCACGGTGCTCTTTCATCTTATTGTGTCCAAATTCAAAAATTTTCAGAATAGACTTTTGTAACGTCGTCATTTCATAATTTTATATTGCATTGCATTGCATTGCATTGCATTGCATTGCATTGCATTGTATTGCATTGTATCGTATCGTATCGTATCGTATCGTATCGTATCGTATCGTATCGTATCGTATCGTATCGTATCGTATCGTATCGTATCGTATCGTATCGTATCGTATCGTATCGTATCGTATCGTATATTTATTGAGCATTGCTGACGTTCTGGCACTATTTAGCTGATTTTTAATACACCTTCCGGACATCTACTAAGATTTTGCAAAACGTTGGGATACAATCTTGGGATACCATCGATCTTTTCCGCGTAATAGAGTAAGGCAGGGCCTAAAATAGGCGTGGATCTGACTCACTTTGTGAAGTCAGCCTAAACAATTCGATCGACACCAAGTAACAATTAATTCCATTCCAAAAACAACTTCTTTCTTCAAACAAATGATTGAATTATTTATCTCGTCATTACATCAAATAAAAATCATCAAATAGATTATGTTGCTGTGCAAACTTGATTATAATGAATTGCGCTTTCTTTTTTTAAAGCTAACAACACAAATGTATATGTTCTAAAAACATCAACAGTCATATTCTCAAACGATTTGCATTATTTACAAATTTTGAAAATCGGTAATGACTATATTCTTAAAAAAAACCAGTAGCATACTTGCTAGTGGGGCCAGGATATCAATGGCCATCGTGTTAAGAGACACCATAAAACAATTTGAAACGTATGGAGTAACAGTCTGTTTAGTAGGCTAGTACTGTTATTGTAATAAACATATTGCTTATATTCAATGATTTCTCGCAAAAATTTAAACAGTTTTACGCTTTGAAGATTTTTTTAATGCTATGCAAGATATTTTCGTTGCTTGACCCTGAGATGATTTTTTGCAAAGATCAAGCTATTTCCCTGAGACTAATTCGCTACAAAGTTACAGCAAACCACTGTTGCGATGCAGATAAGCACTAAAGCACGGGTTTATATCACTAAAGCACGTGTATGTTGTTTTCGAATCGAACCCAACTTGAAGCCACAAACTTCTAATCCTTTAGCTACTCAGATCAAGACTTGATAAACCGAGAAAGCTATTTAATGATGGCTCTTAGTCACCTCCTCTCGGCATCGAGGCTCACTGTGCAAAGCACAACTCGTTACGTTCTTACTAGAGATGATTCCCATTGGCTATTTCCAACGCTCCTGAAAAATACAAGAGATAATATATCGATGCTTATTCAAGAGGAGCCTTGAAGAACTCAATTGGAATTCGCCAATTTCATTTCAACACTACATACTCGAATCGGCTCTTGATAAAATATGTTCATGAGAAATTATTATCATCAGACAATAAGAGGTTCTGCTCATGAAAGACTTGAGGTGCTGCCTTAAATTTGCAGGTTTTAAGGTATGCTATGAGGTATTCAAAATTCTAAAAACTTTTATCGTTACACTGTCACTTAACTGCCGTAGAACTTATCTTATAAAAAAGAGAAAATCTTCTCGAGAGATCAACCGAAGAAAATCTTCATGCATCTGGGGACTCCAATGTGCTAGGATTCTCCACGATCAATTCATCTTTGTTCATATTTGAATCCAACTTGAATAGCTGATTGACGGTTTCCAATGTCTCGCGATCCTTAGTTTCAGACAAATTCAGAAGTAGAACGGAGCTTAACAGAGACAGTGCAGCCATCAGAGAAAACGGTAACATGACGTGAAAGACTCTCAACCATTTCGCGATCCAGGGAGCTAGTGCCGAACCAACACGAGCTGTTATTTGTAGGAAACCCATTCCTTCAGCTCTGAAATAGAAGATAACATCTTTATAGAAAAACCCATGATGTACAGGTCTGACTACATGCTGCCTCCATATATAAGTCATTTTTATGCAAGATGCTTGACTTGCAGGTTGGGTAGTCAATGGATTTGTCTCTGTCTGGGCGAATATTGAGACTATGAGACTTTATTTACAAATGAAACTCAAGCGTTATTTACAGATAAACACCTGTACTCTAACAAACCTTAGCATGTTTCTTTCCTTTTTCGACATATGGCCTAATAATCAACATAGTAAAACTGCTATCGACTGCAAGTTCCATCATGCAGCAGATAGCAAGAAAGTAGACTGTCATTCATTACTAATAGCTTATACAAGATCAAGGGTGATGCAACAAGTTTAGCGCACCTGATGCATGTTGGGTACAGCTCCATAGACCAGATGTATACAGAATTGAACGACAACGTGATCCAAAACTTTCCTAATAAGCCTGACGTCACTGTAAGGGCCTTCCATTCTGAAATTAAATGAAAGACGCAAGTTTTTAAAGGCCTTTTGCATAGGTTAAGCAAAATTTTTGATTACCTGACATTACGGCACGAGAATTTTGCAAGTTTCAGTAACATTTGAAATTACACATATTTTAATAGAAAAACTTTGCTATATGTTTTTATTTGTCAATATCCAATGGTCGTATTTGCTGGGTCGAGCAAGAAGCAAGCAGTCCATAGCAAACACAAAAACCCCATACTTGTTTGTTTGTTATCTGCACTCAGCATTCCTCCAACGATGCAACAGAATATTCCTGCAAGTGCTAACGAGACGATCACCGATTTCTTTCTTCCAATTCTAAGAGAAATCTTTTTATCAGTTTCAGCTGATTTGTAAAACGGCCATCGAAAGTGACGTCACTGTAACAAAAACGCAGCTACTTCCAACAAACTAATGCTCTGGTAATATCATGGCTTTGAAAAGTGAAATAATTCTTAGCTTTGTAACAATTGTAATTTTTAGCTATGTTTTTAATCATGTTCGGATATAATAATAATAATAATAAAAATTTGTTTAAAGTTGGCGTACTAAATGAGCGTCTAATAGCTATAAATATGATACAATGTTAAAAATGTTTAAGGTATAATATTCTAAATAAAACCTAACCCAGCAATAAATATTTTACACAATCTACAGTCGCTTTCTACAGGGTGTGCTCTTAATTCTTTTTTTAATATGAATGTTTTTTACAGAAATGTTTTTAAGTTTGTAAATGCCCCAGCCACACTTTAAACGTGCGTCGTGATGCATTAGGGAAACTTTGCTAAAATATCTAGCTTATAATGCTCATTAAAAATCTATCCCTGCTTTCTCATGATATGATAAAACCTTTTTTATTGGACAGCAATACAAAAGTAGCAACTTCCGACCTTTCTACACTACACAAAAGCATCTGTGATCAAGCGTTAATCTCTTTTGGTTGTTTTCCAAGGCAAGAAATTTTCACCTGTTCATTGCAAATACGGATAGTATTAAAGCAGGGATTTCAATCAACATTGCCAAGATAAAGTCCCGATACATTTCGCCACTAAGGTCACCAACTCCCAATGACACACCGTAGTAAACGGCTGCAATGGAACACCTATGAATATAAAACACCAATTTGTTATTTTTCTGGCGAATTACAAAGTTCGAAACGGGAACATATATATAACAAAAATATAAACAATCAACAAGACTAGGCTATACCAGCTACGAAGGAGCATACCGTCACATTTGGAAAATGTGTAACAGAAAAACACTGGGAAGACAAACCATGCAAAGCCTTGAGCAGCAGAAAAACGAAACATCTTCAGGGGCCTAAATAAATCAAGGATTCCGTGCTTTTTCTCATCAACATCTGCCTTTGGTAGTGGCTCAAGCTCTAGTTCAGCCGGGAGGGTCTTTTTGTTTACCTTTGCTGCCTTCTTTAGAATATCAATCACTTCTTTGTGGCGTCCCTGGAAGCGAAGCCAACGCATCGATTCTGGTATGAAACTATGAAAACAAGCCAGCAAAAGTTAAGCATTGAACTTTTCCACTAGAAATGGAACACCATGAAAATTAAATTCATATAAATCTTGATATTACAACAGTGATTTTTTACTGAGTTGGCAGTAGGTAAGAAGAACAAGATTTGAAGTAGCTCACTAAACTTGCACTAGCTATTTCATTTATTTTATTAGCGTTTGAAGGAAGGAACAACGAGCGGCAAAAAATGCCATATGGAATTCAGACATCAAAGTATTGGTATCACGAATAAAGACTTTCTCTCGATATTTATAGAATTAAGTAGGATGTATTTAAACTAAGAATAAAAGTATTTTTAAGGACCTTGAGAAAATCTGAAATGCTTTAGAATTCTTCAAATCTTTGGAAATGTCACTCGAATGCCTACATTTAAAAATAGCAAATAGCAAAGTTTATAGCAAGCAATCATGGTCAATTTTCTTAAAACTGGCTTACAAGAAGAACACGCAGACAAGCATGTATGGAGCTGAGCAGGCAATCATCAGTATTTTCCATGTTCTTATGAAATAAGCTTTGATGCCAGTCAATACAAGCGACACGGCAAACAACATCGCTGTTGCTGTACCAACCAAAGGCCGATAAGCTGGGCCAACCAACTCCAAGGAGACGATAACTGCTCCAATAATTGTCCCGGGATTGAAAGCCCCTACTAGCAAACGACAGACTGCAAACACTGGATAATTTGGTGCAAAGGCACTTAAAAAGCCAATCAGAATAATTCCAAAGACCGAAACTCTCAACACTTTAGCACGGCCATACCTAGAAATAAGAGAGGATAAATATACAGAATTGTGCCATTTTTATTTTGATTATTTTCATTTTGCATGCAATTCCCTGTCATGGTTATTGCTAAACCTTGCTAAACCTAGAATTTATACCCCGTCCATTAATTACAATACTGATGTTATAGGATCAATAAGATTTTAGTGACGAGCAAGTGCGCGTGGCATTTGATTGGCTTTTATGAAAAGCATTTTTTTAAAAAACCGACTTCTATCAAAAGTAAGACCCAGTAGTCATTTTTGTTGGTTTTCAATTGTCAATGTCAGATCAGTATAGTAATGTCATCTGCTTTGATGATTTTCATCCGTCCCTGCATTCTTTGACAGGCTGATAAACAGGCTCCATTTTGCAGGCTCATAATCACGTCTGCATTTTACACAGGTTGGTTGAAGCGTTTACACGGGGCCGGCCGATTATGTGGTCGGCCTAAAATCCGTACTGCTTCTGAAGTCGGGCACAAATGAGGTGTCTACCTGCCGTTGCTCTTGGCATTGGTTTTTATTTTTATCCTTTGTTTTTCCACCCCTGACTGAGCTCTCTTTGTTTCCTAACATAACAATGCATTTTTGCTTTTTCCAATAGCCTGTTACACTCTCTCTTTTGGTAACAAAACAGGCGCAAGGTTTGACGTTCCTTGGAGATTTGCAGTTTGGTTTGTTGAAAGACAATCCTTAGGCCTATCCAATTATTTTAGGACCAAGGTGTTGGTGGAGGCACCGGATTAAAGCGTCATTAAGCTTGTCCAGTTTCTTCTGCGTGCAAATCAGCTGAAAGTAAGTCTTGTTACAATATTCAAGATTTTGTTTCTAATATTAAACGCCCTGGTGGATTATATTTAATGTCGTGTCAACAGTCTCAAAGCTGCTTAAAAGAATACTGGACCGTACTAATATATGGCTTCAGTTCTTGAAAAAACCCTAGAGTGCGGCGCAGTGTTTCTCGTGACCCAGTTATAGCTAAGACTGCTGTTATCGAATAGGTACATCGATGATCTCTTTATTTTCACGCAAAATTGAGACATTTGTTTCCGTGCAAATGGACCTCGGGACTTTGGGTGATAATATGATGATAGGATTGAACGCGGGATTTAAGATGCTTGTGTGGCTTGTACTTTTAATTTATGTGAATTTTTTACTTATAACAAACTTTGCTTAGACAAACCGTGCCAAACTTGAATCATTTTCCCGTATATCGTTCTACTCGCTCTACACAAATTGTAGGTAATTGTGTGCGTTCTTTCCTTCTTTTGCTTTCTTTTGTGTATAGTTTTGTTGTTGTGTTTAGTTTGCTGTGCAATGTTATTATTGGTGCCCATATAATCATATAACATTGCATTTTGTTGGGTCGAAACACATTCTTTCATCGCGGTTCGAGTAGAACTGAATGAACAATATATCTCGAAGCGACATGATTTAGAATTAAGAACGGAACTCTGGATAGAAAGCAAAGTTACTCTTGAATAAAACTCTGAAACTAATCACAAGGGAATAGCAGATATAACAAGAAGAGGAAGACTTTAAGCTAAGACTTTAATTGGCAAGACAAGGTGACTTCGTTTCGATATTTCTTGCTTTTTTCTCTCGTTTTGGTTTTTATATATTATCTAATATATACTAATATTAAAATTCGCTTTCTCCACTCTCTGCTACCATAAAAGCATGCATGCAAGCATAGTTATTTCACCGCGATTTAGCTTTGACATTTATTAGCTTCATATTTTCGTTGGCGTTAATTAGCTTTGTTTCATCTGGCAATGCCTGAAGAATAGTTAAACAACGAAAAAGTTTTTACCTGGCAAAATCAAGTCAGAAAGGTAAAGAGATTAAAAGCAAACCTTTTGAAGAGGTTTCAATTACAGTAGAAATAAGTCCAAGAAATATGAAAGAGTCAAGTCATCTAATGAAAACAGATCGACTTACTTGTCTGCGACCCAACCAAAGATAATAGACCCAATTCCCCAGCCAATAAAAACGAGCGATGTGCTAAGGTAAATCATGTATTCAGTATCACAGTAGATGTCAAACTGGAAAAAAGAAAATAGAATGATTAACATCAATCAGTAACAATTAAATGAACTTTGCTTTTAATAACGATACTACTAAATAATGATGACTACTTTTGAAACTAGGTTATTCTGAGAGGCGTCGAGGGTTTTGTGAAGCGGATGTAAAATGAACACCTCATATTCATGTATCTCCTCGATGCAGAGTTATACATATTTCCCATTCTTCTAGCTTGGAAAGTTAAAAACTTAAATTGACAAAGAGTGGTGTAAATAGGAGTTTTTGGAGAAGGTCGGAAGTTGATGAAAAGGGAAACCATTAATGTCAAGGGGGAACAAATGGTAGAACTGTCAACCATTTTAGCCAAATTTTGGTGAATCTTTGTCTCTATTTCACGATTTGTGAAGGCAATTTACTAGTTATGCCACCGAAAAGGGTTAATTTAAGTTAAAATAGGGAAACGACCCGTTGCACCCATTGACTCATAGTGCCTACGCGATTGTATATTTCGATAAATTTTTCAAATTTTCAAATTGCATTTAAATTTCTTTTAGCTTGAGTGCTTCAATTTGAATTTTTGCGTAGCACTTTAGCAGCTGAAGCAACTGCTGTAGAAGCTCCATTCTCAAAAATATCACAGACTTACTGGCGCTGACGACTCTTTGCTTCATGCTTTTCGTTCTAATTGTGTTAAGCTTTAAATGGAGAGACAAGTCTCAAGAAGACTATTTCTTTATATAACTTCTGAATTCAAAGATTTTAGTCTGCTTGTCAAATCCTTCAGAAAGCCTTCTACATTAATTTTGTTATAAGAAACTGGCTATAAGAAACGAGTACTGGACAGTCAGTAAAAATTAAGAAACTTGAGTACTCGAAGCAAAAAAAATTAAGAAACTATTCAATCGTGATAAAACTGAGAACAACGAAATTTTATAAAATCCAAGAACAAGATTGCTTTGTTGGCCTAGAACTTAAGACACAAGGGATAAAAATATACTTTCCACATCTAAATACAGCATCGGAACGGAAGCGAAACTCTTGACGTGATAAAAAAGGTCACGAACATTTCATAACATCATTCATGACATCATAATTAAGAAACTTTTAAGAAACAATGAGTATTGAAATTTCCAGAACATTAAGAAAATGGAGTACTCAACATCGACCTTTTTTTGATAAAAAATGAGTGTATTTCAGTTTATTGGAATCATCAAAGAATGAAAGAATATTCTTAAATTATTAAATCTCAAATCTTCTTAAGTATTTAAAAAGCACGGGGCAAGTGACACTATATAGTGTAAAGCGCCAAAAATTTCGCGCAGTAATGAATTTCATGCCTAGTTTACACAATCTTTTCTCGGGAATTTCTTGAAAAGCCTAAAAAGCCTATGACCTGTATACAATAGGAAAAAATAAGCACATCCCATACAGCTTCCATAAAATGGTACAGTCATTACTTCAGAAATGGTTCAGTGGTCATAGTAATTATTAAGGGCGTAAAATGGTAGTCCTATAAAAAGCATAAAAGATTACTTTAAAAAATGTCGGAATGTCAACCTGTGTAACAATTGAGTAGTCCTTTGGCTGGGTGAACTGCCAGTCTTTTCTTGGAATTGAACATCTGTATTGGTAGTTATCATCTCCACTTTCAAATGTACCATTCAAGTTACAAACTGTACTGTTATGGACACACTCCCAAGCAGGATTCTGCCCAGCAAAGTACATGATAAGGATTGGAAAAGTAGAAGCGAGAACCATAGTGGAGAGCATGGCCACCAGCATGATTTGATATTTACCAAATTCCCCAACATATGGCAGGATGTCGTCGATTGCATTGACCTTCATCATATCTTTCCCCACCTTTTGATCAATCTCTACCTCTTTCTCTTGAAACTTCTCGTCTTCAGCCATGGTTATAACTGTTACAATGAGGAATCTCCCTAAAAGATGCACATATTCATGATCCCTTTTGTATATAATAATTGGCAGTTTGTCAGTATCAGTCTGATTTTTGTAGCAGTTTGCAACAGTCAAACAAAATGTTGGTTTGTTTTTTAACATTTTTCTCATTTAGAATGATTTCGGTTTTTGAAATCTATACGTTTAAAATATTTTTTATTTTGCAACAGATTATCTAGAAAGTAATAATTATCTTGCTATGGACGAAGAGTGGTGATGATAATGAGGATAATGATCACGACTATGAAGGCCATGGTTATGATGATTATTATGATGTTGTTCCCTTAATCGATTTAAAAACTTTGTAATGAAGATATAATTCATACAATCGAAGAAGGATGTAGGATGTAGGGTTATCTGTAGAAACCCCTGCAGTCTTTAGATAAAAGCACAATTTAAAGCAAAGTAGTTAAGAAGATAGGTGTTAATGTATGGGTTGTTGAAGTGATGGAAAATTTAGATGCATTCTGTAGCATGAATGAAAGTAAGAGCTTCTATAAGCAAATTGGTTAACCCTTCATGTCCGTTGGAAGCAGGAGTCGGGTTGGGTTTGTCAGACATTGTTTGCTTTTGGATAAAAATCTGATCTTGACGTATCACTCATCTTTCCATCTCGTTACTGATTCTAAAAGTAAAACATATACAAACCATATACAAACTAAAAATGTTTAGTCTCGTTGTACAACTTTCTATTTCATCCAAGCATTATTTTACTACTGTCGTATAAGTCTAAGTTAAAACGTCTGTTTATCAGTTTGGTACATCATGATAATATTCATTACTAGCCTTTATCTCAGGTTTTATGAGTCCACTTCTCAGATCTCGTTGCTTCGTCAGTCTATTGAATCTTGTTCTTTCTTTGTTTTATTAGGCCCTTTCTCTCGGATCCTCCCCTCCTTTTTTTATCTCATTGGCCTTTCCTCTTTCTTTGCCCTTTTTTCGAAGCGGAATTGGCTTGGATTCGGACTAGTTTCTTGAAATCAATGTCTTCCCAACCTTTTTTCAAATAACCCCAGCAAATTTATCAAAGTTTCTCTGTAGCGCCATTTAAGTCGAAGAAAAAGACGCACCCTAAGCGATTATCTTGAGCCCATGCTTATGTCGCTCATCTTCATTTTCCTCCAGTTTATCTTATCCTGGTCACGGCACTGTGTCTTCTCTTCCTACTACATGTTTATACTCCAGAGCACCTCCTTCTCCTAACCCTTCTATCCTTGGGCATATTCATAAAACTGGACACTTCAACACCTTTGAAAACTTCTTTTGAAAGCAGATAACTTCTTGACTTGCTCATTTATGAAATCTTTCCTCTCTGATTCCCTGCAGACACCACTTTCCAAGATTTTGTTCTGACTTTCTTTCTCTTCCTTTTATTCTTTTGTTCTCCCTTTGTTCCGTGTTTATTTTCCCTTAGGTTGTTTACCACTACTTTTCGAACTCTTCTTACGCGTGCTGATCGCTTCTCTGGCGTACTGCTAGATCACATGATATTCGATCCCATTTGTTTTTCCTTTCCTACTTATGGTAAAATTGTTACTTGCTTTAAAGATATGTTAACTGATTATATCTAACCCTCAATGTCTCGCCGTTTAAGTCATTTTTAATTATGTGGATCCTTGATTACTGATTAGGCGTCAATTGGATAAAATACCAATGTCAAAATAAATTAAAAAAAGTCTGTTCTTTTTTTGTCACTGTTTTGATTATCTGCCATATTCAGTGTGAAACGTGGCAGGCTTTAAAAACCTTATATTTTGGTTACTCAAAAAAATTCTATGCAGCTTGATTCTGTAACAATGCTCTCCCTTTCGGTGAACACCTTCGACTTGTCACGAGTAACATCTAATCTCAACCAAAATAATGTCCTTTTTTAATTTCATGTGCTGTATTTGATCAAGCAAATACATCTTTTTGAAAAGTGAAACAAAAATTATAGATAGATAGAAATGTGTTACCAAGACAAAATTGAGGTTTCCTTGAAATTGGGGATAGCAACCGATATAATGTTGACAAAAATTTGGCGTCTGCGTTTGACTTTGTACCAAGGTCCAGTTTACGCGAGGATGATCCAATCTGTTGTCACACCGTTTGAGCCATGCTTCATAAAATGTCTCTATAATTTAGCATAAATTATCATTGTAGTCTTATGAGGCAGCATACAAGACCAAACCACAGTATTATACGTGAACCAGGCCCCTTAACAAATACCTTCAACAAATTTTCACTTCATTTTGTAAGATGCTTCTACGGTATATTATTTTTTCTCTATATGCATGACCTTGCCTTTTGATGCATTAAAATTCTATTTCTGTTTCTGTCCCATGACTGATCACTCTTCAGCTTTTATGTTTAAGATAATCATGTATACGCGAAAACATTGCATTTTTATGCTATCTGTAAACATGATTGTCTTTTTAATTACACCTGGCATTTGAAAAAATAGCCAAAAAGACTGGCAACGTTCACGTTTAGTAATTAAGAGCCCTGTACTGATTCTAGCATACTTTCTCATGTGTCATGGTTAATAACTTTACATAGCAATATCTTTTGAGGGATATTGTCGAATTGTTTTTCGTAGTACAAGTTTATTACATCAAGCACAGGTCCTTCATTGAACTCCATTCTCCAAAAATCAGTTGCTTGTCATAGCCTGTCATAGAAGGTACCAGGCCTGTCATAGAAGGTCTACCATCAAAGCCATGTTGAAGTTCACCTTAATGCTTCTTCGTCTTGATCTGCAAAACCTTCCTGAAATCATGTTTATACAGGTACTGCGCAGCCATTGGGCAAGCAGGGGCTATAACCCCCCCCACTCTTTTGCAAAAATTTGTTACAAAATTTCTTGGAAAGTTTTCTCTGCCGCAACTTTGAATCCCAAGTAGTAGCTCTTCTTGACTGGGAACACTTTTTGTTAATTTTCAGGTGCTTTATTTTGTTTAATGATATGTTGTATCTCCTAACTTGGTTAGCTTGTTGTTTTATTATTCCCAAGCTAATTGTATCTATTTTCATAGTTTTTTATACTTTATTTAAAGTTGGATAAAAATTCTAGCTTAATTATAAAAGATTACAATAAGCTAATTAATATCAACCAACACAACAACAAGATGAAGAATTATATATGTATTATAAGGTCGTAAACTAAGATGAGCTATATAATCTATATATCTATGTGATGTATCCTAGATTTGGTACATACTGGGTGCATAATTTGCAGGTGCATGGAATCGCAATTTGTTTTATTTGTCTTTTGAAGGTTTCTAGACTGGTTACATTTCTTTTTTCAGTTGGTATACTGTTTCAAATAGACTTCATTAACACAAACGTGATAAACGACTTCATTAACAGTTTTCTCTTTTCTTCATTTAAATAAGGCGCTACTCTGGCAAGGGCAAATGTTTTTTCCCAGCTTCATTACAAATCCTTATTATGTGATGATCAAACTTTAGATAATTATCAAGTACTACTCCAAGTAATTTTTCTTTATCTGCGTTTCTGATAGAATAATCCCCAATTTTAAGTTCACTCTCCCTAGAATCTGTCCTCTGAGGTTCTATAATCATATATTTACATTTGTCTTTATCTAGAAGCATGCAGTTATCTTTGAACCAGCTATTTAGAGTGTTTTTCTCAGATTCAAGCTTTGGGAATATATCACTAGTTGTTTGCCCTTTCATCAGCATAATTACACATGTCACTTTCGTTTAGAAATAGAAAAATATCATTTGTAAAAATATTGAACAATAATGGTCCTAAAACAGATCCCTGTGGGACTCTCTTAATTTTATCTCTCCATTCACTGCAGTTAGAGTTCAGCTTTACTCTCTAAGCCCTGCCTTGGAGATAACTGTATAATAGCTGCAACGCCTTATTACTAGAGCCATATAGATGTAACTTTGCAATTAATATGTCATGTGGTAAGCAGTCAAATGCTTTTGATAAGTCCATCAACATGGTACCAGCAATCAGTTCCTCATCAAGACATGCTTTTAGATCTTCAGCAAGGCGCAGACGGGCATGTTGTGTATTATACCCTTCTCTAAAACTAGAGGAGATAATATACTTTTCATGTGTGCATAGATTTGTTTGTACATGACTCTTTTAAATATTTTACATGTTGAGGGTAAGACACTAATTGATCTATAGTTCTCCTTTTTTGTTGAGTTACCCTTTTTAAAAATTGGGTTTACATCAGCCATTTTCATTTCATTTGGGAAGATGCATGTTTCAATAGCATTATTGAATAGATAAGTTAGTTATTGATATCTTCTCTGAACCAGACTGATTATAAAAATTGAGTAGAAATAGGCAGGTATTTTCTAGGAGGGCCATTTTCCAGCGTTCTAGAAGGCGTGGCCAAAGCATATTCGGTCATACCTTTTTAAGCCCTTTTTAAGCACTTTTAGAAATAAACTGATGTAGTGTAGCCGTAGAGACAGACGAAAGCGAACTCAAATCTATATCTCTAAATATTAAAAAAATTCATGTTTTCCCGCGAGACGTAACATTCTTGACCTATTGTTTATTTGCCATTATTCCTCGGGAGCGACAAATTATTGTGACCTTTGCGATGATCGGGGATGATCGCAGATGTATTTTATTAAAATGGATCAGAGCAATTGATCAACAAAAGTCTCTACAAAAAATAGCATTTTGGATGCAATGGACATATTAGCCGCATCGTGGTCTATGGTATCTGAAAAGACAATCGTTAACTGCTTTGCCAAAGCTGGCCTTTCTTCCGAAAACTAACACCAAGCAGCATCAGAGAAAGATGACCCTTTTAAAGACTTGGTGGAAGAATTGACGTAACTGCGAAATAGAGATCAAGAAATTGCTCCAGCCAACACAAGTGCAGAGGAATTTATTGACTGCGACGACCAAGTCTTAGCAAGAGCAGCATTGCCAACTGAAGATGAAATCATAGCTGAACTAATTAGTGAAGAAGTTGAGGACAGCCAAGAAGACAGCCAAGAGGACAGCCAAGAAAGCAACGACAACCCTTTGACAAAGCCAACAACGAACGAAATAAGAGACGCGATGGAGGTAATATCAAGATATTGCCTAGTCTCAGAGAATGGAGAAATGCTCCGTGAGCATTTCGTTAAAATGAATGGTGTTATAGAGAAGGAACTGGTTAGAAAGAGAAAACAAATGACGTACAAATGTCATTAGATGCTAATTTTTCTTAATGAATTGGTTTGACTTGTAATTTTGTATTAGTGACTACATATCCTTTATTTTTGCCTGTTAAACCTTCCAAATTGAAAAAAATTGGATTTTTTGGGGTCATCCGATAACTCGAACATTCACTATCTCGAACAATTTTTCGTTTCCCTTCAGAGTTCGAGATATCGGATGTCAACTGTAGTCATTCAATTCCTTTGATTTTCCCCAGCAAGATCTGAGTCACTATTCTCCATGACGTTTAGGTCACTCAGTTGTGGTTTTTTTATGAACCTGGTGTTGTCAAGGTTCTCTAAACTGTTTCGTGATATCAGCATGCCAAAGAATTCAAATCTGCCAGGTACCATTTCAAATTTTACTTCCGGTCACGTGACAAGACAAAATTTAATTTATGGTCAGAAAAAACGTATTTGCCGAACTTTGAATAGTATAATCGCCGCCGATACTATTTTGTTCATATAATCGCCGAGTTTGAAGTCGTTTCGTTAAATTGTTCTTATCAACACATATCCTGGTTTTAGTTTTCGATAAACTGTGGTTTCTATTGTTCTTTCGGAATCAGGACAACTGTAAAACAGTGTCATTTTACAAATGACGAAAATCTAGCAAAAGATTATAATTTTAATAGGACTTAATGTACTTAATTGTTTTTCTTGACTCGTAAGATGAAGAACTTACCCTTTAAAGTCAGCAACTGAAATAGCTTGCTTTTCTTTTTAGCATACTTAAGCGCCTTTTTCTGACCGTAAAATAAAATTTTGCCTTGCCACGTGACTGGAATTAAAATTGGAAATGGTACCTGGCAGATTTGAATTCTCTGGCATACTGGCATCATGAAACAGTTTAGAGAACCTTGACAACACCTGCGGTTAGTTAGTTACGGTTATTTCCCTGTCTAATACTCAATACTACAGAAAATGGACAACTTTGAAAAAAGTAGCATGAATAGCTTAGTCTGATGCCCCTTTGTCAAAAATGATCGCTTGATATGCGTGAAGCATGTTCCGCTTGATATGCGTGAAGCAAGTCCAGTATGTTTTCCAGTATGTTGTGAGTGTGTTGTGAAGTGCCGTTTTCCAAATAGAGGGAACAAAATTTTCTGGATAGCTCAGAGACGCCATGAAAAATTCTACTCATAAGAAGGAAAAGCTGCCGTAATTTCAACTCATATTGGCTTATATGTTATCAATTTCCGTGTGAGCTTAACACTGCCTTGGAGCACTGCCTTGAAATGGGCAAGTTGCGCGGGGAATGAAATCGATCAAAAATACATGAAGAACAGATGCATGAAATCAGCCATTGTGCAATTTTTGCAACTTTAAAAATTCAGATTTTCACTTACCTTGCGTTCTCTCTAGCTAACATATGCTTTAACAGCATCAAACTAACCTGTTGTCGTTGTAAAACCTATCATTCCCTCGTTCGTTATGTAATTCCCTTAGGCGAGATTAATGATCCGTATCTTGTTACATAAGCCTCCCAAGCAAAATAAGACCCCGTTAACATTGTGCCGGGCAAATTTTATCCGCATCAAAATTAGTTCAGATAGGCATCGCGTTTACACTAGACTCACGCTATCCGCACGAATTTAAGAGCGGCTATCCGAACAAAACTTGTTCACCTAGGAAAGTGGAATAAATTAGTGCGGATAGCTATGTGGTACAGTGTAAACGCTTTAATCCGCATAAATTTTATCCACATCGTATCTTGCTCGAAAGCGATTGGCTATTTCATCCGACTTAGTTTCCATCTTGGCTGCCTTGTTGTCGATAAATACTCGTGTTAAAAGTGCAGTATCTTGTCAGTCCACTTTCTTGTCAGCGTTCCCTACTTTCGTTGCTAGTTCAGTGTCATTTTGTTTCATGAACAAACTATTAAAACAAACTAGGCCTAATTTGTATTGACAATATCTTTGGATTTGGTCTAAAAGAGAAGCAGGTTATTCTGAAGAGAGAATGAAATCTTTTAACGTTGGCGGGAATTTCGTTATTATTTTGTTGCCCAGAGAAGACTTCATTTTAGGCGTTCTGTGCATGATTTAGGTCATGTGACTGCAGTTATCCGGCACAGTGTAAACGGGAGGGGAAAGTGGACAGAATTTGTGCGGCACAGTGTAAACGCAAATCAATCCGAACAACTTTGATGCGGATAAATTTTATCCGGCACAGTCTAAACGGGATCTTAAATTTAGTCATTCCAATCAAACCAAGTGAAGACGGCTCTTGGAGGCTTGGATACTAAATTAAGTGAGGCCCCCGTTCCTCGTTTTTAGAATGAGAAAGGTGCCAAAATTGATTTTATGTAGAAGCATGTCTGGCTAAAATTTCATTGCAACAAACAAGCCGTTATTCAGATCGAACTCCAAGATCTCTGCATATAGACAGGAAAATTTTGTGAGCAATCTAGCAAATAGGGCAACCGGTTTTTTCTCTTTTGATGTGTGATCCTGGTAGGTTTTTGACTCAAAATCCGTCAGGGGCCCTAAAATTAGGGGGCTGGGTTCATGTGAGCAATCATTTAATTATCCCGATCATTAAAATTTTTTTCATATAACCTTAAAACCAATGGTGTAGTTGGAAAAAATATTTAAAATGAACAAAAAAGCATAAGAACTGGTGTTTTAAAAAAAAGCTGCCGAAAGATAAGAACTCTTAGCTATTACAATGATAAATAAAACTACTCCAAAATCTTTACGATGACTTTTCCCGCTTATTTTTCATTGTTTTGGCAAAAGCTAAATCTCAATTTCGGCAAGTGCTAAATCTCAAAATGGCTCAACTCTTTTGACACAATTGGACTATTTTCAAAATAAAAAAAGGAGGGAATGGATAAAAATGTTTCTTTTCTCTAATATAAGACGATGCACCGGTCCTACCTAACAGCATCAAAACGCCAATAGCATCAAAGATGCCCAATGGTATGAGAAGTTTTTGCATTGCTGGAAAAAGGGGCTAAAACTGTCAGGATTATACCGAAAAAGCAAAATTTCATATAGGGGAAACAAAAGGACGACTCTTGTAATAAGACTTCACCAAGCAAAGTGAGACCCACGCTATATCGAGCCCAGAAATACCCCCTTTTTAACAAAGAGATTAGAAATGCAATAATATCACACACCATACCCTAGTAATCTATACCATAAAGCCACGGGGACATAAAACTCCACAGTATTACGTACATTCTTGCAAAACAGGTACAAGTAAAATGTGAAGAAGCATGTCACAAGAGAAGAGACCATAACGAATGGCAAACAAGGTGAAGGTGAAGATCACGGTGCACTTTTTGCTTCCTCCTTGCGTACACTTTTGGTAGAGATTTTAATTGTTTTCGCTAAAGTGTCTCTCAACTTGACATGAATGTGCATGGTCTCTACCCAGTTGTAGACTGCTTCAATTTTGTTGCTATGGCCTAGTAAATGCGTCTACCTAACATTCTAGCTCCGTTCATTACTACCGAGTTTTCCAAAAGAAACAAACCGTGACTGCAACCGTTTTTTGCACCAAGCAAAAGACACTTTCTTCAATTGAAATGATTGTGGCGTCAAAAGATGCAACAAATATGAATTTTTCTTATCGAAAATAGTTCGATTATTTCAACAAAGTAATCCTGAGCCATTTTTAGATTTAGCACTTGTCAAAACAATGACAATAAGAGAGAAAATACTTGGTATAGTAAAGTTTTTGGACTCGTTTGATGACGGCATTTTCGCAATAATTTAACAGCTCATAACTTTTGACAGGTTTATTTTACAACATCGATTTCTTATGATTTTTTATTCATTTCTTAATTATCTTTCGAACTATACCGTTGGTTTTAAAATTAGATGAAAAAACTTTTTAATGATCGGGAGCAATGAAATGATTGATCACGTGACCACCAGCTCCCTAATTTTAGGGCCCCTGACGGTTTCTGATTCAAAAACCCCCAGGATCACATATTTAAAGGAAATATTCCGTTTACCCTAAATCCTAGATTGCTCACAATATTTCCCTGTCAAATAGTTTTTACTGTTCATGTCAAAGAAAAATTTTTACCTTTCTACAGAAGGGTTATGCAATTCCGACAAGGCAAATAGACAGGGAATTTTTCCCAACAAACTGGCGGAGAAGGTAGCCGGAGGTTTTTCATTTGTTTCCACTTCCTTGGGCTAATATCTTAAAACTTTGAAGAGTGACCAAAAAAGCACCTTTCGGGAAATAATTTACTTCCGTCGGCCTTAGCCTACTGAGTAAATATATATATATATATATGTATATATATATACATTGTAGCAGCCCAGTGATATTGTAGCTACTGTACAGTACATCGCAAAAAAGGCATTGTAGAAACTTGCGCGGCCTTACCGTGGGACATGATAACATACAGTACCAGAATGAAAATTCCAAGTTGAAGTGCAATGAAAAGAGCATTGAGTGCTCTCGTTCAATATCTCGAAGTAGAAATTGGCTATTTTGGCACCCCCTTGAACCCCCTTGAACCCCCTTGAACCCCCTTGAACCCACTTGAACCCCCTTGAACCTCCTTGAACCCTCTTGAGCCTCCTTGAACCTCCTTGAACCCCCTTACACTGTTTCACTGGGTATCATATGTAACATAGCGTGCATTACTACTGGGTAATATGATAAGATGCAGCCTCTCTTACTATCAAGGTCGGTTGACATTCGAAAAAACCAGCTTATCGATTGACCTTTGATGAACAAACTGTTTTCATTCAAGTATAAAATGGGCTTTGAATGAATTTCTATCATTGTTAAGCCTTTTGTTTTTTAAGTTTACCTTTTACAGGTCAGTAGATTTGAACGTTGGCTTTCTCGTTTTCGTTTGAAAGCTCTTTTGAAGTTATCAAATGCTCGCAAATGTGGTAGGAGAGGGCGGGGCATGTTTTCACTGGGGAAAGTTGTCACAGCCTCTTTTTGGCAAGAAAACGGTTGGTTATTCGATTGATATTCCCCCTTTTACTGCAACCTTAAAAGTACTTGCTTCCGGTGGCGTTGGCCCTGGCTGCTCTAACATAAAGTTTAACACAATTTGGAAACCACTCTAAGAAGTCCCTCTACCTGTAACGTCCCCTTAGGTAAAAATGTTTTTGTTGGTGCTTGTTTCTAACGAAGTATTCATCTTCATTTCTTTAGAAAATGCACAAAATACTTTTCGTTGTGAATATGCCATGTCCAACATGAAAAGCAAAAATAAGAAGGAGATTTCGTGTAAGGTTTGTGGTAATGTCACATGGCTCAAAGTAAAATCTACCACTGGTAGATTTTACTTTGAGCCATGTGACATTTTGCACGAGGTTTTTCCGTTGATCGCTTTAAGTTGGAAACAAAAAGACTTGTTTGACAGGGTCAAAGATCTGCCACGCTTTGTTTTTTAAAAGATTAAGAGACAGTCAACTAACATGGTCTTTCTCACTGCTTAAATGCCGCCACCTTAGCTTAATCTCATACATTGTGCGCTATGATCCGAGCTCTCTCACACCACAATGATCTACTACAATGTTAGAAACAATTGTAAACTTACAGGACTGAAAGTGTTGATAAATCGTTTATGGGTACGTACGCACATTCTATTTAGGTCTTTGGACTTGGGGCACACCCCCTGATTCCAAAAACCTAAAAGGTCCACTCTTGTTTGCACTGGTAACACCAAATAGGGTACCATCAAATTCGTTGGCTTTATAATTCCAAATTTCTCAATTGAGCAACAGCAGCGATGCAGATTCTCGGCAGAATGAAGTCTTGAAAAATACCTCTGCCTTGAAAGTTTTTAATCAATTTCAGACATTCCTAATAAACATCTCTGCTGTGATGAACTTCGTCTCCTTCACCTTTTGTACAAGACAAATCTTTGGTGGCCAATTTTCCTCTCGAAGTCGAAATTCAATTTCAACTTGCAGAATTTTAATTTGAATTCGCAGAAAATTCTGCAAAGGCATATGGGGGCTGTTTGGAAAGTGCTGTTATAAAAATTTTATTACTTTGAAGTCAATTTTATTGAAAAAGCGAGCGAAAAAGCAAAAGAGCGATGCTGTGTTAAAAAAATTATTCAGAATATCTTCATAAGGCGGAGTTTCATCTTTCCATTAGAGAATTATGTTTACAAGAACAGGGATACGTCTTTAGATACTTTCGAATGTGGCCATCTACCCTTACATTTAAAAAGTATTGGGACACCTTCGAAATTTCAAAGACTTTTTCAAGTTTCAAAATCTTAAGAGGCTTTTTAATCCTTCCTCATTATATACTTCACAAGATATTGTTTATGTTTTGAGGATTGTACGAGGAAAAGAGGAAACGGATAATTATCAACTTATTTATGTTCGTTGTGTGGCTGGGAATGTTTGATAAAAGAATACTGAAAAATATGGGAAGCAAAGACGTAGTCAATCGGGAACCAATACAGCAGTCAGGTGTATTAAAATTCTGTTCTGATTGGTTCATTTTACAGCGCAGAAAAAATTTCAAAGTGAAAAAGTCCAGATGTCCCTACTTTTGGCGAAGCGAATCATTCGCTGCAAATTTTCTAATCTCTGCTCCTGCGCATTTTTTCGCGCATTCGCAACCAAAAAGTTTGTAAATCAGGCTTTAGTTCTCTTTACATTTTCGTGGGACAATTTTTTTCGGAATGAAGATTGATTATTTTTAAAAGACAAACAGCATTCCGATAAGAGATCTAAAATAAGCCAATGCAACTGCAGATGATTAATTGTTTTCTTAGGTTTTCCTTGCTATACAATATGAACCGTTTTGGTACAAATCTAAAGACCCCATTTTGTCAGTGCACTTTATCTTATCAATGGCAATTATAATACTCACCACAAATAAAAAGTCAATTTGGCTTAGCGTTCTTTCTGTCGTTTCAAAATATATAGCAGAAACCATTTGATCTTTATAGTTTAATTGTATTCTACTGTTGTAATAGCCATTTGTATGAAACGTTTTAGTTTTTTCAATACCCCGTTTATGTTACTTTCAATGTTGACACTAATTTCATATGCAAGGAATATTTTCACGCAGAGTTGAAATACTTAATATTTATAACTTTGTTAGTTACGCCTATTCTTTAAATTTGTTGTATGTATTCCTGATCTCGAAATACCATTTCTAATTTGTAGATGAAACCTTGGCTCCAACCGAACAATAATGTTTCTTGGTTGCTTGAATTAAAATGGTTCAGCTGCGATGAAAAGTCTTCAGCTACTGTTAACATTATTTCTGGCTACAAAGAGATTCCCTTAGAATATAATTATCTTATATTGATGAAATAGTAAGTAACGTGTTTATATCCAGGTGTAGATCGAAAGTAACGTGAGAAGTCGCATGACGCTTTTGATGCCAGAGAAATGTCATATGATTACTTTTTATTTCAATTTCTTTCTTTAAATAGACGATTCCTTGGAGATTACACAGTCTGTCTCACACAATTTTCCAAAGACTGCAACTATGGCGTTTCTGCGTTTGCACGATAGGAAAGTCAGTGCAAGAGGTTTGGTTATGGTAGAATTTGTTTGGATGGACAAATGGGATTTTGGCGCTGAACGAGCAAAGAAACAGAGTGAAAGGTACTTATATACAAATATTTTTGCTACATATAAAATCCAAATCTAGATTGCTTAATGGCTACAATGGTAGGCAAGTATCTGGAGGGGTAAGAAAACTTCATGTCAAATCTCACCTGACCTGGACAGATTAAGTTTTGTAATGAAATTTGCAAACGTATTTTGGTTTCGAGTCACTCTTGTGGGAAGCAAAGAAGTAGGCAATCGGGAAACAATACAGCCGTCAGGCATTCAAATGCTGTTCTGAAATGTTTTTGTAAATTTTCTCTATGTGTCCTAGCTATCATCTTTTTTACACCTGGGAACTAATCGCCCTCATTTCCAGTGTGAAATGTTTTAATTTTTCCTGCATCATACTTTAACATTCTGTTCAAGGACAAAAAAACATTTGTAAGACCCGGGCTACTAAATCATGTGCAGGCATAAATTGCCTCACTAATAAGCCTTATAAAAGCTGCATGTTATTGTTTGTAGTTGTCAGTTTGACAAGGTTTTTTAATGTGTGCCATAATCTTTGACCTTTTTTGTACTGTAAGGATTTCAATCAACATCATCATAAGTCTGCAAATTTCTATTTTTTCAAAACTCTTTGCCCTTTGGTCTGTCGCGTATCAGTTGGTCAAGCATGGTCCATTAGTCACCTGTAAATTTTCAGACTGTCTGTATGTCGCGTCATAATGGAAAATAGACACGAAGCAAAATGAACTAATGACCTCGTTGGTTATTTCATGTTAGTCTCATTTCTATTCATTTATGCAAAAGTAAAATTCAGCCCAATTTCAACTAGCTGAAACAAAAACGTTGATGTTATAATCTATAAAGATGACCATATTACTCTATTTTACAAAGTTTTCTCTTAAAATGCAAAAAATCTAAATACACAAAAACAAAATGCTGGTAGCAAATTAGGCCTAAGGGATTTCTATATTATTTTCAATAAAAGTGCGTTTCTAGTACATTATTCAAGTTGTTCCAACGCTCACTACAGCAGCACAAGAAAAACCTTTTGCCCATTGCACCTTTTTATACGTGAATCAAGGAGGTCGTATTTTGCAAATCTCGTTCAATAGTCAAACTTGGGTTGCCGTATTGTTGATTGTTAACCCTTGCTGTTCTGTTCTTTAGTCTTTGCAGTTTTTTGGGCCACGTTGAGCAAATTTTCCTACAGCAACCTCACACCAAAGCCAAACCAGTTTTCAATTAAACCTCTACTTTTTATAAAGCATTTCTTAGATAAGAAATTTTCTTACGAATTTGAGAAATTTATAGCTCAAGAAACTTTGAGTTTTATGCTTCCTATTTGATTGCTCCATACTGACAGTCCGTTTTTGTCAATAAAAAATCTAAGATATTCCCATCCATTCATTATCTTCGTCGTCAATTCTTTTAGAAACGCCAATATCACTTGGAAAGCTACATCTGCTTACTTATTACTTATTGCAATTCTTTTTAAACCTGCCTAATAAACTTCAAGAAACCTCTGAAGAAACTGCTGAGAGGAGTAACCGTCTTGATTCAGCAAGGTAACGGAAGTATAGAGTACCGAAGTGATGACGTCATAAAAATCTATTTTCAAAATTTTTTTATTTTGATCCCAGAACCTGGAAGAGCATCGTGAAATACCCCTAAATTTGCAAATTCAGTTTAAGGCATTACAAATTGGCTGAAATATGGCCACATGAGCACAGGCTCTTGCTCTATCAAACCTCTGTAATTTGGTCTTGGTTCATAACTTTATGAACAAGGCCAAATTAACAGTGATCCGTTAGCAAACTTTGAACCTTCCATTGGCCATATCTCGCCCAATTTGGAGCATATCTAACTGATTTTGCATATTGCGAGGTATTTTATGGTGTTCTTTTAGAAAATGTGGTCAAATTTAAGAAATTCTAAAAAAAGATTTTTCATGACGTCACACTTCTGTACTCTATTAACAAGGACTGGTCGATTGAAATCGGAATTTTGAATTAGGAAATGTTTATTATTGCTACCTTTGCTCCTCATTTTATTGATTTAAAATCTCACAAATTCATGCAAAAATAAGATAACTAAACAAAGTTTTATTCAGATATTAAAAATTGGGTGTTGTATCAGCTTCCTGCAATTTGAAGGGTATGGTATGCAACCCTATTTTCTGGGTGTGCATCCCTAGACCCCCTTCGTAGTTTGATTGCAACGATAACTCCGCTAAATAGCCGATTTTTTCTCTGCTCTGATTATCTGGCTGAAAAAGAGAAAAGGTGCTGAAGGGCCGAGATGAATTTTTAGTGTTTATATTGCGCGAGGAGGTACAACAAGATTCACTGCAACGATACAGATATCTTAAAATCCTGTTTTCATTCAAAATGGATCCAAAAAGACCAACAGTATCTCAGCACTTTTCTTGCTTCGAATTTCCATATCTGCTTTGATTCCTTCAGTAAACTAATTTTTTGTTCAGGAACTAATAAAAATAGAACATATTTCTATATCATAGCTGCATCTTTCTTTAAATCAATTTTTACATCAGTCATGATTAACAACGATCTTTTATCAGATAAAAGTTATGCTACTACGCCCAAAATTGAATGTTTAAAACGATAATAAAAAGTAAATATATCCTACCCATCAAATAAAAAACATATTCATTAGTATATCTGTAATGACAAAAAATCAGTTTCGAACAAATTAGGAATGATGATACTTGTTGGGATGATGATACTTGGGGGAAATTAAAAGACAACCCTATAATTTATCCCAAGCATCATTGCTTTATAAAGTATTACTTATCCAACGAACAATAGCATCGATGTGTTTAAGACATTAAATTTTTAAGGAAAAACAACATATTGGCTACGCAATGTCTAAAGCAAAAACGATGATATTGTATCTGATACCATACTTATATTTCAATTTATTTTCATTTGATGATAAGTACAGTTTCCGTCGACAATACAATGTTTAAATCATGAAACAATGAAAAAGCAGCAAGAAATTAATAATCTCTGTTTTTTAAGATAAAAGATACGATACAAGGATAAAGTAATTATAGTGTGAAATGTAAAAAAAATGCCATTTTGCAAAAAGTTGTGTTGACTTATGATTATACTGTCCGGTTCTACAAGCAAAATTACAATCTTTTACACCAAAATTCGGACATGGATCTAACAAAAACTTCTATAACCCCTAATTGGGGAAGATAACAAATACGGCTTAGAGCTAGGGATTCAAAGGGAACTTAAGCATACATAGGTCTTTGATAGAAATAACCTTGAAAGGAAAATAGGCAGTGACACATACACACAATATCTAAGTAACTGATTTGCATCCAAGAAGTAAGTTGTAATGTCTGATAGACTTGAGTTCAAACGCAAGTGGTTTGAGCTATATGCTTAGATTTTCTTTGAAGGTACAATTGCCTCCAGGGAAGGTACAGAAAATACTATTCCCATTTCTTTAGGTTCTTTTTTCATTTAAGACTTTCATGCCTAAGAGATATATTTTTAACGTTACTTTCTGTCCCTGCGAGTACTAAGATTTAGTACAGGTCAGATAGAGAGATTTTCGCCTGTAAATGTCCCAAAAATTTCCCAGCCGAAACAGTATGGTGGAGTGCTGTTATTGATGAATTAGAACGTGCTCCTATCGATTGAAGGCAGGGGTATAGTGCTAGATGGGCTCAGGTCGGCTGAGCCCCCCTTGTTGATGCCAAATATTGACAAAATTCTAATTTTGCTATTGTTTTTCGTAAAATTTTGAGCAAGAGCCCCCTTTTAATTTGAACTACAGCACTAATTCAAGGCATTCAACATTCTAAAAAAATTTATCATGAGACTGTCACCTGACCACTTTGTTACTTATGTTATAAACAAATCAAGGTCTGTATATCGCACAAGGTATTATATTTAAAATGATATGTAGTGCACCTTAAAGGTTAACACATGATCGACACAAGAACCGTGCAACAATCTTCATGCATTTTGGGAGGCAGTTTTCGTAGTGTTATCCAAGATCAAGGCATCCTTGTTCATTTTTGCATCTAACTTGAATAGTTGGTTGACAGTTTCCAATGTCTCGCGATCCTTAGTTTCAGACAGATTCAGAAGCAGAACGGAGCTTAACAGAGACAGTGCACCCATCAGAGAAAACGGTATCGTGACGTGAAAGACTCTCAACCATTTTGCAATCCAGGGAGCAAGTGCCGATCCAACACGAGCGGTTATTTGTAGGAAGCCCATTCCTTCACCCCTGCAATAGAAGACAATATCTCTTTAGAATTACAAATGATGCAGGTCTGACTACTGGTCTTTTGAAGATTGCCTCCCAAACTATTACTTATCTTTTTTGGTGTAAAACGATGGACAATAATGTATGGAATCGACTTAGTGCATTTAATTTGGCCTTTGAGGAGTTCATTGCTTCCACTTTCCAAAAATAATTTTTTTTTGTGATCTCTGTCCATAGATATTTGGAGAAGAAAGGCTCAAAACAGCAGAAATTGGTTGCAAAAAAATTGCCTAGCCTAACTACAGTGATACAGGGCTTATTTCACTTGCTTGACCCGTCTCCTAAGAAAAAAATTATATTCGAAGTTTGTCAGTCATCAAAAATACTTTTGCCACCAAAATGATTTCATCATAACAAACTGATTTCTACAATTTCTTAATAAACTTTATTTATGTTTCAGTTGCATTTGCTGTTATATTTGAAATGAGAGAAACATTCTATCAATGACGAGATTTTCAACTGAATTGCTAAATTAAGGCATATTACATCAATGTGAACATGGATGAAGATTTTGTAGAAACATCTTTTCACGCTCTTGTTTTCTTTAAGCTGCTGAAAAAGTGTCCCCCTGTTGTAGCCAAGAGTTGAAACAAGGCAACTGTAGGGAAAAGCTTAATCAACCTTTGATAGCTATTTCATATCCTTCAGAGAGTTAGGGCAAATATTCAATGCTAATCCAATGTCATTCAAAATTTGTGTCTTGTGCTGGTACATTTATAAGCAATATTGTAAAGCTAGAGTAACTGATGTAGGAAAATCTTGGATTTTTGACCCATTTATTCAAATTATTTCGAATTTCCTTGCCATTCTTTCATCTTTCTTCTTTCTTCTTACAAATGCTCATCTATCTATCTTACAAAAACTCTTCGTTAGAAAATGCCCTTCAGTGTAGAAGCAATGCTAGAGAACGAAGGTTCAAGACGCTAAACCTTACCATACCTTTTATACCTTGGAGACTTGAGGGTTGTTTTACATTTTCAACTGTGGAGGCATTGCCAGATTATTCAAGTTGCATTTTAGTATCTAGAATCTTTATGGAGAAAATAAGCCACGAACCATAGAGCAAGTAGCAAATCGGTTTATTGCTATCTTTGCTAATTGCCCCTCCAAAATACCGTTAAGTAATTTAACAAATTGAACACACCTGATGCTTGTTGGGTACAGTTCCATAGACCAGACGTATATAGAGTTAAACGACCACGTGATCCAAAACTTTCCTAGCAAACCTGCTGTTACTGTAAGGGCCTTCCACTCTTAAATGAAGAATCAAAATGTAAATTATTAAAGACATTTGCAAAGGCTAAGCACAATTTTTGATCATCTGACATTACGTCATGAGAATTTTGCAAGTTTCAGTAACATTTGTAATTACACATATTTTAATAGAAAAACTTTGCTATATGTTTTTATTTGTCAATATCCAATGGTCGTATTTGCTGCGTCGAGTAAAGAAGCAAGTAGTCCATAGCAAACACAAAAACCCCATACTTGTTTGTTTGTTATCTGCACTCAGCAATCCTCCAACAATGCAACAGAATATTCCTGCAAGTGCTAACGAAACGATCACCGATTTCTTTCTTCCAATTCTAAAAAAAATCTTTGCATTTATTTCAATTTTCATCACTAATTGACTAGTTTAGGCTACTGATATAGTTTTCATTTCCTGGATTAGTTGTGAGTTGGTTGACTTGATATTTCTAAAATAAGACCGCATAGAAAAATGTTTGATCATTATTTTTTAAAGCACCTAAGCATTTCAAGGGTACTTTTTGGCTATGCAGTTGGCCAAAAAGAGCAACTGTATGATGCAAGGGGAATTTTAAGCGGGGGCACGTGCTACCTGTGTGGAAATCATGAGTTGTTCTATGAGGGTGCAGAGAAAAGGCCACTCAACAAGCAACTCAAGTTTCACTGAATTTATGTTAATTATCTAGCCAGTCCAGAAAGAAACATTTCCCACGTAGCCTTTTCAGGAACGTTTTTAATTCTTCTCTTCTTTGAGTCCGGCTTCCCCAAACTAAATTCATGGAACCTCTTCTGATGTAGGTTGTCAGTCACACTTGGTAATGGGGGCGCCAACAACTAGGCTCTGGGGGGACAAGGCAAATAAATTAAGGCAACGTTGCCAAAATATTACCCCTCCCCCAACATTTTCTCTTCGAATTTAGACGAAATACAAAATTTATCCTCCTGGAAACTGGGGGGGACGCGTCCCCAGTTCTTGGCCCTTATACTATCAATTACCATACCCATTAGAATCTAACGCATGCCTTCCAATCTCCCCAGTCTCCCCAGTCTCCCCAGTCTCCCCAGTCTCCCCAGTCTCCCCAGTCTCCCCAGTCTCCCCAGTCTCCCCCCCCCAGTCCCCCACGTCCCCGCTTTACTCACCGAACGCCAGTCCAACCCCCTGTTGACGCCTCTCCTCCAGTACTGCCGCGGCATTCCGCCCCTTCTCGCCGTGTTCGTGGAAAGTTTCTGCACCGCTACTGCCAGTTGGTGCCTGATTTTTAGAAGAATAACCTCGAGAATGTAAGGAAATGGACGTCAGTCACACTTGGTAATGGGGGCACCAACAAGTAGCCTCTGGGGGACAAGGCAAACAATCTAGGCTACGTTGCCAAAGTATTACCCCTCCCCCAACATTTTCTCATCGAATTTAGACGAAATACAAAATTGATCCTGCCGGAAACTGGGGGACGCGTCCCCAGTTCTTGGCCCTTATACTACCAATTTCCATACCCATTAGAATCTATTGCATGCCTTCCAGTCCCCCCAGTACCCCCCAGTCCCCCAGTCCCCCAAGTCCTCCCAGTCCCCCAGTCCCCCCCAATCCCCCGTGGCACCGCTACTGCCAGTTGGTGCCTGATTTTTAGAAGTATAACGTCGAGAATGTATGGAAATGGATAAAAGGCTTTGAAATATTATTTAGTTTGTAATTGCCCCAACCCATCCTTAAATGTGCGTAGCGATCCTGATGGCGCACATTAGGTCAACTGCGCTTAAATTCTAACTTGAAATATCCATTAGAACCTATCGCTGCTTTGCCATCATACGCTTAAGGTTGTTTCATTCGTTGGGCAAATTACTGCCCTCCTATTTTCTACCCATGATCAAGTGCTAATCTCCTTTCTGATTTTCTCTTCAAGGTAAAGAATACTTACCTGTTCATGCAAAATATTGACAGTATAAGGGCAGGGATCTCAATCAACATTGCCAAAATAAAGTCCCGATACATTTCGCCACTAAGGTCACCAACTCCCAATGACACACCATAGTAAACGGCTGCATTTGCACACCTATGAATATAAAGATAAATGTGTTATTTTTCAGGCGATTTACAAAGTTCGAAACGGGAACATAACATATGATAAAAAATATGCGCTAATATTTTAAATATGTGCAGACTGGAGAATATAAGCCAGACTGGTAAGTACTAGCAAGCCAATGGCGGCGCCAGCCACTAAGCTCTGGGGGGGGGGGGGACAAACCAAAAAAATTTACGCCACGCCCTTTTAACTACCAGAAAACGCCCTTTTACCAACAGGGAACGCCAATTTTATTCGAAGGGAACGCCTAAGACTAACTTTTGTTTGAAAATTGGCATTTTAAAAATCATAGGATTACATCACAAAAAGTACGGTGTCAAAATATTACCCCTACCCTAACATTGAATTTGGACGAAAGACAAAATCGGTTCTGCTGAGAACTGGGGGGAACTTTGGTGTGCCACCAATACTGGGATATTGTAGAAGAGTGGAGAAGTATAGTAGCACAGAGATATGCTAGCCACACTGCAGTTTTCCGGCACACTGGATAAATGCAAAACAGATTTTACTGGAAAGACATACCATGCTACACCTTGAGCAGCAGAAAAACGAAACATCTTCAGGGGCCTAAATAAATCAAGGATTCCGTGCTTTTTCTCATCAACATCTGCCTTTGGTAGTGGCTCAAGCTCTAGTTCGGCTGGGAGAGTCTTTTTGTTTATTTTTGCTGCCTTCTTTAGAATATCAATCACTTCTTTGTGGCGTCCCTGGAAGCGAAGCCAACGCATCGATTCTGGTATGAAACTAAAACAACAACACAACAAACGATGATTGCTATAGAGATGTAAAATAATGACTGCTTCTCTCCAGAAGTGGAACACGATGAACGTTGAACTTTTCAAATTATCAAATTTGTCAACTATTTCTCTGAAGGTCTGTAACATAGAACAAAAAATAATGCTTATGTTTAGAAGTATTACATCAAAACATACGGTTGATTCCGTTTCCCTAGCAAATTAATATGATTAAAACGAACACCAATGGAGTTATTCTTCAAACAGTTATTCTGCATCAGAGTAGCCAAAAGATTCCAAAATTTTCAAACATTCAATATGACCATAAGTCTTGAAACAAGAATATATGGGTTTCTGTATCGAAAACTTTGTAAATAATCTTTACCCTAAAAGCATACATTGATCAAAGATAGACAAGTAGCATAGTCAGAATAGCTAATATCATCAATTTTCTTTAAATTGGCTTACAAGAAGAACACGCAGACAAGCATGTATGGCGCTGAGCAGGCAATTATCAGCGTTTTCCATGTCCTTATGAAATACGCCTTGATGCCAGTTATGACGAGTGACACGGCAAACAGCATCCATAATAAAGTGCCAATCAATGGACGATAAGCTGGGCCAACAAGCTCCAGAGAGACAATGCATGCTCCAATAATTGTCCCAGGCTTGAATACCCCTATTAGCAAACGACAGACTGCAAACACTGCATAGTTTGGTGCAAAAGCACTTAAAAAGCCAACCAGAACGATACCAAACACGGAAACTTTCAGCACCTTAGAGCGGCCATACCTGGAATTTAAGTGAAAAGAAACATACAGAATCGAGTAGTTTCACTAGCAATGGGGTTTCAAAGTGATAACGTCAGAAAACTCTATTTTTAAAGTTTTTGATTTTGACTATACAGCCTTAAACAGCATTATAAGATTCTTATAAATGTGAAAAAACCAGGTGAATGTCTTAATGCATTGCATGAGATATGTCCACATTAAAATTGATTCTTTTCCCATCAAAACACTGCAATTTGGTCTTGGTTCACAACGTAATGGACCAGGCCAGTTCACCAGTAATCCGTTAGCAAACTTGCTATCTTTTACTAGCTATGGCTCCTTATATTTTGGGAATTCTTAACTGATTTTATGCCGTTCTTTCAGCAGATTTTTGATGACATTGCATTTTGATGCTCTATTTGTACAAAAGGATCAAAGCAATTGTTCTCTTCTATTATTAAGCACTTCTGCTAGAAAGCTTCTTAAAACATCACCATTTCGATCCATTCTCGAGTTGCCTCAGCGCCGATACTCATTAATTATTTTGCTCAAATTATTTTGAAATTGCCACATTTGCTTGAAGTGTTATGCATTCAAACTCTGTTTTCCCTACAAAACTGAACAACGTGATAATTTTGCATCTTTGCCACTAACGATAAACTAGTTGCTTCCTCTTTATTACGAAAGATTGAGATTTTTTAATTCTTTTTTCACTTACCTATCTGCGAACCAACCAAAAATGAAAGACCCGATTCCCCAGCCAATAAACAGGAGTGATGTGCTCAGGTAAATCATGTATTCATTATCACAGTAGATGTCAAACTAAAACAAGAAGAGAATAACGATTTTAGATAATGAAACGATCGTAATTGTGACAACTTTACTGCTAACAATCAACTATGCGTCAGAACAACTGGAAAATTTGAATGACTACTAAATCCAGATGATAAAAGTTAAAGTAGGTCTTGTATGCTAGCTATCACACGATGGAGCTCAACCACCCACCCCTCCACCAACCTACATAACCTTGGCAACCGATGCAGGGATTGCTTTCATAATGAAATATTCAAAATGTTCAAGGCTTGGTGTTCAGACTGATTTTTGAAGCCGTAAAGTGATAATTCTATACTTGGCATTGCAAAAAACATGAAAGACCACTTTAAACGATGTCAGGATGTCAAGGTTTACCTGTGTAACAATTGAGTAGTCCTTTGGCTGGGTGAACTGCCAGTCTTTTCTTGGAATTGAACATCTGAATTCATAGTTATCATCTCCACTTTCAAATGTACCATTCAAGCTACAAACTGTACTGTTATGGACACACTTCCAAGCAGGATTCTGCCCAGCAAAGTACATTATAAGAATTGGAAAACCAGAAGCGAGGATCATAGTGGAAAGCATGGACACCATCATGATTTGATATTTACCAAATTCCCCAACATATGGCAGGATTTCGTCGATTGAATTGACCTTCATCATATCTTTCCCCACCTTTTGATCCATCTCTACCTCTTTCTCTTGGAATTTCACTTTATCAGCCATGGTAATAATTGTCACACACAGGAGTATCCCTACAAAGAGGAAAGTTTTCAAAACGTCTCTTGTATACACTTATTCGCAGTTTTTTTTGGTTTGTGATATGGGTACTTTGGGTGCCATTCTGAAGATACTGACCACCGATTCTAAAAGGAGGAGCAAGCGAGAAAACCCTGTAACAAGCGGGAGAACCCAGTAACAACCCAGTACAGGTAGAGCAACCCAGGAACAAATGCATACTGGAAAAACCAGGCCCTGTGACCCTAGGACCCCTAATGACCCCCATGACCTCCATGACCCCAAGGACCATTGACTACGATGAACAAAAAGGACCCTTAACTACTAACAGCCATGCCTTTTAACACATGACGCACACACCAATCCTAATGGGCTAATGGCAATAGACTAATGACACAACGTCAAAAAGCACCATCGATGCAAGCATCGAAAATCACTATATTTAACTGACCAAACAAGAGAAGCAGAAACATTCATCTATCCTTTAAAAAAGTACAGTGCATGAAAAAAGGGAGTGTGTCAGACCAGGGTTTAGAGGGCCTTTAGAGGGAGGGGAGAATTGAATAAATGGACAATGTGGGCAGAGCAGGAAGCAGAGCAGGGTGCAGCTGCAGAGCACTAGAATTCAGGGCAAAATAGAAGTCAAAATATTAAAAGACGTTTATGCAACCCCAAAACAAAGGTCTTCCTTAGCAGACCCATACAGCACACATTGCACGGGTTAATTTCCATGAGGCGAATTTCGCAGCCAAATCGCTATCGAGGGTGCTTAGTTTTGATTTTTGACTTTGAAAACAGTTTTAATTTTACCGCTACGAAAAATTTCGCAATCGGCGCCTAAATGTTTAGTTTTGGGGAAAATCACAATATAATTTCGCAGCAAATTTGCGGTCTGGTGGAAATCAAAAGAGACTTTGGAAACAAACTCGTAGCAAATTCGGTGCGAAATTCACTTAGGCAGACGATTGTTAAATGAGTTTGAGCCAATGTCAGAATGCTTCCAAAGCTTTCTTTAACATGATAGCATTAAAAATCATGGCCTTGTTGGAGCCGCAAATCATGTAGTAGTTGATGGTCCTTTTTGGTTCTTCGTAGTTAAGGGTCCTAGGGGTCATAAGGGTCCTAGGGTCATAGGACCAGTATGCCAGAAACAAGCGGACACAGCTTAGTAACAATCGGAAATGTGAATCAATTGTTTAGTAAATAACTCCATTTTGAGATACTGACACATTTTACTGAGATCTCGGGCGCGAAAAATGACACCAGCCAGGAAGTGTCCCCAGAAAGGGCAAAAAGAGAGTTCAACGAAAATGGAACAGTTTCTTACTGGAAGAAGTACAAAAATTCAGAATCAAATGTGTAAATTAATTACAGGCACCAAAAGAAAATATTTCTGAAAATTTGATGTCAAATTCGTTTAGGGCAACAAAAAGTTCTGGAAAACTATCCGGCCAACATACAATGTCAATGTCAAGTAAAACTATACTCATAGAAAACGATGAAATTCTATCAGACAATGAAATAAAAGGACAAACATTGAATAATTTTTTAGTAAATGTTACTGAAGGCCGTAAATAAAACACACAGCACACCTTATTAAAAATTATTGAAGACCCGAAAAAGTGCCTGGATTAAAACTGCTGCAGTGTGTATGGCATTATCAACAGCATTTGATTACTTACCTCATATACCACTCCTAGCCAATTTCAAATTTTATGGCTTCAGCGACAACGCAATGGAGTTAATGTATAGTTATCTAGATAACAGTGTAAATCAAGGAGAAATAAACACCTATATTAGTGATTGGGTTGAAGCAAAACAGATGGTTCCTCAAGGATCAATGTTAGGCCTGTTGCTGTTCAGCATTGCATAAAGGATAATTTTCTTCATTTGAACACAAGCAACCTATGCAACGATGAAAATGACAATACAATTTTGCTGACAAGTACTGATAAAAGTGAACTAACTGACGACTTGACATCCGTAGCAGCTATACGAAATAAATTGCTTTGTGAAAACTTTAAGGTGCTAGACGTGTAAAGCTACTGCGAGCCTCACAAATAATTATGGACATAAAAGAGAAACGTCAAAGGACTTACGACCTCAGAAAACAACAGCAATTTGGCTTTTTCGTCTTACGTCTTTCTTTGCTTCTAAAAACGTCTACATGCGCGGCATGTCTTCTACTTTCGGCTACAAGAATCGACTGACAACTTGGAAAACATCCTAACTATAAAACGGCGTGACAAGAATACTAACATAAAAATTACTACCAAAAAAGGTAAAGTTAACAGCGCGAAAGGGGTGGTACCAGCGTACACAAGTCTTACGATAACCAAATATGGATAGCACTAGGTAATAGCAATATCAACAAAACAGGCATAAACAAGTCAACAAACAGGACATAAACAAGTTATTTTAACGAGTTAATTGAAACTGGGCAAACCAGAATAACGAGTTTAATAGGGCGCATGATTCGACGAGCGTCTATGTCGCAACATTACCCCCTCCTTTAGAAACGAAGCCTCCTGGCTTAACGAATTGTTATACGGGACGAATCATCTGTGGCGGACAGATATCTTCCGGGCGACTGATCTCAGGTTCTTCAGAAGAAATTTCTGGTTCCTTTTCTTCAACCGAACGAGCGTTTCCGACATCAGGACCGAAACTAGACGACGGCATATCGGATTCCGATAGATCTGGCGACGAATGCTCTATATCTGGCGGAACAATTGGGCGATCGGCTGGATCGTAATACGGTTTCATTCTGTTTGCGTGAACCGGTACTGACACAACACGGTTGTCGAGTGTACGTAAACAAAAATGAACTGGCGACAGCTTCGCGACAATCCGATAAGGACCATGATAGTTGTGGCAGAGCTTTTTCGACAAGCCTGTTTTGGATTTCGGCGTAAATACCCAAACTTTCGAGCCTACGTCATAGTGAACGGGTGCACTGGTTTTATCGTACTGTGCTTTCATGCGTTGTTGAGCAAGCTGCGTATTGCTGGAAATAATCCGTCTGGCTTCTTCAAGATTTTGGACAACGCGAGCCCGATGTTCAGCAACTGAGGCAGAAAGATTCGAGGAAGGCAAGAGCAATGAAACATCGATCGGAAGGCGTGGTTCACGGCCGTACAATAAATAAAATGGTGATTCGCCAGTAGTAGCATTTGGTGAAACACGATAAGCAAAAAGGACCATTGAGATGTGTCTGTCCCAGTCCTTCTGGTTGCTGCTAACGTACATTGATAAGCTTTCCGTTAAGGTGGCATTAAACCGCTCAACCAGGCCATCAGTTTGCGGATGATAGGCAGTCGTATGCTAACGATGTGTATTTATCAGCGTACAAACCTCTTTCACAATGGCGGCAAGAAAGTTAGAGCCTCTGTCGGACAAAAGAGTACGAGGTGAGCCATGACGAGCAAGGATCTCATCGATAAGGAGTTGAGCTATTCGAGCAGCTTCAATAGGCGGTAAAGCAAAAGCCTCAGGCCAACGAGTGTAGTAATCGGAAAAGACAATAATATATCGATTTCCATCGTGAGTGACAGGCAAAGGGCCAAGTATGTCCATAGCGACTTTATCAAAAGCTCCTTCGACTGGTATTGGCAACAGAGGGGCTTTACGCTGACCCCTCGGAATCTTTTTCATGGCACAGTCTACACAGGTTCGACACCAATGCTCCACACCTTTAAACATCCCGTGCCAATAGTATCGACGACGTACGACTTCGTAGGTTTTTTGTGTACCAAAATGGCTGCCTGTTGGTGCATCATGACATGCAGAGAGAATTTCATGTTTCAGGCAAGCGGGAATGACAACTTGAGAACACAACGAGTGAATATTACGTTTTCCTGGTGACCACAGATGGCATAGTATCCCATTGCTGTCCAAATATTAAGAGTCGATTTGGAGGAGCAAGGAACGAGCTTGGTTATCTTCTATTGGCAGCACACTAGTTTCCAGATACCGGATGATTGAGGAGAGATCTGGATCTTGTCTTTGCAAGGTATGCAGTGAAGAGGCTTCAGTGCAAGGAAGGTCAACAGCCACAACTGGAGGACTGAAGTGAGGTTTAGAAGAGGAAGCAGGCTGATCAGAATATGAGCGTCGAGATAATGCATCTGCGTTACCATTGGAACTGCCTGCACGATGAATTATTTTAAAGTCATACTGTTGCAGTTGCAAAGACCATCGTGCTAGTCTACCTGTAGGATCTTTAATACGCATTAGCCAAGAAAGACTTCCATGGTCAGTGTGGATAAAGAATTTTCCACCAGCAAGGTAAGTTTGATAATGTTTTACACCATCAACAACGGCCAAGGCTTCCCTTTCAGTTGTACTGTAGTTCACTTCTGCTGGATTAAGCCCTCTACCACCATATGCAAGAACAACTTCCCTGCCTTCGATAACTTGTCCCAAAATATAGCGTAATGCAGTTTGGCTAGCGTCAGTATATAAATGGAACGATTTAGTAAAGTCTGGATAGGCAAGGATAGGTGCAGAACACAAACGTTGCTTGAGGAGGTGAAAAGCATTCTCACAAGCTGACGACCAAACAAATGGGATTCCTTTGCGTGTCAGCATATTTAAAGGCGAGGCAATTTTAGCAAAACCCTGAACGAAACGTCGATAATAGTTTGCCAAACCAAGAAAACTACGTATGTCCTTCACACATGTGGGAGTCGGATATGACTTGACCGCATCAATCTTGGCTGGATCAGGAGACACTCCCTCTGCAGAAACGACAAAACCCAAGAAATTGACCAAAGTCTTGGCAAAATGGCATTTAGACGGCTTTAATTTCAGATTAGCCATACGAAGTCTATCAAGCACCAATTGCAAGCGAGCAAGATGTTCTTCGAAAGAAGAGGCGAAAACAATTACGTCATAGATGTAAACGAGGCACAGTTTCCACTCGAGGCCATGCAGCACTCGAGACATCAATTGCTGAAAGCATGGAGGAGCATTACATAACCCAAAGCTCATAACTTCATAGGAGTAGACCCCGGCATGAGTGGCAAAGGCTGTTTTATCTTTTGAGTCTGGGTGCATAGCTACCTGGTGGTACCCTGACTGAAGATCAAGTGTTGTAAAGTATCGTGAGCCTGCAAGTGAGTCAAGAGCATCATCAATACGTGGTAAATGGTAGCTGTCCTTTCGAGTGACCGCATTCAGTTTGCGATAGTCAATGCAGAATCTTGTTGTTCCATCCTTTTTCTTAACAAGCACCACGGGAGAACTCCATGGGCTGGAAGAGACTGTAATTATTTCCTGAGCAAGCTAGTCAGAGATATGTTTCTCAATCTCCTTACGCTGAGACTGCGGAGCACGATAGGGAGCCTGTTTTATGGGCCTGGCATCCCCGGTATCAATGGTATGTTCTACAATGAATGTACGACCAAGATCAAGATTAGAGGAAGCAAAGATGTCCGAGTAACGTAGCAAAAGATTAGCTAATTGTTCGTTTTCAGCAGCAGAAAGGTGTGGATTTGGAAAAGAGTCAAAACAAGAAAGAAAGTCTTTCGTATCTACGAAGGCTGAAGGAAAAGAGTTCTCAAACTCTTTGTTTTCAGATTCCAGAGAACAAATGACATCTTCAGGACAGCTTTCAGCAAAATGGCCAATGGTGGTACCCTTGTGCAGCAGCACTGGTTCCATGGTGGGATTCAGAAGGCGACACGAAACCTTTCCGTCATCGTTGGAATTAACAACCGAAGCAGCGACAAATAAGCGATAGCGACTAGAAAGTTTAGGAACTGGCTCTAAAAGACCAACAACAGGAGAAGATGGGCGCCAGTGAAATAGGCAGGAATAACAGCTTCACTGTGAGCATCAATGACAAACGTATGAGCAGCTCGAATATCAGTCTGAAAAGGTGGTGTATTTCCATCAGCAAAGAAAATTTTATTATCGCCAGAAAAAGTGACCAAATGTCCACGCACATCAATAACTGCGCTAAATTGATGCAAAAAGTCGCGTCCAAGAACAATATTATACGATAAACCGGAAACAATTGAGGCAGCGCACGAATATTCTGATTGGCCAATCATTATAGGAAACGACACTAACCCTTTTACGGGTACACTACAGTCGTTTGCAGTTTTTACACTTTCCAAACTGTTATTTTGTTTAATAGCAAAATATGGGCTCATAACTGTTTTATAAAAATCTTCACTGATGACTGTAACGGCAGCACCCGTGTCCAGCAGCAATTTAAATGGCTGCTTCAAAACAATTCCCCATATCAGAACATTTTCTGGGCTTGAAATAAACAGTTTTTCATCTGCAGCAATAGCTGGAACGATGTTCTCTACCGTTTTGGACTCTAGAGTGTAATTTTCTGCGAAACTGTCCTTACGACTTTCATGTTTTGGCAAATAATGTGTCATTTTTGGCTGCACAGAATCATTAGAATCAATAGTTTTTGAAGAGAAACTTTGTATTCCAGAATTAGTTTGTGGTCCGGGGTCATAAGGGTATGCGTACACGACTCCGGCCTTCAGTTCCCCCACTGTGAAGGCCTTTGTCCGTTTAAATTTTGATCCCCTTGATAGGACGCCCTGTTGTGATACCCAAATTGCTGTCTGCGTTGCGGAGGAGCGTAAATGGCATTTGACTGGTTAGCAGGAACCCAACTTGGTTGTGGGCGTTCATTACAGTATTTGGCAACGTGGCCGATCCGGTGACAAACAATGCAAATTGGTTGACCATCGGTCGTCCGCAAATTTCTGCCACGTGCTGCTCGAGCTCCCCCCTTTTGGAAATATTGGTTTTTCCCTTTTAAAAGTTGCTGGATATTTTGAAAACCCGTGTTGATGGCAGCAATGATTTCTTCCTTCATATTTAATGCACTTGAACCAGTATTAGACAAGGGGGTTTGGATGAAACCCGAGGAAATACTATCAACGTTTGGCCTAGGAGCCTGAATTTGACCTTTTTTCTGGGCGGCAAGAGAAACCAAAAGATTTAAATTGTTTTCTAACTCTTTTAGCCTTTGTTCCTGCAGAACCGATTGTGTTCCTGAAAACGGGGAACTTGACGTTTTAGAGACTGCTTCTCTCAATCGGGCAAGGTTTTCCGCCTCAGCAAATGATTTTGGCTGGCTCAAGATCACATGATTTTTAATGTCTTCACACAGACCATTAATAAAGGCATTCATCAAATCTTTGTCTGACAGACCGAGCCGTTGACATTTCCTAATAACGTCTTCCGTGTATAAAGACAATGGCTCGCTAGGACCTTGTTTTCTTGCAAACAGTTCTTGACGAAAAAGAAACTCTAGCGACTGTGAACCAAAGCGTTCTTTTAGTCCCTGGGTAAGAGTTCTGAAATCACCAACAGTTTCGGGGGGCATGGTATCGTACCAAGCTTTTGCGGGTTCCCCTAAAGAGAGTGGCAAGGCATTTAATCTTTTAGCTTGTGACCAATTATGAAATTTTGCGAGTGTTTCGAAACGAGAGAGCCATTCGTTAATATCTTCGTTTGGTAAACCATTAAATGAGCGAAGCTGGAAAAG